ACAGTCAATTAGCATTATATATAAATCAATGATAGTCAATCTAATATATATAAGTTAATAATAGCCAATCTGATATATATGTATAAGCTGATAACAATCAATCTAATATATATATAATGAATAACAGTCAATTGATATTATATATAAATCAATGATAGCCGATCTCATATATATATAAGCTAATGTTGGTCAATCTGATATATATATAAGTAAATATCAGCTGATTAAATATATATATATAAGTTGATGACAGCTGACCTAATATATATAAGCTAATTGTGACTAATCTGATATATATATAAACTTATAAAAGCTGATATACTATAGGTATATGAGCAATTGATAATCAATTTGATATATTTATAAGTTGATAACAGCCAATCAGATATATATATATAATCTAATTATAGCTAATATAGTATATATCTAAGCTAACAATAATTAATTCAATATATATACAAGCTGATAATGATCAATATGATATACATATAAATTGATTATGACTCATACATTATATATATATAAGTGCATGATAGATGATCCAATATATATATAGATTGATCATAATTAAGCTGCTATATATATAACTGAACAATAAACAAATAATTTATATACAAACTTATAATATCAAATTTACTAATTCTATAAATTAATAACATCTTATCTATTACTGATATTACCCAATAATATTTAGTCTATTATATCATATATATTTACACTTATCAATATCCAACTCATATCTAATCATCTTATAAAATATAAGTTAAATACTCTAATCATATTTAATCTTTAATTATTTATATATCAACAACTCTTTTATAATCTTTATATAGATATAATAAGTTTTGTAATACGTGGACTATTATAAAGTGTATTAACACCTGCATGTTATGTTTCGTCTTAGCTTAATGGTTATGATGTGGCGATTCTAATCTTGATGTCTCCTGTTCGAATCTATCTAAAGTTATTTTTATTGCTTTGAATTTTTATTTTGCATTATTTATTTGTCATTTCTGATCTGGGTTTGTCTTTCTTGTACTATAACAAAGTCAAAAGGTAAAACCCACTGGGGATCAAGTAGTATATGTAAAATCAAAGAGACAATAACAGATACTTTCCATTGATATGAATTGAATTATTGTATATAGTTTTTTAAGCTAATACTGCGCATTATCTACAGTAACTATTATATTATATTTAAATAAAATAAGAGTCATTATATTGCAGTTAATGCTCAGGTAGATGTTACTGCGCATAAAGGGGTGCTACAGTTAACCATCTGCAGATTTTATGAATTCATCAAAATAATATGTGACATTTTTTTTCTATAACAAAATAACAGTTTAATACTACTGTTATGAGTTTTTTTTTTACTTATTTGTCTATTAAATTACATAAATAGAAAGCAATGAGTTTTTTTATATATAATAGAAATGATTGAGATATTCTGATATGGTAGGGCTGTTTAAATAAAAGCATCAATAGTTTGAATCTCAAGATATATAAATTAAGGGCAGTAGATATCATAGTTTTATAGTATTCTTTTATCAAAGTGTAGCTAATGTAAAAATAATTTAAAATAAACTAATTAAATGAAGTACAAAATGAATATTTATTTATTGAAAGTTATAGATCTGTAAACTTTTTATTTTTTAATATTTGTTTTTTATGTTTTAAATCTTTAATCTTTTAAACTTGTGTTTTTTATTAACATATTTTTTTTAATTTTTATTTTTTATATTTTGTTTTTAATTTTTTTATTTCTTTTTTTGTTTTTTTTATTTTTTATTTTTCAATTTTTTTTGTTTTCTTTTTATGTTTTTATTATATTTACAAAGAATTAGCCGTCCAAAAAATTATGAATAAACGTGTTAATTTTTTTCTAAATAAATTCTTTTGTTTTTTCTAATATATATATATAGATAGTGATGATATTCTGCTTGAGCAGCAATATTCGATTTATTTTAATTATCTATCAACCTGCCCACTATATCAAATCCCGGCGGCCATCTAATCGTAGCATGATTCAAACTCCGAAAAAATTCTAAAGACCGGCAATGCGCCTCTTATGCCACTTTTCGGTTACTCCTTTTTATTAGCTATCGATAGAGCCAAGAAGCATACAAATACAATCAGTAGAAGTCGAGAAAAGTAGAATTACATGAATTTTATTTTTTGAATAAATATTGATTTCTCAAAAAAAATAAAAAAAATAATAATATTATAAATGCCGACTGAAACCGATATTTTTTTATTTATTTTTTTATTTTTTGGTATCTTGCCTACCCTTTAAGCAATGCCAAACCCAAACATTGTTCAAAAAATTTCAATTATAAGAAGTATGTATATATATATATTTGCTATTCTTTAGAATTCCTAATAAGAGATCAAATGTTTCTAATAAAAAAATACAATTTTTATTAAAGTCATTGGTGCAATGATTCCTATTGTGGAATGAGACGGGTTTTTTTTTGCAGAAAAAATAAATAAAAAATATTTTTATTTATTTATGTTTTATTTTACAGTGCGTGTGCCTCTCTTTTAACAATTTTCGTTTTATCTTCACCTAGTGATTTAAAGATGACATGACAAGAACAGTCAAGATTACTAAATTTACACATACAGACATAAACATATAAATGTCATATTTTTGAAAAGAGTGATCGTACACCAAAAGAATAGGCCGGTTTTGACGTCTGTTAGCCAGAAAACAATCAGCGGCACACACTCTTATATGATGGAGCCGCATTATTATAATCGTTTTATCTTATATACTTGTTAGGCTGCATGTACTGTATATTAGTCGATATTAATCCTTAGATATATATCTATATATCTACAATACAATCAAGGGTGATAAGTACAGTCGACGTATTTTCTTTCTTTTAATATTATGATAACCAAATAACTGTAGAAAATATCTATGATGACATATTTATATCAAGCTGTTTTACCAGGGATAGTACCGTATATTTAAGAAACAAAAATTGAAAGAGAAGTGTAGAGTAGTAAAAATATCTATCACTATAAACAGCAGAAGTCTGATAAGATTGTACATACTGTGAAATCAGTGGATATTTAGTTTATTCTTGTATCACTTGTGACGAAAACAGCAGCAACAACAAACAACATTGTGAGCTACAGTAATTAAACTATGCTTTTCTCTTTTTCTTCTTATACACGTGTATATATTTAGTCAAGACCGTAATGATTCTCAAAAAAATACTCAAAACCGAGATGCTGTGATGTTATGTCGAAGGTGACAATCAGCGACCTTATTTATGAAGCCAACATTATAGAGACCACAACGAAGACCAAATATCTAGTTGTTTTAACGTATTCTACTACTCTCACTCGCTTGTAGTTAACTTGTTACGTTAAACGATATAAAAACTGCAAAGGTCATCAACCGTCTCTCTTTTTTTTTGTTAATTTTTTAGTTGAATCTTGCTCTTTTGGCTTCCTTAACTCTGGAATATATATTCTGCTAGATAGTAAAATACAAGTCATTTTTTAACATTTTTGGATTTAGAATAAGAAGAAAGAAAAGAAGCAAAGAAATGGAGCTGCCCGAATTACACAGTATTATACTTGTACTTTGATATATTGGTGACATATGCATTTGGGTTGACAATACGGTAAAAAAGAAAAACCAATCATTAAATATTTACCGGATCATAGTATTTAAAGGGAACATCTTTTTGGATGTAGCAATGTAAATTAATACCAAGTTGTATATGTCTTACTTTGATGTAGTTCAAGCATATGCGACAATTTTTTTTCACGTATATATTAAAGCAATAATGCTAATACACTCGGCCACATAGATAGAGATAATGGTAGGTACCAGGGGTTGTGGTGGTCAGTAATCTAGCTCAGGTACTACTTCGTTGCTGCTACATGTTTTTAGATACCAGTTTGCGTTAATAATCCAACCATATTCATTTAACAATAAAATAAAGACATAACGCAAAATAATTTTAATTCAATATGCTTTAAAACCGCAGTAGATGAAATGTTTGTAGCAATCGTTTTTTGATAATGATAACAATAATTAATGATTCAGTATAATTAAAATATGCATTCCTGTCATCTCAAAACACACACACTATGTACTCTCACTGCAATAGATGTAATAATAGCTGGTAAAGTATTTCTAGAATAGTGAGACACATTATCCATCATCATAACAAAAGAATTAAATTTGAAACCGTTGAGATATTTAAGAATATTATAATGTATTCTGTGTAAAAAGCATTTATATATATGCGTGTTATTTTGAATAAAATACAGGTCCAAAGAAAAGCATGGGAATTTGTACTGAACGTAAGAACATTTAATTTTGGTTTTTTAAAAAGAATCGGAATAAAACCAATAAAACATTGTATTTCCTATTTGTAACAGTTTTTACCTCTCAATCCAATCCAGTGAAAGCAATGGACGGTCAGGCTAACTCACCTTTTAAAGACTTCACTCCAATGCTTGACAATAGTTTAGTTGAAATGATTTCAGTGGAGATGACTTGGACACCATGCTTGACTATGATAACAATGGCAGTGATAAATACATTGATAAACACGGGATTTTTGAGATCAAAGTTAAAGAGCTTAACAATGAAGGTCAGTTTTCGATCCAAATAATAAGAGAAATGCTAGTAACTAGTTTCTTTTTTTGTCATTTTTTTAATAAACCCATTTTCTGTTTCTGATATACACCAAACAATCCAGTCTACTCGTACATTTCAATCTTTACTATCATGTTTGCTCCACGCTGTGTTGTTAACGAGGGTCAGATTGTATTGATTGGATTTATCTATCATGTCTTGAAAACGTATAGTCGCCATTTCTAGCCTCCAGCAAGACTTTCTGGATTCCAAAAAATGCCACCTTTTTTCTTAGCCATCGCAAAGGGGATACAAAGATTTGTGGTATCCCAGGACTGCCATATAGTCACAACCTATCAATAAATAGTATCAGTCGTTTCTCAATGCGTCTCTTCAATGATTGGCACGCAAGCTGCTTGAATTTGTAAATTCAGGAAGACTTCTTACACTCTAGCACCTCAGTCAATAAACGTGAATTAATTTACCAGTCCAATACAAATGCATTGAATGTTTTCTTCATTCATCCTGATCTTGAGGTCAAGATTTGTCAATGGAACAAGGAGCTGAATATAATTAATATGATGTGCGACGAATATAACGGCCTGATGTGAAATAAGTCGAAGAGCATGGTTGCTCCATCATTTTGTTTATGAACTTCGTTATTTGATATTAGCAGTGAATATCGTCTCGTTTAAACCCTCTGGTGGTATTACATATCTCTTCGGTGCTACATACCTGGCAAACAACAACTTGTCCTACAGCAAGAGGCTAAACCCCAAAAATCTCATTCTTGCTGGTTTGATAGCTCGACCAAAAAAGCCTAAATCCAGCGCAATTAACAGTCATAGCAACCCTTTTGCTGATGGCTTGTAGCAAATGTACATGATAATACAAGTCCAAGCATCCCCTTTTTAGTCTGTAAGGTAATATCAATGTCGATTTATGTGAGTACATTTATTCGCAGTCGTATCTCTCTAAAGTGGCGTTAAAAGTAGGCTTGGATACTAAAGAGTGAGAAATTGCTAGTGCACCCTCAAAAAGCCATTATACAGAGGTTATAAATGTTGCTTGACAGTTGGAGTTGCATCACCTTGGATACTTTAAATAAGTGCGTGCACCAACATTGACTTCGTACATGATTTCTTCTGTAAAAAGACTAAGACAATGGTTGAAAATTTAGCAAAAAATGGCGATATTAGCAGCAGAAAAAATGGTATCGTGTAGTGTGTATACTGCCATGGTAAGTAAAAGTAGAAAAGGGTTTCCGTCCTTTTAAAACCTGCCTTAACTCCACTGAAGATTTGGATCAACTTTGTGGATATGTGTAAAAACCCTGTAAAGTCTGTTATATCATATCAAGACCTCAAAAATACCAGTATCAGCCTAGATACTTTTTGTCAGCAGTGCAAGCATCTTTACCCTCCTATTAATCTCACTTGTAACATTCATTTACATCCCCATCTGCGCGGGACCATTCGTAATTTTGAACCATCGTAAAAAATGATCTTCGGGTGTAAAGCATACAATGGGTTGTTAAAGAATGCAGGCACAAACATAGAGGGTGACTTGGAAGATATATATATATATACGTACTTTTGTTAAATACGCCTACAAAAATAGTTTGGTTAATGCTGTTCCCCGGTTCTCATGTCAAGTACATCTCCTTCTTCTATTGTCAAAGTCAATAACACCTCCATAATCACTCATCACCCGTTTAGGTTGCAAATATTCATTCAAGCTTTTTCGGACACACGAATCATAATTAAAGGTAATGAATCTATCCCCCTTCCTACTTTTCCTCTCCATGCCAGAAGGTTATCCGTAATAGATAATGGCGACTATCCCCAGTTCCTTGAATACTACAAAATCGCTTACCAATTTATAAATCTAGCCATTTACCAGCACGCCTCCTTTACACACTTCTTTGTGCAAAAACCCATCACAAATCTGATGTTTATCACTTTTCCTGTAAAAATAATAATATTATGATAAAAATTGTTCTGTTAGTGGTGTATCTCTTGCGCAAGTTATATTTATTTGCAAAAATTGCGGCACCAAGCTTGTTTATGATGTTTAAATCTTATAAGTTTTTGCACACTCCTTCACACTTCCACCCTCGCACATTCTCAACTTAACTCACATAATTCATCAAGATCAACAATTATTTTCATTTATCAAATAGTCTTTGTACAGCTAATGATAGATTGCAGTAGATTGGCAGTGTCGACCTTTGCTTTCCTAAATATTCTCTAGATGACTGTCACATCAACGTACCTGTGCATCGCATATTAAAGATTGGCAGAGTAAAACACACAAGTAGAAATATTAGAGAAATACTGGTGATTTAGTTGTAAAAAAAGCATTATGTTTTAATTGTACATAAGAATAACGTTTTGACTTGGGGACTTTTTTCGTAAAAAAATAAAAAGAAAAAAAAAATAGTTGTTTCTTACATGTGTATTTGCTGGTATTGTGTACGCGGAAAGCTAGATATAAATAAAAAGAGAGGAGTAGCAATTTTATTTGGTTATGCCTAAGAGCATACTGATGAAAACCCGAGTTTAAGTCATCCAGGACTGTTTGTTGGACACATTACTAAAAATCCTAGCGATCAATTGGTGAACGTTTGCCCTCCCGCTTTTGTTAGCATACGAGTCAACGAGTATGAGAAGGAGGAGGATGTTGAGTTGAAATTCGTGCGTTAATGTTCCACTCAATATAAGTATACAGCAACACATTATTAGTAATAAAACCAATTTACCTCATTGCTTGCCCAATTTGAGTGGGCAATCCGGATGACACCTTTTTTACCATGGCCATAAAATTCTGTGGCAGATTCTCCATCATAATTTCTTAGGTCTAGAATTGTGATGGCGCAGTCCTTTTTGATATTTTAAACTGATGTCATCTTGACTGCCAAGGTGTGCAAGTGAGCGCAGAGAGCAGCTCTAGTAATACGTTTTTCTTTATTAATCTTTATTTTTCAACAGCAAGCTATAACATTCTTTTTCTTTTGTATTATATATGTTAAAGTAATATTTACTTCAAGTGAACGGCCTGCCTTTCTTGAAAGACTTCTCATTAATGCTCTCTCAGCAGGAGACATTCTCCTCTGACGGTACCACCTGATAAAGTTCTTGGGCAACATTTTTTTCAAGCCACACTGTCTAAACTTATTATTGTCGAACATGATCTCCAAGTGGAGACAGATTTAAGGCAACACTCATATTACACCTCAGTTTATTGTTTACCATTATATCAGCTGGTAATATTGACCCAGGCTTTGTCTTCCACGTTAGGTTGCGCATGCATGACTAGTACAAATAAATAGGATAATTAATCGATAAAATATCACACAATTTTGCACTCACATAAATACCGCGATATGTTTGCTAGTTAAGCTAAGCTTGGATACGGACAATGTAAACGGTAATCAAAAGTGCAGCACTAATAGGAGCGATGCAATGGAGATCTAGCTGAACTATTTATTACACTGATGATTCCATATTTGACGGTGATAAGGACATGAATTACACCATCCTTGACGGTGAGTGTCTCGTTGACAGAAACGATATGTCCTTGCGCTGTCGCCAAATTCTCATCCATGACTGTTATATGGTATTGTATATTGGAAAATATTCCCAACAGCCACTACTTGCTAACCCTAGTAGGACGAGAAGAAATTGCACACCCTTGAATAGTCATTAATTACAAAATATAATAGAAGGTACATTTTAATTGTTGATGTTGGCTTACAGTCGAATTGAATTGAATTATTTTAAATTCACAAGCAAAAAAATATTTAGATTGAAATCTGCGAAAGAGAAAGATTCTGCGAGTCCGTATGTGCAGTTTTTATCAAAAAAGTTAGAGTAAAAGCGAAATCAGACCAATCAATTATATATACAAAAGATGTATAAAATCTCGTTACTACATATATCTTTATTAATATTTCTTGGAAATACTGGAATTCAAATTGATTTTGACACTGTGTTTTGGCTCAATTCATCACATCATTCTCATCCTGAAAAATGTAACTATTTATTTATATAGTTTTAGGTCAAAAGCTCTCTACAAATAAGGACAGCCATCAACTAAGTGATAAGACTTTATGTTCCTTTATTATTTATTTAATTTAACTAGATTTACAGCGATTGTTAGCAGACACCATCTTGCTTCACCATCTTATTTATTTATATTTTTAATTTTACCTTTGATATGTAAAATTAATTATTTTGTCTCTCACTTCACCTAAATTAATTCTTTCTTAATCTTTTTCATAATCCAAATAATGATACCATCTAACATGCTTAGCAACGCTGACTTTATTTTATTTGTTGCAACCATTAATATCTGATCGTTCGAGTTCAAGTATAAATTTGTGCACACAAAAGTACAGCACATATAAGGTTTTATGAAATCTTAAAGAGTACTGATCGCATCCAAGTAAAAATCACAGCTTTTTGTTATGTTTCGTTTTGTATAAAAGATCATTTCAAAATATATAAAAAATTGTCCTAGTAAGAAGTATATATAGTTAAAGCTATATAATGATAGTATTATTAAAACAGAAACACAGAAGCAATATATTATCTTATATAAAGTTAAAAACTGTCGACTATTAGCAATCTAATAACGATGTAAAGTCAATATAAATAAATATTAACATGTTACTGGCCGAAGATCTTAAAGTTGTTTTGTTTTGTGCTGCTTATAACTGATTGTTTTCCCCGCTTCTTAACAATAGTCAGTATATATTTCGATCGCTGCGTCTAAGCATAATAGACACCTATTACTACAATATTCTGTCATAAACATCACTCTTCAAATGTACAAGCAGTGCTTGCCAAATCTACAGAAAGAAAACCCCTTCCCACCATCAGATACCAATTACACACGTAACTCTCATTAACTCAATAATAAGCGATTATTTACATATCGCAAATACCCATTTAAAAAATAGACTACTATAAACCACTCTTAAAATATTTTGATGGAAAAATAGAAATATACTAACATTATACCACCATCTAGACTGTAAATTTTTATTTTATTTTATTAAATTGAATAGTCGCCCCGCAAACCACCCCAAGTTTTCCTTATTATTAAGTATATGTACTATATTCCGCTCTTCATAATACAAACTATATGATCCAGCGTAGATATTACAAAGCACATATAATGAATTACAAGAAAAGAGTGGGGTTTTGTATTCTTTAATATTATTATCTAAGAAAAAGGAAACCAAAAGTACTTTTCATAAGAAAAGTTGGATTGTCAACGAGAAAACACTGGTTGCAATACCTTTAAAGAATTTTATTATCATGCGCTTCATACCTACCAATTTGTATTTTATTGAGTTGGAAAAAAATGTGTTAAAATTTGCATAAAGAGGTCGAGTAATATAGTTGGATAATACAAGGAGAACTAGGAAGCTAACTTATATAGCTTATTTTATCACAATATAATAAGTCTAGTGAACATGCAATAGCAGCCAAGATATATAAGCGTTTATTAATATATCTCTCAAGAGAAAGTGACAATAGGTACTTTCCCTGCTTTCAATTAGCCTAACTCATAGTTAATTTGTGATCAGAATATATAATAGCTACAATTACATATTAGCATGATAGTTCAATACCTAATACGATTATTTACTCTGTCATATTATTACAAATTTCAGAAAGAAACCTTATAGAAAATATTCTACAAAAATTAGTACAATATTTCCAAGCAATTAAAGCAGCACAAAAAAAAAGAATAACAGAGAAAAGATACATTTCCGGTATAAAGAATAAAAAAGTATGTTAGTCGATGAATAAAATATCAATTTTTAGTAAGCAAATATATGTAAATAGCGTTAAAGAGCAAGGGTTTGAAACGGAAAAAATACCGAAATACATCCCTAGACACATGTCTTTTTCCCGTATTAATAAATCATCATCTCACTCATTCTGAATCAATATTTATTCAAGTCACATATACTAATATGTATTATTGTGTGGATGAGGAAAAGACTGCGATAACAGTAGAATGATGAACGGCTATTGATTTAGAAACTGTATAATAGACTCACTTATTTGACAGTATTGTCAGGTAGTTAAATAAGATACAGTTTATTATTCTGCAGTAAAACGTTCTCTCTTTCTGCCAATTATCGCAGGCATTTTCTTACTTGCAAGTAATAAAGGGTTGAAATGAACGGGTATGATATCTGACTATTGTATTTCCCGAATCTACCTAAAGCCAGATCAGATATGAATATAGAAGGACATTCATTTAACTTGTTACTTTTGGTAAATCAATGAACCTATCCTCAAAAAAGACTAAAAAAGTCCTCAATATTCTCCCCATCTTTCACCACCCTCAAACACCAAATTTAATATACTACCTTTTTAGATAACTTTCTTCATATCCACATCAGCATTAGTATCGTTGGTATTCATAAGCTTGGTGTAAACCTCGATATATTCCCGGGCTTCATTGTAGACCATTGCGATAATTTTTGGAAATCCAGAAGCAGAAGAGGTATTACATAGACGTGAGAGAAGGTTTTTCTCGAATAGACTTAAAGGAACAGCTATGATTAAGAACGAATAACACGTTTAGATACACCCCAATGACGGTAAGTACAATTGCGTTTACAATTGAGCCCGTTATTCAAATCAAAGATGTATCCCCAACTCTCCTACCATCTCTTGTTCTGGCGCCTTCTGTTTAGCAAAGTAAGATCGGAAGGTCAAGAAATGGCGAACACAGCAGGAGTGATTATCTATTTTATATTTATTGGAATACATATTCTATTCTGAAAAATTATTTTGATCTAAATCCACCCACAGTCCACGCTCTCGTAAATCCTCTGAACACCAACAAGCTGGATACTTTTGATTTCAATTCGATCCCCCTTTTCTTCTAACTGTTCTCCAAACTGTCTCATAAAGGAATTAAGAGGTTATGCGTTCATCATTTGAAGATGTGGTATCCTTAAACTGATATGTCTCACTGTCTCAAAACATCCTTGACTTTAGCACCATATGATTGACAACCAAGATGTCTGCGAAATATGCCTTGTGTTTGCTACTTTGGCAAAAATGAAAACTCCAAGTTCATCTCTTGTAAAGACTTTTGGAGAGGGATATTTCATGTTTCTTCGATTTCTTAAATAAATATTCGCCTGTCTAGTAATCATCGCATGCAAATTCGACCTTAAAAATCTTGCAGGAAATATATCTTTTGATCCTTTTCGCGGATGTGGCTTTCACGTCCCTCAAGTCACAGACCTGCCTTTTTATCATGGATTAGAGAGTGTACTTGCCCCATGTCGCCATAATGGGTTGGGGCTGGTCGACGGGCAAGCAATGAGGCCCCTTAATCTCTTCATTTACGCCCGTAAAGTCTGACATACTTTGTGTTTACAATTTATGGTGATATACCGCAACATCTGGTCTCTCGCATCCATCAAAATCGATGCCTTGATCATTTTTGTGGGCGTATTCCCTGGATCTCCATGAACTTCCATGCTGTAGTTATTACTGGGTTTTCTTTTTGTGCCTAGGCACAAGGAAAAAAGGGTTCCATCAACATATTTGTTGATCTCAATTATGGTTTGTCTTTAAAGCTTTTTGGGCATGGAGACAAAGTAATGATTTTTGCCTTCCATTCTTCGGCGTTTACAATTTAAGGACGCTTGACATTGATTTATATGCTGGTGTTTAGATAGTTGTTCCAAACAGGATACACTCCTTTGCACAAGCACAAAAACCCTGCCCTCGGTCCTTTTAAACAGGATCTATACAAACTCTGCTGCTCTTTCTGATGCTTCAATTTTTCTTAGAGCTATTCGAAAGTCGATTATAAATACTCATTTACAAAGATCTACTTTCTGGCTTTGAAGGAGGAGGGTTTTCTCAGCTCATTGCTTGAACTCAATGGAGTGACTTAATTTTTCACAGTGAGATATATATATATATATATGCCAGCAATAATATCAAAGGTTAATGCAACTCTACATAATGTAGTTCTCTTATCCTTATTTTGATATATTGCAGTATAGTCGATTAAAATTTGCCTCGAAAATGACAATATTATAGTATATTTTATTGTATTATATAAAAAAAACTTAACTTACCCTATGTATATAAATGACAATTTTTGGGAAATTAAAATTTGAACATTTTTGTTTTCCTTGAATAGACTAATTGGTATATATAATGTTGCACTTGTTAACACGGTTTTTATTCGCAGGTATCAATACTACTTTAGACAAACTATTCTATATGTACACTGGAGTATAACATATATACACAATCAACTTATTCTATCGAGTGCTCTTTCTTGTTTTTCGACTTTTATCTTTTAGCAAAAAACTTATTAGTTGACCGAGCTAGTTAAGCTTTGTATAAATTGTATAAAGATATTTAGAGGTGTGTTTGGTATGATGTGGTATCAAGAGAAAGTAAAGGATAAAGAGGCAGAGATAGAGAGGCTTGACAGATTATATTATAAGCTTAGCCCCCTCAGTCAAGCAACTGTTACACAGTTGTTATACACGTGAGGGCAGTGAAATTTGGATCTCCGGATAACTATAATACGCGAATAAACTGGTCAACTGCTCTTCTCCGTGTTTATCCCATCTCTGTATACTTTTCACAATGAGCCCTTCTGTAAGTCGTGTCATCCGATTTATAATAAACTTCAGTAGTAGCAACAAGTTTTCTCAACAACAGTTTGTTCTCTTTATTCCAGAATCAGCCTACACAAGAACAACTTGATGGTAAGATGACATATTTTCTCTTTTAAGTCATGCCAACACCATCTACACTTTAGAATGGAAGGAGGCTTTTTCCCTGTATGACAAAAAGGGAAATAGCACCGTGTCCTCTTCAAATCTCGGCGATTTGCTTAGAGGTCTCGGCCAGAACCCCACACAGGCCGAAGTACGTGAGCTGGTTAAGTCGGTTGGTGGATCCGACAAGCAAGGTGAGAACAAAACAAAAAGCTCTAGCAACAGATATACATGATTTATTGAATTTACTTCTTCTATAGAGGTTGATATCGACTTTGGTACATTCTTGACCATTCTTACCCGACCAGATGGTTTCCGACCTGCTGGATCATCCCAGGAATTTATCCAGGGTTTCCAGGTGTTTGATAAGGAAGGCGATGGTTATATCTCGGCTGGTGAACTCCGTTACGGTAAGATATATATATATATATATATATAGCTATAGTTATATGAGAGAAAGACAGTGAAAAAAGAAAGAGAAAAAAGGAGAGAGGTTTGTCTTCCTGTATAGTATTGTATTAACCAAAAAAATATGTTTATTAAAAGTCTTGACAAACCTTGGCGAGAAGTTGACAGACGAGGAGGTTGATGAACTCCTTAAGGAGGTAGAAGTCGGCAAGGATGGTCGTATTAACTACGTTGGTAAGTTACGGCAGAGAATATAATTTATGGGATCGAGGCACTGACTGTTTTTCTTTCTTTCTTTCTATTTTATTTTGATTCTACATATATAGACTTTGTTACTATTGTTCTTTCCAACTAAACTAGTTAGAACACTTTGCACACTTGCTCTGAAGTAGAGCCAAATTCATACCAAATATATATCTGACGGTTATACTTTAGTTATTGTTTTTTTTATGTTTATGTGTGTTTGTGTGCTTTATTTTTATGTTAATTTCCGTTGTTGGTGTTTACTTTATTTTGACCTTTCTAACTTTGTATGGGTATGGGTATGGGTATGGGCGTGTGTGTATGTGTGTGTGTAGTATGAGTGCCTAATATACACTGTATTATTTACTACGGCTACCAATATCAAAGTTAGTACAAGATTTATCTTATGATCGTATCACAGGTATTATACTCATTAATACACATACACGCCCGTACGCGCACATTATTTAAAGCTTCGTGATTTGCCATTCATGAATTTTATAACGTGAATACACACAAGTCTAATTAAAACATTTAAATAATTTAGTTGATGTGATTTCTCATTATCTAATTCTACAGGCTGTAAATAAATCATACTTTGGAATATCGGTCCAAACATATATACAGAAAAGAATATCAAAGTCTGCTAGTTACACCTTAAAGGGTATGTACATCAAGTTACGTCACTTGATTTAATCATTTTTGTCTAATATACGTTGCTTCCGATTCATGTTCTACTAAAAAGCAGCTCTGAATTATGCAGTACTATTGTCACTTGTGCAATTCTCAGACTCTTGTTACAAGAAGACCGGAATTAGAATGCGTAGTGTGTCATTCACGCTTTATAGAAGAGGTATATAATTGACCTGGTACCTTATTTTACCAGCCAAAAAAAAAAGACAAGCCAAAAAAGAAAAGAATGAACATTTTTTTGTGCTTTCTAACAGTTATAATCAGTTAGATTCTGATTCTGAGCAAGACAGCAGAACTTGGCAATCTACGGAAACCGATTCAGATTCTGACGGCGGGACTGATTCAGAATGTAGTGAACTCACCGAACAGTGGAATACTACTTTTGCTACATTATCAAATCAAGCCGAAACAGAGATAGCAAATCAATCTGATAGTGAGGAACTTTGGGAAACTGAAAGTAGCGAGGAATCTCAAAGCGTATCAGAAGAAGAGGATGAAGATGAAGAACGGCTAGCTGAAGATGGTTCTGAACTAAGACAGGCTCAAGTGAGATTACTCCTCGATTCTCATCGTACAGGTGCGGATTTACTGGTGCCTTATGACAGTTTCACAAGTGATGATGAAAATGACGATGATTCTGACGATGATGATTCTGATGATGAAATATCATCAGAAGTAGAACGTGCTTTCCAGAGTGCGGTTGTGTCAGAAATGGAGGTCGATCACAGATACATAGACAGCGTCACAAGCAGCGACAGATCCACGGATACCGACAGCGAATCATCGGAGTTTTCTGATGAAGAAGACGAAGAAGACGAAGAAGACGATGACAGTCAAGAGTACAGCGAATCTTGTTCTCTGGGATACTTGAGCTCAAATTCAGGCGCAGAAACAGAAGCATACACTGATGTATATGTCGAAGTAGAATCAGATTCGGAAGAGTCTGTGCGCTCCTATCCAATCGAATGGAGTCTTGAACGAGAAGAAAGCAACAACCGGATAATTCGACTTCATAGATTGTTTCGTTGGTATGACTCCGAACTAGCAGCAATTTCCTTGAGGGGTGGAAATGATGTGTATGATCGTATAAGGAGCTTTAGACAGCCTCTGCCTCGATTGTCATTGATGGCGGAAGACAGAACCTATATTCCCGGTGCTTCTGAGCTAGTGATGGTCGAGGAAGAGGTCTTACAACATTATCCCAGGGTAAATGATCACCTGCTTACGATGGATGAGGTTATTCGGTAAGTTACTATTTTTTATTGTTGTGGCATGTCTTGGAAATACTCAATTTCATACGGATAGATCGATAGATGAAGTTTTTGCGGATGGATTCAATACAGACGATTTATCGTCATAGTAAGTAAATTAAAGTGTAATAGTACAAACAACTATGGATATCCTTTGTCTAACACAAAAAATATCAATTCTTTGTGAATCCTTTACTGCTCATATTAGCCCAAGGCCCGTTCCTGCTTCTCGTAAAGCAATTGAACAATTGAAAAAACGAAAGCTATTATCAGGTGATCCAGGTAAAACAATATATATATATATATATATATATATATATAATGCTGAAAAATAGAATATCTTTATATATATATATATATATATTTACTATTGTTAGACGCAAATATCGATTGTGCAATTTGTCAAGACGTATTCGGGTTTGTACTTGAGATAACACAGATGCCATGTCAACATGAGTACCATGATGAATGTATCTACCAATGGCTATTGATAAATGGTAGCTGTCCAATATGGTGAGAGACTTGATGAAACCCGGACTTGAATGTAGTGACTCAATATAAATTCTTATAAACAATTATTTATAGTCGATTTCCGGTTAACTCGGAGTATAATGAGATAGATTCAGCGGAGGAAGCAGCAGAAGTATTAGAAGAAACACACGAGTCCAGGGATACTGTTCAACCAAGTGCGCAAGTTATAGAAATGATGTCAGTAGATGATATAGACGAGCTCGAGGAAGGTGTTTATCGTATAGCTCAAAGTTCGTCAACCACAACCCCTGCTCTTTTTCGGTTTGGACAGCCCCAAGTTTCGCTTCCTTACGTCGGCCCAGGTGTGAGTTATCCAGGAACGTGGGAATCTTATGAAGAGTATACAAGTAGAATGTTTGATGTGGATTGAATGGAAGCCTGAATAGGTCTCAAACTTATAGAATTTATATTCATGAAACCAAGCATTACTTGTTTGTCATCCAATACTTTTGTTTACACGAAAGCTCCTGTAAATAGTCTGCATATACTATAGCATTAATAATAAGAAAATAAGAGTATATCCCACCCCGATTGTGTAATATGAAAGAAATCTCATTACGTTGAAAATATCTTATAATCCATAACAATTTAAATATATGACCATAGATAGTAAACACACACAAAGACATATATATATATATATTTACATTTACATATATACATTTAATGATATATATATATATATATGTATATGTATCTATGCATACAAGGTAAGGGCTGCTGTTATCCAAGACAAAATAAAATAAAAAACCATCCTTTTTTTTTTAAAAAAAAAAAGCAATTTAAATTAGCCAATCTAAAAGAACGGGTTTAATCAGCTCCTGTTGTAATATCTGTGAGAGTCCTCACAAAGTACTGAAACATATTGATAGTAATTACCTAATATTACATGAGTATAATTTGTTAAAGTTACTTCAGATCAAATGAAGAGTATAATTGGCTTGTTTTTTTTTATATATTGAAAATGTCAATTAATTAAAAAATATGCCATTGGAAACCACAGGCTTTTACCTCAGTACATGTATTCTCTGATGGCTTTAGTACTGAATTGACAGATGAGGAGTAAAATCTCATTGTGGATCGAGTATGGACTGTTGATAATCTTTAATACTCCTTTCGACTGCAACTTGGATAGAGCCTGCTTCATCTGGAGATAATTCAGGCTCGAGGATGTATTGAATTCCGGTCCTGCCAAGAGATACAGGAATGGATAGACAGGTCTGGACCTTTTGAATGTATACTGTCACAATATGTGTGCATGTATTATGAATCAAGATATCATGAACCAAACGTGCCAGATGCGCTCCTTTGCCAAAACATGCGTCTCCTTTAAGGGACTTTATCTTTAGTCGTTTCTCACAAGAAACGATAGATGGTATCATGTGCCGATTGTCGATTAATATAGGTAGAGATCTGACAGGCTGGCCGCTTATTTTCGCCGAGTGCCACAATACAACAGGATGTTCTTCACTCCCTACCACATATACCACAACATTTTTGGATCTGGTGGAGGTTATGTCGGCTATCCAGCGCTGCAGTCTCATCGTAGCTGCAGCCGTTCCATTGGTTCCGAATACTCGGCTACGACCAACGTGATTCTTTTCATACAAATAGCGTACAAATACGTCAACTGGATCAGCAGCCACAACCACCAAAGACTTTGGGTGAATGGGTTCCATGGATACTGCTATACTCTGGATCAATTTTCGACTTTTTTGAAGCCACTTTATATTTTATATTTATATATTTATTTGGTGGTAATACAAATTAAATACGAACACTCGTCGGTTTTCATTTTCATTTTTTTTTGTCTAACAAAAGAAAAAAGTCAAAGAAGGAAAAAAGCAACCAGCTTACCGTTTTCCGTGTCTCGTTAATCCCTTGAGGTCGATCTGCAGTAATGATAATAATACTTGACTGGCCTGCTTCTTGAAATGTTCCTGAGCGAACAAGGGTTTTTGTGGAATAAGCTGCATCAAATAAATCGAGAACTTGTCCTTCTAAAATGCCAGTACTTAGATCTACTAAGATTATTTCTTTGGCGCTGTTGAGCATCAATAAGGCGTATGCAACAGATGCTCCTAGTGAACCTGCTCCAATTATAGCCACGCGTTTGATACAAGGCATATGTAGATACAATTTATTTAAGAATTAAATATCAAGAGTGGGAATACTTTTTGTGATTAATAAATAACCAAATCAAAAGTAGTGGAGATAATGTTATTAAAATTCAATGAAAGAAGAAGGATAGACATGAAAATTATACTGACACACTTTCATAAAGCATTCCTTTCCAGGTATTTTTACAATTGTACTGTATTGTAATTTATTGTAATTAAATATATTATATTATCTACCTATCTCTCAAGAAATGAATAAATAATGGTGTAAATCGGCTGAGGGTGCGTTGAGAAGAAAACACAAATTTCTTCAAAAAATATGGCTACTTGAGTTTTTACTCTATTATATTATATTTTATAGACAAGCTATGTATTAATGTTGTTATAAGCCTTAAAGATCAGCTAACTCTGAATATTATAATTAAGCTATTAGAATCGAATGAGAGCTTTGCTTCACCGACAGGAGATTATTATAATTGCTTAGTAGGTGGAGTTTCGCTGGCTTTGTACACCCGAATACATATGAAAATAAAATAATGCAAAGCAAACGTATCCTTTCTTAAGCTCAAAGAATTATTATTATCAATAATATGAGACAGCTACTATGTTTTGCTACTTTAATGGCTTTAGTATGTCATGAATTGATTCTACAAGTCTCAGCAAACTCATTAAGGTAAAACGAATATAGAATGTGGTTTATTGTTGGGTTTGACTTGTATTTATTTGTTCATTCCTTAATATTATTATTATCACCATCATTTAGTATTCCTCTCAAGCGAAAACAAAGTAAAGCTATAAATCAGCTTACCCAGCTCGAGAATAACACACCTGAACACAGCTATATTTTACCAAGAGAAATAACCACCCAACAGGACTTTGCAGGCATTACTCTCACGAGTATTTTGGTAGACAGCGAAGTACGTAACCAGAAATCAGTACTCACAACTTTTTTTATATATTTTTAACCAATGCATTTAAAAACATTTTATTATTACTATTACTACAAAAGAATATATATATCTTTTTAGAAAAAGTATATAGTGCTACTTAATAACCAAAATATCACTAGTACATAGGAGTCATTGGCGTAGGCACTCCTCCACAATACTTTCAAGTAGGCTTTGATACAGGAAGCTCAGATGTGTGGATTCCTCACTCTGGTTGTTACACCTGCTCTAATCGCTCGTTGTTCGATACGACAAAGTCGTCCACACTTGATATGAACGGCTCAAATGATACATGGACAATCGGCTACGGTGATGGATCGCGAGTATTTGGCATTAATGCGAACGATACTATAACGATCGGAGAACTCAAGGTGTCGAACCAACCAATTGGACTCGTAACGACTCAGTCAGCCGCATTTGAGCGCAATTCAGAAATGGATGGCATATTTGGATTGTCTTTTTCCAATATTTCTCACACACAGCAGAATATGCCAGTACCATGTGCTATGAAACAACAAGGCCTAATTAAAAACGCCACAGTCAGTTTCTGGTATGGTCCCTTTCATGATGGCGGTGGTGACGGCGAGGTTGTAAGTACTATATGTATACAAACGATAACCAATAAAACGGTCTGACTTGCCTTGGTTTAAATTATTATTCTTATTAATATTCTCAAAGTTATTCGGAGATGTTAATCGAGACCATCACAGTGGCGAGCTTGAATATGTACCAACTACTGGTCGTGGGCTCTGGCAGGTTGACATGGACGGTTTCTCAATCGACGGCAAGAAGCACGACCAGCAGAAGGAACAGCACGAAAAGCGCGAGAAGCTGCTGCCAATGAATGTATCATCACTTCCTGCCCTTGTTGACACTGGCACCACACAAATAGTTCTACCATCAAAACTTGCCCAAAGTTTTCACAACGCAATTAATGGATCCCAGTTCGCTTTTGGAGGTAGATGGCATATTCCTTGCGACTTGGAAGGAGACGACAATAATATAACTGTCACATTTACACTCGGGGGCAAGAACTTTTCTGTTCCTGCCGTTGCACTTGTGCGTGAAAGGACTTTGGATTCAAACAAGACAATGTGTCTTTCTGCAATTTCTGGAATAGAAGGAGATAAAGTAATCTTAGGAAATGGATTCTTACGAAACTTTTATTCTGTATTTGATTATGAAAACTCTTGTATCGGTCTTGCACCTTCTAAGTTTTAATATAAATTTAATAGCTTTTAGAGGCAAATCATACATTACATTACACTACACTACATGTACTTTTTTCTTTAGATGTTTGTGAATTCTATTAAATCTAATAGTTGTTTTTACTTTATTTTACTTTATTTTTTTTTAATTTAATTTATTTATTATAGTTGTTGCTTGTTATTTGTATTGTAAGTCTTCCTTAGCGACGCTTTGAGTTTCCCTTGTTCTGGACACCTTTGACTTTTTCACGCATCGAAGAATCTTTCTTTACAGGGTTTGCAGAGGGTGAAGAACCGGAAGAGGTGATTGATTTCTTGACTGTCTTTCCGTATTTCTTTAGTAATCTTTCCTCCACATTCTCTAAATCCCATGCGTGAGGAGTGATCAAGATGTTCTCTTTTTCGGCCAAAAACAATTTGTTGAAGTCTTGCTGCTGACCAGGAGCACCCATACCTGGCATGGCACCTGGCATAGAGCTCATTGCTGCCATATCTACACCAGCAGCTTTGTTTTTTTTCCACCCAAAAAAAATAACAAAAATAAAGATGGTGTGTATTAGACACAAGCACATCGGTAAACACGCACAAGCACACGCACATACACATAAACGCTCATTTATATAACTATATGTAATATATAAACCTTTATTTTATTTTATTCATCCCTTTTTTTTTTAAAAAAAAAAGATAAAGATAAAACCTCCCCTCCCCTCCCCTTCTTCCTTTTTGCTCTCCTTCCTCTTCCACTTACCATTGTTGTCGCCCAGAATCAAAGAAAATACACTGCCGAGACCAAACAAATTCAAAAAGTACCAAGAGAGAGATGATACCCAGGTAACATCCATATCACGGGTGTCTACACCACTTTGCAGCATAGATTTGAAACGAGGTGTCAGTGGGAAGGGAAGCTTAACTTTTATATATATATATAAAGAAAATTAGTTTCTCTATTTCTCTTTTAACAATCACTGTATATATATATATATGTGTGTGTGTGTGTGTGTGTAGATAATTGACAATAACTTACTCACGACAAATCCTTGGAAGAAAAAGTTGATCCAACCCATAATTAACATCTGAGGTACCATGTTCATCATCTGCTTCTTCATTCCCTCCATCATTCCCTCCATCATATCGGGATCTGTCATTGGGTTTGGTGCAGGTGTTCCTTCCTTGCCGGCATCAGGGTTCTTCAAGTACTTTCCTGCCTCAAATGCCTGAGCCAAATAAGCCTTGCGACAGGCAAATGCATGCTGGGGAATCGAGTTACCAAAAGTTCTCAATCGCATTCCACGCAACAATGCTTTTCTATAACACACACATATATAAAAAAGCCGAGCATAAATATATTAAGGTTTGTGTATTGAAAGAAAGAGTGAAAAGAAAGTAGTAGCAGTTGTAGTATAATTTGATATACATATTAGATTATTATTCTTATTTTACTTACGACTCTCGGATAGCTTTGAGTTGAGGTGCTTTCGGTGCACTTGTGATGAGCATTGTAATGTGATGACGAAGAATTCCGACAAGGACCATGACAATCATAATTGGTATCAATACCCAATCCCTAATTGCTGCACAATGTAACGATGATGATGACAATAGTAATAGTAGTAATAGTAGTAATAAGCATAGAAAGCTTAATTAGTAAACATGTTGTTGGCTAAAGGAATATAGAAAGATAGAAAGAGTTGTCCTTTTCTTTTGGCTTACCAGGGTCAAGGATCATCTGCTGTCTAAAGGAATTTTATAATGTAATTATGATGAGTCTGAAGGATGACTTTAACAGTACTCGGTCTTTATTTATCTATTGTATGCATATATATTGCTTGCTTCTTACGTGTCCGACATTGATGAAATGTTGCTGTATACTTGGAAACAGATAACCTTTTTTTTTAGAGAGAACTTTCTTGAAATGTAAAAAAGTAGCTGGAATTGAATACACATCGTTCAAGACGTCACAGCAAGTAGTTCTTTTGTTCCACAACCTCCAACTCATCTATTTTTTTCTAATTCATTTTTTTTAATAGTATTTAATGCGTCAATAGAAGTGTGCTTTATTTTATATAATGTAGCATAATATAATCTGTATGTAGCAATGTAGAGAAGATGCATTGAAAGGAGAGCTAGGAAAAGAGGAAATAAGCACAATGTATACAGGTGTGTATTAATTAATTGATTGATTGATCAAATTAAGAAGTCTTGAATTTTTCTAGGCATTTTTCAACGTAGCGAGGCATGGCAAACGGACCTCCTGCTACACAAAGACCCTGTAGCTCGCACTTCATGTTTATGTGAAGTATGGCACACAGCTCTTTTCTAAAATAAAGAATACGACATAATATATTCAGATTCGCATACCAAGATATTTCTGACAAATGTTTCTTGATAGATAATAATAATGAAAGAGGTAGAAGATAAAATTAAACTTTACATGAACTCCTTGTAACTCTTTGAGTTTCTTTGTGGGCATTCATCTGACCAAAATCCTTTGGGTGATCCAAAGAATTTCTCTCGCATAGTAATTATGCCTCGTGCTTTATCTCTGTCTGCCTTTGTGAGTGGCTGGTAGGCAGACAAGGGAATATCAAACCTAAAGAAGTAAAAAGTAAAAAAAAAGTGAGAAATTGATATATATATATATATATATATTTGATATCTCTATAATCATGTCTTTCCTTTGTCTGTCTCTGCAATTAAGACCAATTAAGTGTATCTCTGGTACAGCAAGGTTTGCAGTATCAAATGCTTGACTCTAAATAATAATATTGTTTAAAAATACAAACAAAATCAAACACAACTGTGCTGATTAAAGTAACCATAACTTACCAGACTCCCCCATCTGTAAACAGAGTAAATTTCCAAGCCATGGGGATCATTATCCATAAGCGCCATAATTGGTATGCCTGTAAAGTTTACCGAGATGTGCTTGACTATATGCCTTGTAGAAATATCCTACAGAATAATAAGTCGGTAAGACCATCTCTATTTACTTTATTTTTATTTCTTTACATACTGGGTATCCACGACCCTTTTGTTTTCGTGAGATTTTTTTTTACAAGTAAAATAGATAACCAAGTTAGTGAGTGAATGCATGAGTTAGTATGGTTAATGTAATAAACTATAAAAGATATATTACCGTAATAAAGATACAGTGCTTGAGTAAAGTGTGTTTCCTATTTACAGAAATAAGATCCCTAAAGGTTGCCTATGAATAATGTACTTTTTTAGCTCTTCGCCTTTTTTTCTTTAATAAAATAAACATTTACTTCTTTCTCCACAACAATCACAAATTTGGCATTTAGTTCAATTTTAGTAATTTGACTAAAGCTTGGAACAAGACATCCCTAACAGATTTGTATTAAAAAAATAATCAATTGTACATACTAATTGTCATTAACTTACTTGATGATCCTCATGCCCAGAATTTGACTTCTTTGAATATTTACAATTGATTCGTTTGCCGTTTTTAAGAGTAATAGTGATAGGACCACAAACAAGACCTTTAGAAGAAGCAGTCTGTATATAGTTATATATATATATATAAAGACGAAAGAGAAATGGTAAGATTAAAAGCAAAATTCAAAAAAAAGAACAAAAAAGAGTTTGATGCTCTGGTGAGAATTAGATATGCTTATGGCAACCAAAAGCACTCGTACACTTGCAATATGAAGACTGGACCGAGGGGTATTGAAATAGTAGCATATGTTGTCCACCATCTAACGAACGAATTAGTTTGTACTATGCATGTATGTATGCATATATGTTTGCTTTTGTTTGTTTAGAATCGCACCCTGTCGATATAATTCTGACCGCCGAAAAGGGTCACATCTCTATAAAATATGTCACGCTTTGTAATGACAGTATCAGATGCAATGGCTGCATATATAATTTCTAAAAGTCGTAAATATCGTGCTAGATTTTAAAAAGAATTATATTAAAGAATTATAAATACTTTAAATATATAGGTTGTGTATATGGAACACTATACTTTAAATCTTACCAACAGATTTGGCCTGTGCTTCAGTAAACAACCCAACCCTTCTGTTACAGCTACCAGGCATCCCCAAGCTGCCAAGTTGGGACGAAGAACTCATCGTAGCAGTCGATTGGGTGTCTGTTGCCTGGGTGGAATACTCTTCGTTCATATCATCCAAAGTTCGTTTCTTACTATTCTTCCCACTAGCACAGACATACGTATATATATATGAGAGTAGTTCTTTTGACATGAATCCCATTTATAATCATCAAATGCATATATCAATAAGAAAAATAAAATAAAGGAATCTTGCCTTCCAAAACAAGGGATGTATATTGGGTCTCCTTCAGATAGATTTTCAAAGGTATTCAAGATGATTTCCTCTATGGCTGACATCAAGGTTTCACTACGAGTACAGTATGTTATAAAGTTATTTGCTTAACTATCTTATATTTGCTGTTTATTACGCAGAAAGTGGTACATAACGCCTTTGAGGTCTTTCATTTGACGATCTGCTAAACTGGGACGAGGGAGAGTCTTCAGGGACAACTTGGGAATCCAAGACTTCTGGCTTAATGTCATAGCCCGGTGGATTGTACTCAAAGTGGTCCAGTATAGCCAAAGAACTCGATTCTGCTGACGAGTTCAAAGAATTAGGGGATGCTTGCCAATTGTTTATATTCAGGGACATCAAGGAGGATTCGGTGGAATATTGCAGGTCCTCAAAGTTTGTGTCCACATTGATCTGTTCTTGATTGAAACTGCCACAAATTGGCTCATTTGCAGAATAAATATTATTACTGTTAATATTAATATTGTTGCTACTGCTGCTACTACTGCTGCTACTGTTGTTGTTGTTATTGCTGTTGTGTACATAATTATAATGGCATAATTCCTGGCCCTGAAGCTGTCCTCCAGGAAACACAGGTCCTAGCCAAGGGTAGTAAAAGGGGTTCATTAAGACTTTGAAAGATGAAAATAAGAAGAAGATACGTATTATGTAAAGAAAAAAAAACATATCAACTATACACACATTTATATACGTATATCTATATTCCTTGATTGACGCGTTTTGTATAATACTTTTTTTTTTTACTTTTTTTTTGACGTGTTTGATTGTGACTCTTCAGTGACGCAAAAAATAAAGAAGTCAATTAAAGACCAACTGACAAGAAGTATATATATATAGATATATATGCGTGCGTGTATGAGCGAGGGCGTATATTTGTATATTTGTATGTTTGTATGTGACATTTAGTACAAAGTGGCCAAGTCCAAATGTTGCGCACAATAATCCTAACCTATCCTAACATATCCCATCCTATCCTTGTTTTTTTTAAGCCTCTTCATTCCGCGGAATAGACTTTTCAGAGTACCACACAGTCTGACTTAATCAACACAAAATATAGTTTCTTTTTTTTTGTCTTTTATAGATAATATTGATATACATTAATAATAGAAATTGTATATCTGTTATTATTAATACTCTTTATAAGCTTTGTTAAAAGATGAAGGTAGGAGTAAGATAAAATAAATATATATATATAATATGGATGATGTTTATTATTAATTGAGGATGCAGAAAAATGAGAAAATATAAATGAAAACATGGGTATGAGTTATATATATAGATATATAGATATATGAGTAAGAGAGAGAGAGAGAGAGAGAGAGAGAGATATGTAATAACAGTAATAATACGAACTAAACTATATGCGTATTGTGATTTTTTGTTGTTGTTGTTGTTGAGGATGAATGAGTATGGTAATGAGGATAGCAATGGTAATGAGGATAATGTTTAGGAAACAATACTTTTGATGGCATCAGTCAGAGCAGCTTCGTCATAAACTGGCTCTCCCCGGGAAGATAGGGTGCCTTTGATTAGAATGGGTTTGATCCCTAATTTCTGGATGGCCTGGACATCGACAGGAATTTCAGTGTTGTGGAGATATATAAGATGAGTAATAAAAGCAGACGATGGACTGGGGAAGAAGAGATGGTCGGGAAATGGCGGGTAGTGGTGAGATGGAGATCCAGGCATGGATCCAGATACAGTGTGTGACGAATAAGATGATGGTGCGGTACTGGTTGGGCTACTGTTGTAACTGCTGATACTTGATGATCCTGCTCGTTGGAATGGAATGGCCCCTGGATGGGAATTGAAAGAATAGAGGTGGTTTTGGGGGTAGTTATGTTGGCTGTGGTGGTTGTGGTGCTGAGGTGGGGAACGAGCATCGCCTACTAGCACGGCTCCTGGTACTGCTGATGGTACTGCTGATGCTGATACTGATGTTGATGCATGAGCGGGTTCACTGTCGTACGACTGATAAAATGCACGTCGGGCATCGATTCTCTGACTCTCATTGAGGGCAGCAGTAACTGTAGCTATGAAATCCAGGGCAGTGTAGCCTCCGGTCTCGCGGTCATTGGTGCCATTGAGAAGGAAGATCTTGTGTTTCAGTGATGAAGACTGGGCAATAGTGTTGCCAACGTTGCGGAGTACAAGACAGGGTACAATCGAGGTATAGAGAGATCCAATGGCATAAACCAGCGTTTGTTTGAGAGAAAGGTGGCTGATGGCTTTTGGGTTTGGGACAGGGTAGATTTCCTGGCCGTACTCGTTGATATAATAGATGCGTTTGATGCGAGAAACAAGTTTTTCGTCGGCGTGTTTTGAGAATACGAGGTTGGAATTTGGGGGCGAGGAGCCGTTCCAGGGAGAAAGGTCGTTTTGGTCGGATGCGAGTTGTGAAAATGCGTCGATGGGGTTGGGGCGGGTGCGTTTAGTGAGGTCTGAGGCCGAGACGGTGACTGAAGGGTGTGATATTTCGCACTGACCGACCAATATGTCACTGTTTTCTAATAAGGCCGCAATTGTTGCAGTGTGGTTGGTGTTGATGACAGGCACGACTGCAGTGGGTTCAGACACCCCGGTCAGGGCTGAAAATAGAAAGAGAGCAGCCTCGAGTGAACCAAAGAAGAGGCGTGCGCCCGTCAAAAAGAAGTTGCCGATGCTGCCGTTACTAAAGTTGAATCGTTTGTGCGCCCTCTTGAGGATCTCGAAGTTAAAGCTGGTCAGGAACCCGCGAATTGCTTCCCGTTTCTCGATTGGGATTTCTTTCCAAAGGCTTGAGAGTGAACAGGTTAGTTACGGTAATGGATTGTTGAGGGTAATTCTTACATGTGATGGCCTTCAACAATTGCTGCCCATTCGTCTTTGACCTCATGTTCTGATACATTGGATGGAAGACGATAGCTGAGTAATTCTCGTATGGCTGCTCGTTCTGTGGAATATCCATTGGTGTCGAATACATCGATGAGACGAGTGAGTCTCGAGCGTAGATCACCAATACTTGGGCCACCCAAGACACGCAGAAGTTCGCTCTGTAATATTTGAAGTTATTTTTATTTATTTATTTATTTATTAATATATGTATATATGTTTGTGTAGTCAAATTTATTAACTTACGGTTGATCCACCATTGTCTGATACACCGAGAATATAGCAAACGTTATTGTTGCTTATTTGATGAAAGGCCTGTGCAATATTATTGCAAGCAGATCCACCTGAAAATACGACAAAGGATGGCTGGACCATACTGTAAGTTAAAGAAAAAGGGAAAAAGGATTAGGGCGAAGTCGGAAATTGAGAGGGGGATCCATTTATGTTATCAGAACCGATAAGGGACCGCTCTTGGGAGCCAATAGAAAGCTAGAGCGATAAGACCCGACTGTTGCTATAGAAGCGATAAACGATAAGATTAACGTCCACCTGATTTTAGCTTTTTTTTGTTTTATTTATAATTTTTTTTTTCACTCTCTCTTTTTTTATATATATATTTTTATATCTTATTTTGGATGTTCAACAAGAGATATTCATATGTCACTGAAGATCGACAGCTGCTTGATGTATTTTAAAGGATCCAAGCAGCACAACAATTGAGCGCTTTTAAACAAAGGGGTTAAAATGTGGAGTAAAGCGCATACAACAACAAAAACAAAAATATAGAAAAATTAAGGCGTATTAGAAGCAAACATTAAACGTAAAAGCCTATATATTTTTTTTCTGCAATAGAGAAGCAAAGCAAAGTAAGGGAAATCATGATTATTTCAGGCCAGGCCAGACCACTATGATATGCTATGCTATGCTATGCTATGCTATAATATAATATAATATATCGTATCATACCAAACCAGACCAAAGCAAACCATACCATACCAAACCAGACCAGACCACGACAGGATGGAATAGGACATGTAGTATAAAGATAAAGACAATAAGGTGGGTACATGGACCATTTCGCACGTGTTGATGAAGTACAAGCTTTTAGTCCAAAGATTTCCTTTGTTTGCGTGAATTCAATAAATGATTGTAGTATATTTTTACTGTCAGAATAGATAATGGATAAATAGAGATAGTCCTTCTTTCTTTTTGTTCGATTACTGACTTCAGCATTTATAGTCTGAAGAAATATGTTAATAAATTAAATACCTCTTTAAAGAGCTCATCCCATGTAGGCCTATACTTTATTCTTTCTGTATAACAAACAGGATCAAGTCTATTCCAAATGTGAGCTGTAGCTAATAATGTAGAGTGACTTCATGTGCGTATGAATTGGAATCTCATTTACACAGATTAAAATATTTTGGTGCTTTATAGTTTAACTCTGTGTTCTTGTTATTATAATATATATGTATAATATAATATAACATAATATAATATAATTACTATATATCTATATTATTGGCTAATGTGTATATAAATGTGTACAGTAAAAGAGGTTAATGTAATCTAATGACGCCAGTACCCAAAACTCACCGACTTCGATCATTCTAGAGAGCACAGATCATTCGAATTTGTTTAGCTTGAAACCGACATCAGCTTATTACAGTCTAAACTACTTGAGATCAATCAAATTAACTAATATATACATTATTTTTTTCAGCCCCTCCCCAAGAAAGCCAAAGCCATCTTGTTGTTGTTGTTTTATGGTCGGTTCATAATACTAGACTAAATTATTAATTATGCAAAATTAGTCAAGAATTATAAAATAAATCAGGCATATGCATGCAAAAGACATCCACAAAAAGTGAGCCATTTTGGATTCACAAACAAGCTATATATAAATGTGTATATAGAGAGTGCGGCTGGTAAATTTTGTCTGTTTTAAAAAAAAATGGCGCTAACTAAAAAACAAAAAACAAAAAAAAAGTATTCTCGGTTTACCTACGAAATGAGTGGGTCCTATTCGGTCAAGTCGAATTGTCATTTTCTTTGAATTAATTGACGACTATGTAACAAAAGCTACTTTATGCTATTAATATTATTATTACCTGGCTTTTATTTAACCTTTAATTAATTAGTATGCTCCGGAAAGCATGAATATGGACAAACATAAAAAAAGGGATATCTTACAATGAAAATGGATACCGAGATTTTGATCCAATGGAAGATGTGTTTACCGAAATCACAGATTCCACCTTTTATTTTTTATTTTTTGGGTGTTTTTTTTTATTGATACTGCCGACGCATATACAATGTGCGGCATTTTAAAAAAAAATAGGGAAGAGATACATGCTAACTAAGTTGATGGTGAAAACAAGTGTTTTACGTACGGCAGCCACCGCCTTGGTTGCAATCAACTTGGAATCTTTTCTTAAATATACACTAAGATTACCCTAGCATACATATAGGCAACATGAGTGCTTAAGCAAAGCGGCTATCTATTACAGTGTTTACTTGATAATCCTTATGCCGGTTGACCCAGCACTCCAAAACTTTTAATGTCACAAAACCTTCCTATTAAAACTGACTGACGGAGTGACTTTAGGTGTTATCAAACGATCATATTTATTGACCAAAATGACAAGTACATTCAACCGGCCACTATTATTAGTAAAAGACAAAAGTTGGCCAAGTCTCTATAAAAATCAGCTCTATAAGCACAGCCAAAGCCCAATAATAATAATAAAAATATAGAGTGGTGCAACTGAATGGCTAAAATAGACAATTAATTTTCACCCAATTTTTCTTTTGTAGTATCTCAAATATACCCTCAGATCAATAGTGATACAAGAGATTAAACAAAAATGGGTACCGTAAAAGGTCCTCTTTAGAGTTCACAGTCACTCGTTGAGATTGAAAGAAGAAAAAATTAAGCACATATACACATGCATACCTACACATTCCTTTAATATGCTGTACTGGGCTTTCACTAATTAAGGTTTATTATTATTATTATTATTATTATTTTGGTAAAAAGACCTCAGTCTCGACTTAATAATGCTGAGCCCACTATATTACTGTGTTGCAAAATAAGAACAAAGAAGAAGAAGAAGAAGAAGAAGTATTTCAATTTTTTATCACTTCTTTTTCTTTGCTTTTTCTTTTTGCTGTAAAATAATATATATACATATAATTATTATAGAGTAATAAATAAATCGGTAGAGTCCGAAGAAGCATGTCCTGCTGCCACGTTTTTGCACAGATGTAGGACAGATCGAAAGCTACCTGCGTCTGCCAGGAGAGAAAGATTATCCCCCCAAAAAGAAATAGAGAACTAGAGATTGATATATAATTTGTTAGAGATACTTTACCACTTTATCTTCAAATTAAAGTGAGTTATGAGCAGAATATGAGTCAAGACATTAATGCCAATGCCAATGCCAATACCAATACCAATACCTGTATCGGTATCAACAGCCCGGTCAGAAAGTAAACCAACAAGGTTTTAGACTGTCAACAGACAGATTAGAAACAAACTAGAAAAGCAAAAATAGTGAGATAATGTGAGTGAGTATGAGTGTAAATAGCCCTATCAGCTGTTAGCAAAAGAGTTTGAAGCAAAATACGATAAATCATAAAAAGAAAAAATTCTCCTCAAAAAATTATATCGATTTCTTTATGGGAAATCCAAATACACTATTTTCTTACTTTCCCTCATTATTTCACTCTTTCTGTAAGCTTTGCCCAGCGATCAAAAATCACTTTAGACTAACCAAAGTTACTTTTGTAAACTTTACGATAAAAAAATAAAAAACCAAAAAAAACAGAACTTTATTATGCTTGAATTTAGATCATTTACTAATGTATATTTGTACCTGACATACCAAAAGTACTTTTGAACTTATTCACTCCCCCTATTCAGTTTTGCGGACTACTTTTTTTTTTTAAAAAAAAAAAGAATATGCGGTAAAAGACTAGTAAGATCAATGACAACCTTGGAAATAAACACCACTTTTAAAAGGTGGAACATAAGAGAAAGTTGTATATATATATATACATTGATGGTACAAATGAGAGTGAAATATGTAGAAAACACCTCTTGTCTATGATTATAAAGTCTTTCATTTTGACTCCTAAAGTTCCCTTGGGATCACTTGAGTCATGGTTTTCTACTAGACCAATCTCAACACAACCCAATTTAGATTAAATGTATTTTAAAGTGCTATCTAAATGGCCTACAACCACCAGAATTTCTTATTTTGTCAATTGATCCAAGAACCCTTCTCATGTTCTTGTTATGATTTGAAATAGAACTGCCAGACCTGCTATAAGATAAAAAAAAGGTGTTCTAGAATTTAGAATTTAGAATTTAGAAATACGAATATAGAATCAAAACTTACGTTACAAAAGTTGTTTTACGGATATGCTTTGTAGCTTTGATGAATTACATACATATTCCTGCAAGAGATTTTGCTCTTTGGAAAATTAGAACACCGTTTTTTTTTGCTAACAAATAGATACAGATAATTCAATACACTTTCTCAACCACCGGTGCTCTCCCAGGTTGCTGTAAGGTGTTGTACGAACTACCCTAAAATGCTTTGCCAAGATATATAAGTATCCGATGACTGGTAACAGCATAATTGCAAGGCAGTAACTGACATCATCTCAGTGTGATACATTCAATATCTTGAAGAGATTAAATTCCCGAACTTGTCATATGAGCTTCAAGCCAACATATACTCCCCCAATCAACGCATTACTGCTATACTGTACTTTGTTTCTTTCTTTTTTCTAAAAGGAAGCCCAGGTACACAAACGTGCCTTAAGTACAGTTGTAACTAACGTAAACTTGCATAAACTAATGCACAGTGACGCTAATTAACTAGAAGCATATACGCATTCCTTCCTTTGATATCACCTTAAATATTCAACTAGTTGAGTCGATCATTACTAGTATAAATAAACCACTCGTTTGTCCTTATTTCATCCCATATATGACTATTATCTTGTTCCAAATAAAATACAGCATAATTCCATTATAGATCAAGCAACTTACAAGCATATTTATCGATATATATATATATCGATAAATATATTCTTTTTCTTTCTGATACTACTTTTAAGCAAGGGCTATAATCTACTATTCACGAGATATCTATTCTATTAAACCCAATCGTTCATTACAAGCAAATATATATACATATGAAAGATATATCTTTGCTTATATACAAATAATTCATATTTTGTTCATATACCAACGTACATCTCTTCTTCTTTTCTTTCTTTATACTGAAAAGATGCCTCTTACTTTTGAATTCCAACAATAACGAAGAAATAAGAAGTATTGAAATTGAAACACATATAAAAATGAAGAAAAGAATATTTATTCATTAAAATTAAACCCTTGAACCCTGGAAAATCTTGCAAAAAAAAAGAATCTCTTACCAAAGCCGCCCTTCTTTACCACATGTACCCTCTTACTCTTCACTTTTCTTGAAACTGCTTTGCGGCCATGGAAACCAGAATAAAACATATACATATTCAGATAGAATGACCGACCAAAGCGCGGTAATGGGATTGAGCAATCAATAATCTGACGTTACCTCCGTGTCTCCTTGAGTTTCTTTTTCCGGCTTTCTGGTTTTAGAATATATTCATTTGTGTAAAATACAATTCAGAAAAGCTATGTTGAATTGTCTTATTCTTTTTATCCAGTGTATCTACCGTTCATTATTAGTATTCTTTTTTTGACCTTTCTTTGTTTATCCTTAATTCACTTAGGGGCTTCTCAAGCGCCCGACAAGACCCAAAAGTTTGTCCAGGCGAAAAGTGAAATCCAAAGTTTTGTCCAAAGATTACTAATTTTGGAAACTCTGGCCAATCCGTATAAAGAAATCCTGGACAAACTTTTGGGTCTTGTCGGGCGCTTGAGAAGCCCTTTATTCACTTAATCTTTTTTTTTTGACACCAAAGGACTTGTAATTGGATAGAGTCTTTAAATTCGAATACACGGACTCAGTAGCAGAGTTACAAATAAAAACATATATAGAATTATTGTATTTATCACTGAAGAAATTAAATGTCTATATCTATAAATATTTAACCCTGTAATTCAAAAATAAATAAGTCTTGGTGAAAGTCATTTTAATACTAAATAAAAAAATAAAATAAATTCAATTGGATTCAAGTCAATTGAATTCAATACCCCTTCCTCTCTTCCCTTTTCCATTTGTTACACTAATTCAGCTTTTACTTTGATCTTTACTGCAATGACAGACACCACCATATCACGCTCAATCGAAACGGTCCTTAAGATCGTCAATGATATATCACCAAGAATTGCATCTGCTTATCAGACAACGACTCGCAACGAGCTTATATTGGTTGGTGGCGCAGCTCTCTTTAGCGTCTACAATCTAGTTCAGTACATCAAAGACAAATCGACCGCCAAGTACTATCTACCTCCGCGTGTTCCCTTTGCACTCCCCTTGGTCGGCCATTCTTTATACCTCCTTTGGGACAGCAATCAGTTTATTGACTGGTGTGCTAAAAAATATGGAGAAGTCTATGAAATCAGCATCATGGGCAAGATAGTAACAGTTGCCAGTGGACTTTCAGGCCAAGAAGCCCTCAAGGCCGATACAGATTTTCTATCTCTCGAAGAAGGCGTTATAAAAGGTAGATATATACAATCCAAAATTCCAGTATGCGTATATACATATATGTGTGCGTGAGAACATGGACGCATGTGTCCCTATAAATTCAGCAACTTAATCTGGTTTCACAAGATAATGAATAATTAACCTTAAATGATTACTAATGTATTTTAGATGTCCTCTACTTGCAATATGCAATCGACAAAACTACGTTTGAGATCGGATTCTACGTCAACCCTGTGGTTGCCAAGGCTGTCATATCACACAAGAAAGTACCCAGACACACCGAGGGTATTCTGAAGGGAATGGACGCCGGTTTCAAGAACCTTTTACCAGCAACAGACAGCTTTGTACTCAAGGACCCCAACCATTTCTTCCAGCGATTGATTGCACACATGAGTGTACCTACACTGATCGGCAAGGAAGTTGGAGACAACGCTACCGTCATTGAATCCTTTGCTGCCTTTACAGCTGATGTGACCGACAATATCCCCATCTTCATGTCTGTGCCGGTTGTTTTCCATCGCTTCATTACACCATATCTGCAATCATTCAAGAGACACAGAGTCATAATGAGCAAGTTCATCGCACCAGTTGTCGAAAGCCGTCGCCAGGCTGCAGATGCCGCTAAGCTGAAAGGAGAGACCTACAAAGCCGAGGATGATTTCTTACAAGGCTTACTAGAATTCGTCAAGCCAGATGGTACAAACTACACAGCAGATCAAGTCGCACAGGCCACGCTTCTGGTTGCATTTGCCTCTGTGCACACGACTGCTACCAACCTTGCCTTTTGCGCCTACTGGATCGTTTCACGCCCAGACATTAAGCAGGCAATTTTGGAGGAAATCGAGTCCGTGGTTGGCAAGGATATCAACACCGAATTGACTTATGAGCATTTCGAGAATATGCCCTATCTTGACAAAGTGATTCGCGAGTCGGTCCGCCAGGGTGCTGATGTGCTGGCTGTTGGCAAGAAATGTCTCAAGACCTTCACATTCTCCAACGGTTACCAAGTTCCCGCTGGCCGCGTAGTAGAAACAACCAACCGTCGATTGAATATGGGTCTCAGCGCAAACCGTGTGGATATCAGTGAGATGGATCCTTTAGAGTCCGGTAGCCGTCCTCCAACAACTGCCAGTCGCGATTACGTAACCTTTGGAATGGGCAAGCATCTGTGCCCTGGTCGGTTCTTTGCTGTTCTGGAGATCAAGTTGACCATCATCCAGCTTCTACGCCAATACGATATAACACCCTCCACTTCAAGCCCTGCTCATCCCGTCAAACTGATTGGTGGCTTTATGGCTACCAATTCTTCTGCTCCAATCAGATTTACCAAACGCAAGCTTTAATCAATCAATATCTTTTTGATGTACTTGTTTAATATAGTTTAATATGATTTGTTATATATCTAATCTATTTATGTACGTATAGCTCCTTTTATCCAACCATATCCTTTCAACCGCATTCAACAGCACAATAACCATATCCTCTTTCTTAATTCATCTTTTCTTGAGATGTGTCGATTTCCCAAAAAAATAAAAAAAAATATAAAAGTGATAATAATAATACTAAAGTTTCTTTTCTTCTTCTTTCTCTTCATGTACACTACAAATCCTCTCGTTTGTCTTTCTTTAAAACAGCTTAATCTTCACCCACAGGTACTTCTTCTTCAAGATAACGAACCAATTTGACACGAATCTCGGTCAAATCATCACCCCGCAACACGTCGCTAACAAAATGAGTCTCGACTTGCATTTGAACCTTTATGTATAAGATTAAATAAATAAGCAAATGCATATATATATATATATATATATATATGTTAAAGCAACCACAAAAAAAACCCCAAACAAACTTACCATTTCAAGAGCACCACGAATAATACCACAGTAAATGTTTGAATACCACAAACCACCTTCTAAAGCCTCATCAGGTAACTCTACAAACTCTCCCAGTGGATTCTCATCAAACACAAGAGAAAACTCTTTAAAGTCGCTTGTCCAGTTGGTCACAGTTGGAGTAATATTCAGGAACATTTTGAATCCGACCTTTTTTTTTAAAAAGAATAAATAAAAATAAATAAAAGAATGATATATTGTTAGTCTTTGTTGGGTGCTTGGAAAATATTATATGAATGTTGTATATGCATTTACCTTGGAAACAGCTTCAGCTGTATCCCTAAATTCAGAACAACGACCAATACCAGATCTTGCCAGGAAATCCTCAATAACGCGTTGTCCAATGTTGTAACCCCTTTTACAGAAAACATATAGATATAGATATAGAAAGAATAACAAAAACAACAGTAATAATAAAGAATAGTGGAATCATTATTTGAGACTTTTTCTTTTCTTTCTTTATTTTCTTTTCTTTTTCTCAGGTTTGGTACCTTACATCTTCTCAAGTTGCTTATTGACCTCATTATAATCTTCATAGTCTTTAACTAGCTGGACAACCAAGGAGCCGTATGTCAAAGTAAAGAGCTCTGCATTCTGCAAGTTCGTTGTGAGGTCAAGTAATGAATGAATGAATGAATGAATGAATAAATAAATGAATGAATGATGTCGTGTTTTAGAGACCATGTACTCTTTAGTACCAATTACTCACAATCTTCTCGACCTTGTTCTTCCACACATCCTCGCCAAGAGTCTTATATTGCTTTGCACTGGAATTAGTTGCCATTGATGGAGTAGATGTAATAAGCAAAGTAACGTCTTTTATTCTTTCTTTTTATATATTCAAAAAAAAAGTGTAAAGAACCCCCCCGCCCGGACTTTGTGTGACTATGATGCCATGTATAGATATAAAGATAGATAGTGCGTAAGTGAATAGAAATCCAAAAATTCATTTCAGAAAGTTCATAATGTGGACCCTGTGCTCTTTATATGTGTGCTTAAATACTTCTTGGAAAATAAAGGCAGACATTGTTAGGATTAACTATTGGTTCAAATAAAGTACTGTGGTTAGAGTTATAATCATACGAGAAAGATAATATATATAAAAAAAGACCTTTTTTATTTTATCTTACTTCATTGTATATATATACACATGTATTGCTTTTAGTTTATTTAATATTATGCCTTGGTTGAAAATAAACTCGGCTATTTCTTTTCCAAATCTCATATTTTCTTTACACCCAGTATGCAAAGGAACAACAAAAACAATAACAGTAATAGAAATAATTGGTTAAAGGCAAAAGAACAAGGATGTTCTGGTTTGGTTTGTTTGCTCGTTGGATTATTCAGACTATCAATTACTTCTTTTGCTTTTTTTTTGTATAGAATGAATCAAAACAAAACATAAAGCAGAATTTTTTGAATTGTTCCAGACATTCTTTACCCTTTATTTCTTTTTCTTCTTCTTTTTGTTATCTAATATATACTTATACTGCTTTAACTATATACTTTACTCTGCCCGACCTTATTTATCCTTGTCATTAAATCATTATACTCATACTCATAATCATCGAAAAAATAAATAAAAACAATAATGCTGTCAAGGCTATTGATTATTTCTTTTTTAGCCTCAAGTGCTTTAGCACAATACAATAATACCTTGGAAGCATTTGTCCAGGCACCATCTCATCCCGATTACCCTCAACACACCTTGCACTTTTCAAAGCGAGAAGAAGCTGTATACTGTGATCCTACCGTAAAACAAGTAAAGTATATTGTATTGTTTTATACTATTTTATTTAACTACAACTATTATTGTTATTATTTTTTAAAAAAAGATAAATGGATACCTTAATACCTCGTCAACCAAACACTTCTTTTTTTGGTTCTTTGAATCGCGTGGAAATCCACAAAAGGATCCTTTCTTACTATGGTTGAATGGCGGGCCTGGTTGTTCTTCAATGACTGGGCTGTTTATGGAACTAGGGTAAAATAGATTGATCTGTAAAGGTGTTAACACATAGCTACACCCATAAAATAAAATAGAGTATATTAGATTAAGGAACGAAAGAGAGATATTTGAGTAATGTTTTAATAGCCTTTACGTTTAATAGACCTTGTCTAGTCGATCGTCAAGGAAAATCAGTTTCTTTTAACCGAAATTCGTGGAATAAACATGCCAACATACTGTTCTTGGATCAAGTAATGAATTTAACTATTTCATTGATATCATTATTACTATTAAACAGCAAAACAGTGATATAATTCTTCTACATTTATTTTATTAACCAAAAAATTAAGCCTATCAGTTCTGGATATTCCTATGGTCAAAGTAGAGTATCTGATAGTGGTACAGCAATAGAAGAAGTCTACGAGTTTCTTCAACTCTTTTTTACCCAATTCAATGGTAAATTTCTATTGTTTTACTTTTTTTTTTCTGTAATAATTTTAAAATAATAGTAGTAATGATTCAAACGTACTAATTCCAATATATGTATATACAAACAGAATACGCTCCGTTGGATTTTCACATTGCTGGTGAATCATGTAAGATTTTCTTGCTCTTAAGAAAAGAAGAAATGGGAAAGGCGTGCAACCCCAGATAAACAAATAAGATCATTACCTTACTAAAGCATCTCTTTGTCTCTCTCAATTTTCATATGCCTATGTGTAGATGCTGGCCACTACATTCCTCCGCTTGCAACTCTTATCACCAGAGAAAATCGGAAAATAAACGATTTTTCAAACCTTTTCCATCGAAAGATGACCCCACACTCGGTGGTACTTAAACTCAAGAGTATTGCAATCGGTAACGGAATGGTCGATCCGCTGACCCAATACAAATCATTCAGTCAAATGGCCTGTAAGAACTCATACGCACCTGTCCTGACACAAACAGCTTGCCGAAAGATGGATGAAGCTTATCCCCACTGCGCACAGCTAATCAAACGATGTTATGCTGAGAAAGACTCTTATTATTGTGAAGAAGCCACTACAAAATGTAATGAAGCCATGCTAGTGCCATTTATGAACACCGGAAAAAGTGTGTATGATGTACGCAAAGAATGCAAAGGTAAAAAATAAGTAGAAGCAAAAATATATCTATTATATATCTATGTATGTATGTATTTACTTATTTAAAAACTTTCAAATGCATTTGTGTGTGTGTGTATATAAGGTGGTCCATTGTGCTATGAGCATATGTACGCAGTTGAACAATATCTTCGAAAACCCGAAGTTATTCGTGCTTCACACAGTCAGATCACAACATTCAAGACATGTAACTCGGCTGTCAACCACCGGTTTGTGGTGAATGGTGATTGGATGAAACCTTACCACGCCTCGGTTCCACGCCTGTTGGACGAAGGCATCCGAGTCTTATTGTATGCTGGAGACGCAGACTATATCTGTAATTGGATTGGGTACAAAGATTGGGCAAAATCGATCGCCTGGTCGCAGCAAAATGAGTTTAACCGAGCGTTTGATATTCCCTGGATCTCCAAATCTACAGGAAGAATAGCAGGCGAGATACGCCAGACTCGCAATGGTAGATTGACTTTCTTGAAGATGTACAAGGCAGGACACATGGTACCTTATGATCAGCCAGAGCATTCTCTTGACATGATCCACGCTTGGACTCAGGGCATTCTAGGTCATCGTTTATAGCAAATAAATAAATAATTAAATAAATAAATAAATAAAATAATAATAATAATGTTATATTATTATTAAAAGTGACTCTTCTACCCTTTAGTTCTTTCTCTCTTTTTCTGTTTTATTTCTTTAAAGATCATGCCACGCTGGACAGTTCAACAAACACAGTGGATCCGACAATTACTTCCAGTGTGTGATCACGATGCACATCTTGCTCAACGTCAGCTGGCTTGGCTTAAGGAAAAGGTCCTGGCTGATCATCGTGGATCGAGTGCACTCGAGTCTCGTTTGATTTCTCATTTGAGCGTGGCTGAATGTAACCAACTCGATGAGCATGTCAAAGAGCGTGCAAACAATAAACCATTACAGTATATTCTCGGTACACAACCGTTTTGTGATCTCGAGATAGTGACAAGACCACCAGTACTCATTCCACGGCAAGTATTAAAAAAAAGCAATAAATAAATAGATGAATATATAAAAGGCGACAACGAGAACGACAACTATATATGTATATATTCTTTTCCTTTTCCCTATTATCAACACACAAACACACACATATATATACATACGCATGGAAATTTAACTTAATTTAATAAGTGTAAAATCACAAGTAAAAGTAAAAGAAAAGTAAAAGAAAGAAAGAGACATTTTTGGTTGACATGATGTAGATGGGAAACCGAGGAATGGACGAGTCGGTTGATAGATATTCTCAAGCCCCATGCTGCGGCAAGATACAGCAAGGAAAATCCTCTGCGTGTATTGGATGTGTGCACTGGGTCAGGATGTATTGCTTTGGCCATGAGTGCACACTTGCCAGCCGCAAGAGCATCCATCCTTGGCTTGGACATCGGCAGTGAAGCAATTGATCTGGCTCGACATAATCTCAAAGTCCTTGACGATGAATTGCAGAACCCGGTCGAATTTCGTCAACAGGACATTTTTGACCCGGTCAAGGAACCTTTCTTTGACGTAGTCGTGTCCAATCCTCCTTATATTACCACCGAGGAATATGCTGTTTTGGATGCAGATGTCAAGGACTGGGAAGACGAACGGGCCCTGGTGGCGCTTGAAGACGGAACACGGGTGCATAAGAGGATTATTGAGGTTGTCAGTGCACACACAAAGCCAAATGACAGCAATAATGACAAGAATAAGAATATAGAGGAACGTGAATTTCCACGCTTAATTATGGAGATGGGTGGATCACATCAGGTTGACGCCCTTTCTTACAGTCTAGAAAAGCATGGATTTAGGAACATTAGTGTCTGGAAAGATCTTGCAGACAAAGACAGAGTGATTGTTGGCTATTGATTTTTTGTTAATATTTATGTTTATATGTATGGCTTTATTAATATTATTTATTCATTCATTTTGTACATGAAAAATACTAATAGATAAAAGGATAACAGAAAGTGATTCGCTTGTTTTATTTTATTTTATTTTATTTTATATTTATTTATTGATTTATTTATTTTTCTTGGTTATTTTGGTTATTCAGAGTTCAGATTGCATTTGACGTGTCATTTCTTCAAATAGCATTTGCGTTGATCCGGGGTATTCTCGTTCTGCGACTTGGAACGAACGTCGAAGGTTTTCAATGGCGGCTTGGCTTTTATGAGTGCGGCAACTGGCCTGTAGCTTTGTCAGGACCGGAGTGACCGCATCTCTGAGGATTGACTCACTTCGAAGGGTGCTTATGCTCCGAGAAGAAGCCGTCTTTGGTGGTAATGCTGGGAGTGGAGTGAAAGCATAGGCTGGCCGGGATGGTTGTGTTTCTGTGATACCGTACTTGTCAGTTGCTCGTACAGTATTCTGATTCACATCTTCTGATCCCTGCCGTCGTAGTGCCATTTGACTAACACTGGTCTAAGATGCCATGACAAGACAATAATAAATAAACATCAAATTATACACACAACTCCAATTGATAGACTGTTTGGTTCTTGTACTCTCCTTCGTTTTATCTAGTTTTTTTTTCTACTTACCGTTACTTCGCTTATACGACTTACAGGAGTAATTTGATTTTTGCTTGTAGTGCGGGGTATATTGTATCCATCATTTTCTGACTTTGAGAGACCTCCGATTGAATAGCGACTCTGTACAGATGGTAAACCACCACCACTACCACCACTACCACTACTGCCACTACTACCGTTGCTACCATTGCTGACTGCAGGTTTGGATATTGATGATGATGATGTAAAGGATTGCATTGATGGGGCAGTAGATGGCCGAACAGTACCAAAGTCCCAGCCACCGTCATCTACATTTTCATTACTACCAACCATAAAAGAGGGCAAAACAGTTGATTAATCAATTGATGGATAAGTATAAACGTTTTGATTAAATATCTATATCTGTATATCCATAAGAAATGGTAACCTTACTTTGTTTCATCGTCTGAAGAATCAGATTCACGCCCATGACCATGACTTAACCATCGTTCATGTAGCTCAATGAGTTCTGTAAGGTAAGATACTTTTTTGTGGCTCTTGATAAATTTGTGCTTCAATAATTCTTTTGCTGTTGGTCTCTGGAAAAGAAAAGAAAAACAAAGAGAGAGAAAAAGGAGTAGGAGGAAAGTAAGTAATTAATGATAGCTATATCTTTTCTATTTACTATTTCTTACCAGGTTTGGATCCTTTTGAAGACAAAGGGCAATGAAATCTCTAAAGGCTTTACTATACGAGCCTGTGAGAACAGGCGGTTGGTTCTTGGGGATGTGGAAAAGGACCTTCATGGGGTGCATATCTGCATAAGGAGGTTCTCCCTTGGCCAATTCAATGGCTGTAATACCAAGGGACCATATATCAGCCTACAATTAATTAAATTGAACATAAATATAAATATGTATGGATACCACGTTTGTGAGCGAGTTTTCATAAAGAGAAAACAATAGAGTGACAGAGAGCGATTATCATCTTGCTTTAGTTCAAATAAATCTCCTCAACCTGTTCTCCCCCCCTCCTCCTCCTCCTCCTTTATTTTCTCTTTCTTATTCCCTCCTTTGTTTGATAAGTTATAGATCTTATTTTGGGGTTTTACCTTGTAATTATATCCAGACTGCTTGATAACTTCGGGTGCCATCCAAAACTAATATCCCAAATAAATCAGCAACCTATACTTGATCCTCTTTCTCTCTCTCTACTTATTTATTCATCTTTCTCGCTTTAAATGCGTATGTGTTTTAATTTGTGCAAGAAAGCCACAGACTACGTTACCATATACTAAGCTATGCTACAAACATTTGTCCTTAATTTGTTTTTCAACTTACGGGTGTACCAACAAATGTATTCTTTTTGGTCAGACTTGCGGTCAATTGACCAGAAACACCAAAATCAGCGAGTTTGACTATATGTTTGGTTTAATTAGATTTATACGTACCATACTTGTAGCCTCATCAAGTAACTTTACCTTCTCCACTTGCACTTAGAAGAATATTCGCAGCTTTTTAGATATAAGATATAAGATATAAGACATAAGATATATCTGTATATATATATATATCATATATATTATATAAAGACCTTTTCATTGGACTAACCTTTGATATCTAAAAAAAGAGAATGAAAAAAAGGGATCAATTATAGTTCTTTTTGTAAGACGCTTATTTGTTTCTATATATACCTCTGTGTAGTTTTCCTTCAGTGTGCAGATAGTCGAGTCCCTTGAGTAGCTCCCGTACAATCAACATAATATGATCTTCTCTAATGACACCTGCTTTCATCTATAGCAATAATTATAATAAAAATACATCCTTTAGGGCTTTCCATTATAACAACATATATAGGGGATAGGTTTGCCACTTGATTTTCAGCTTTAATTTGGATTTGATTTTTCTTTACTTACAAGATCACTACAGGATCCACCGGAACAATATTCCATAATAATCCATAACCCAGTATTCTTAAGATAAGATCCATAATATCTAAAATGAATAATTAAATAAAATACAATAAAAAAAACATAATAAATGGTTTCTTACTTTGTTACAAAAGGTGAATCAAGTTGAGACAAAATAGCAATTTCTTGTTGAATATCATCGATTTCATCTTCAGCACTTTCAAGATCAATAACTTTGATAGCCACCGGTTTATTGGTTTTCTTTTCTATTCTGTAAAAAAGAACATCAGATAGAGTTAGATAGACTATTCAAGAATGCAATAGAAATCAACAGAAAGAAAGAAAAAATATAGAATTATCATCTTCCTCTTCCTCTTCTTCTACCCTTTATTTTCTTTTAATAGACTTTGTATGTCTGTGGTAATTATTCTATAATTCGCATGTATTATTATTATTTTTATTATTATTATTACCCCTTGAATACTTCACCAAAAGAGCCCTTTCCTATTATATATATATATGTGTGTGTGTATGCGTTAGAAAGATGATCGTAGACCTTTTTAATATTTTCTTCTTGTTCTTGTTCTAGTCCTTCTTCTGCTTTAGAATATTATACAAAAGTCATACCAATTCGCTCTTGTTTGATATAGAATTCTTCTGGATCGGCTGAGTGGCGAGTTGAGTTCTGCAAACAAAGAGGAAATAGCGATGAGATTTACTGGATGTGCGTGACGATGTAAGTGATTACCATGACAAAGTTATTCTTATTCTTGGTTTAATTACTATATTAATATTAATATTTCTGCTCTTTTCTCAACAGAGCTTTCAGATTTCTGTTGGACGTTTGAGTATCGATTGATTTATTTATTGGGTCTGTGGGTTGGTGGTTTTCCTTTTTCTAAAGAAAGATAGAATAAAATAAGAAAGGGGGAGGTAAAGAAGAGTAAGAAGAGTAAGAAGAGTAAGAAGAGTAAGAAGAGTAAGAAGAGTAAGAAGAGCAAGAAGAGTAAGAAAAAGGGAGAAGAAACCAAAATAATAATAATAATAAAAAATAAAATAAAATAAAAGGTTTAAAATGGGGAACAAGAAATATATATATATATATATATAATAACCCAAAATGGTGATTGGTAAACAGTAGCAAAGTAGAGTCTGTTTGGCGTTAAAGCACGTGCAGGGAAAAGCAAGCCTACAAAATAAGGAACTTTTATATATGTATACACACACACACACACACACATATATATATATATATATATATATATATATATATATATAAGTATAAATATAAATACATACATATATCCATATATATACATATATAGGTACATACATACATATACATATATAAATAAATTTATCTACTTATACAATTACATACATACAAATATACATATATACATAGATATATACATACATTTACGTGTTGTGTGTTGTGTGTCGTGTGTGTATATTTTATCTTTCTTTAAAGAAGAAGAAAAAGAAGAAGAAGAAAGGAACGCCTTAGAATAACAGACTGGCAGCTAAATCAGGATCACCGCTAGACATGTCAAGAGCATTTATTGCCTCCTACAAGAAAGAAAGAAAAATAAAATAAAATCAATACAACAAGTAAATACACTTATATATATATATATATGTTGTCTTGTCCAAACAGCCAATCGACAATCAAACCACACCCAAATGCAAAACACAAGGTGTATATGATTAAGTGTATATATTATTTCTTTGTACCTGACGACTGACACCCAAATTTGTTAACATGGTAATGTGGGTCTCTGGGTATGCTAATTAAACAAAGAAGCCGTTAATAAGTATATATGCATATATTTCAGGCCATTTAATTATTTGTGGTAGTAGTAGTAGTAGTAGTAGTAGTGAAAGTGTCGTTTATTTATTAATTCATTTATCTATGCTTACCTTGGGGACTAGACCGGGAAGAGGCCGCAACAGTAGTGGCCGCAGGAACAGAAGGAGTAGAAGGAGCGGGAACGGGAGCGGGAATACTGGCAGTTGGACCAGTTTGAGGAGAAGGCTGGTTGACAGAAGGGTTGGCTGCATTTTCAGCCGCTTGTTGACCTGCCACACGAGCCTCTGCTGGCATTTCATCCTCTGCACTTCCATGGACCTTAATTATTATTATTATTTTATTATTATTATTATTATTATTGTTTTTTTTTTGTTGGATGAGCAATGCATATCTATGCACCTGTGTGCACACACAGATATATATATTACCTCCATCATTCGCTGCTTTTCTGGTAGTTCATGCTCTGCTAAAAATGGTATTTCACAACTATCAAATGCCAGGCAATTCTTACGCAAATCAATCGAAGCCTTTTGGTTTGGTGTAGAGATAATTGATGAGTAAGTTAAGTCTAGGCTTATCAAATTAACAGAGTTCTAAATTACAATAAAAAATGGCAATAAAGACTAAATGTGCTTACTCTGTGTCGGCGCAGCATGTCAAGGCCAAACAAAAGCTCGGATCCTTTACCCTCAACCACAATAAACGAACATGCCAAATAAAAGTCATCAGATAGCTTCATTTGGGCACTGTGAATGCGACCAACAATTTTGGCAGTGCCAACACCTTTGGCAATACCACTGAAACGTGTGTCAGCCAAACGCATCAAATCACATCGCTCAGCAGTCTCTGGGCTAACTACAAGAGAAAAAGAGAGATTTTGATGTTGGTCATGTTTAATTTCTTCTTTTTTGATAATATAATAAACAGCACTAACAAAATGTTACAAAATCATCTATATATACTTACTAACAGTACTCTGGGCGCCTGAGTCAACTAGGGCAACCAATTTGCACCCATTGATCTCTACATTAATGTACAGTCGAGTTACCTGTAAATTCATTATTGTTAAAAATTATCACTAATAGTAAGCTTATAATACACCATAACCAAAACAATAAAAGACGAATAAGCTCTATCTATTTGTATTATCAAAGAGAGAGAAAAGAAAAATACATACGCGCGCAAATGATTCTGGATTATATTCCATAGCAGCCTCGAGATTTGCTGCAATGTTCTCTTGTCTAATAGCATCTTCAATTCTTTTTTGTGCTTCTATATCAAACGGATCATCACTCCCAGCAGCCTTTACAACAGCAGATAAATAAATCATTATCAATACTACCATTAACAATCTCGCTTTCTATTTTGTTACTTTTTTCGTTAGATTCCTTACCAAGTGAGCTCTTTGAGATTCAGCTTGACGCCGACTCTGTTCAATTTGCTGCACCATTGCTGAGAAGCGAGCAGGATCATTCAATGCGGCCCTGGCTAATTCAGGATTGGTCTATATTTTAATAGTGAGTATATAATTATTAATAAAATATATATATATATATCTTATTCTTTTACTGCATTGATTAACTATAGTACAATTACTCACATTGGCGAGTTGTTGAAGCAGACGTGGATCCCTTAGAACATGCTGGCGCATAACGTCAAAGTTGGGTCCTTCAGTACTTGGATTATTGTTGCTAAAGTAATACAGTTAGTAACAGCGACAATAATAGCGATTTTTTTTTACACTCTTACTACTAGTATCATTATTATCATCATTATTTTCAAGCCATATAATTTATATATAATATATATATATAGATTGAATTTAAAGAAAAAGAAAATAAGGGGGTGGGTGGGAGAGAAACCCCAAAAGAAAGAAGAAGAAACACATATATAAAGGGGTAGGGGATGAGAAAGAAAAGAATAAAGAGAGATGAGGAGAGGGACGCTTACGTTCTTGTTATTACTCTCATTAACAACAGATCATCCTGAAGCACTTTATATTCTTCTAATGTCTTTTTGGCTTCATTAAGTAGCTGTCCATCATAAAACAGAGATTGTTGACCAGAAGAGATTCCAGACTACACAAAAGTATAATTACGCGTTTTTAGAATATATGTATACAATCATATGTCTATTCAACAGTCAAGAGTCCACCCCCCTTTATATATGTATTTGTATATGTTATTCAATTCTTTATCTCTCTAAACACACCAATATATTTATATATATATATTACCTCAACTTCTAATAAAGCCTTGAGATCTTCAATGGCCATCTGCGAGTCAATCTCGAGATGGTACATTTCATCGGTTTCGGTGGTGACGACAATTCTCATGACGTAAAGAAAATAATGAAAAACAAGAAGAGGAAGAGGAGTAGAAGAAAAAGAAGAAAAGAGAGAGAAAGAGAGAGATGAAAAAAAAAGAAAACGATAGAATAGAATAGAAAAAGAATATATGAATGTATACAAGTAACTAGAACGGTCAGACCACTCATCGAATAAAATCATCTCGACCGCTTTGAGCCGGCGCTTAATATAAAACGTCACATACAAAAAGTGTATATATGTGAATGAATAGGGAAAGAAAAGGAATAAGATGCTGATTATTTGATTTGATTTTATTATCGATAGTATTAGTATTAGTATCAGTATTAGTATTGAAAAATGCATTTAACAGATTGAATGTAAAAAGAGAAAAGAGAAAAGAAAAAGCAAAAGCAAAAGAGAAACAAAGATTTCTGTATAGATTTTGTATTTTGTATTTTCTGGAATATTTTAGAAAGGATCTAGCATGAAATGGTAGACTTGTCCAGCAGAGTCCTTCAGTCGGCGAACGCACGAAGGATCTGAAGAAAACGAGACAACAGATGACACTAGATTGCTGAGCTTTGGCAGGCCAAGAGGAGGTAATCCAAGTGTAGGGAAAAATGATGCTGCAGTGGCAGTAACGGCAGCAGCAGCAGCAGAAGCAGCTTTAGTCATCGCTGGATTCTTTTTGGGCCTTCTATGTAAAAGTGTAGAACGAGGAGCGGTAATGGTGGGTGTAGTAAAGGTTTTGGTGGCAGTGACGAGGGTAGGTGAAGTAGCTGTAGTGGTAGTGGCTTTTGATGTAATGGATTTTGTGGTGGTAGAAGTAGTAGATGTAGGAACAAGAGTAGGAATTGAAGAAATAGAAGCTGTGATATTAGTATTATTATTATTAGTAGTAGAAATAGTAATAGTAGTAGTGGCGGTGGTAGTGGTAATATTAGTAGTAGCCCAAGCATGGAAGAGAGCTACGACGCGTGTGTGTCCAGCGTCGGCAGCAAGAGCTTTTGCTGTCTTTCCAACATTGTTGCAAAGTGATCGGTCCGCAGACGTCTGGAGTAAGGTGTGGACAATGTCCTGTTTGCCAGTCCAGCTCGCAAAGTGCAGGGCAGTAAACCCATTTCGATCTACCCGGTCCACATCTACACCTAACCGAATCAAGACTCGCACCAGACGACTGTAACCACAGAGTGCTGCCAGATGTAATAATGTGTGCTCATGGCAGTTTGTCAGAGAGATCTTTTCAGAACTCCATTGTTGGCATCTGTCAAGCCCAATCAATACGCCCATCATTTGATCCTCAAGGTGCCCACAGTACAGAGCCTGAGCATTGCTATATGCTGCAGACACTGCCGCAAATGTCCTTTCTTGTGGGTATTGTTGATGATATTGTTGTTGTTGTTGTTGTGGCTGAGGCGTAGAAGAATTCTTTCGTTGTTGATTGTCAGATGTGTCCCCTTGAACGATGCGCATCGCAATCTGACGCGCATCTTCTACTTTACCCATAGTTTTGAGACCGACCACTTGAAGAGCAAGCTCCATCAAAGCACGATCGCTTTCGTCAAAATAGGTAAACAGTACAACGTCTTGTCCCTCCAACATTAATGGATGCTCCTTGAACGACACCACAACAGGGCCGGCTGTGGGTGCAGGTGGAAGGATACACAAGAGCGTATTCGGACTCCAACAGTGGGTAGGCACTGCAGGATTTTCACCAAACAAACATGTCAAACCTTCATAAAAGTTAGAACCGAGCACAGTAACTTCGGCTCCACCATATATTGGTCCTTCTGAAGGAATCAAGCGGTGCAGGCGAGGAAGCGTTACATTCGATTTTGCATCTTCGGCCGCGTGACGTTGTTGGATCTTGGCATACAAATTGTTGGCCTGCCACTGCTGCTGCTGTACACAACTTGTGTTTGTCACGCGACGACGTTGAGAAGATGGAGGGGTTTGAAATTGAGATAGGATCTGTTGTTGATGCTGTTCAGGAGGGAGAAGAGGGTGTTGAAGTATGTGTTGAGTATGCGATTTTTGCTGCTGTTGAATTTGGTGCTGGGCCTGCTGTACTTGTTGCTGTATTATTTGTACTTGTTGTTGCTGTAATTGCTGCTGTAATTGATGTTGCTGATGTGGTTGGATCTGGAGTGACGATTGGGCCTGAGCTTGAGCCTGAGCTTGTGCTTGAGCTTGTGCTTGAGCCTGAGCCTGAGCTTGTGCTTGAGCCTGAGCTTGTGCTTGTGCTTGAGCCTGAGCCTGAGCCTGAGCTTGAGCCTGAGCCTGAGCCTGTGCTTGAGCCTGAGCTTGTGCTTGTGCTTGAGCCTGTGCTTGAGCCTGTGCTTGAGCCTGTGCTTGAGCCTGTGCTTGAGCCTGAGCCTGTGCTTGAGCCTGAGCTTGTGCTTGTGCTTGAGCCTGAGCTTGTTGAGCCTGTACCTGAGCTTGAGCCTGTGCCTGAGCTTGAGCCTGTGCCTGAGCTTGAGCCTGTGCCTGAGCTTGAGCCTGTGCCTGTGCCTGAGCTTGAGCCTGTGCCTGAGCTTGAGCTTGGGCCTGAGCCTGAGCGTGTGCTTGAGCTTGAGCTTGAGCTTGAGCCTGAGCGTGAGCCTGAGCGTGGGCCTGTGCTTGAGCTTGAGCTTGAGCGTGAGATTGAGCCTGAATTTGATGATGTGACTGATGCTGCTGTTGAATATGCGTCTGCTGTTGTATTTGCTGAATATGTTGTTGCTGTGGTGTCAGTAGATGCTCTATTGAAATCTCGTTTGTGTTAAAGAAATCAAACATGGTTCCTTCTGTCATCGAATCGAAAGTAGACAGCTGCAGATTTGCATTCAAAGTCGGAGTGGATGTTTGTTCCTGTGCGACTGGTGAAGGTGTTTGATCATAATCTTTTGTTTCTGGACTATTTACAGTTTCTTCGAGTTGAGAGGCAGGGGTGGCAGGTGTTGATGCTACAGGACTAGAGACACCTGAATCTGTATCTGCCCCTCCTTCTTGTTGAAGACTAGGGTTTCCTCCACTTCCAGCTCCAGCTCCACCTCCACCTCCTCCAGCAGCAAACTTTCGTTTCGGGTTTTCTTCGGCTGGTGATGATTCTAAATCAGTTCGAAGACGTTTGCGAGTAGAGGTAGTCGAATTGGTTGCAGTAGATATTGTGGTGCCCGTTGTAGGTTGAATCTTTGAGCTTTTGTGGTCATCGGTGATCATTATGGGAGGTGATCTTCCGGTAGCAATTACATGGTTGTGATAATCCTTAACTGTAAAGACCACTCTGAAACCCACCTTTTCGCTATGGTGACGACAATAACAAGTTATTCGAGTGGGAAGAGTAGCCTCTCCTCCACGAAAATCAATAGTCTCACTACAGTTGAATAGTAAGATCTTGCGTCGTTCTAAATTCATTACTTCTTCATCGTTTAGGTCAGGAAGATCGTTGGCAAATAAGGCAGCCAATTTCGCAGCGCCACCTTCTTTGTTAGCTGCTCTGGCTGCCTTGTTGTCTCTTTTACGTTTCAGTCTTTTCCGCTATTCAAAAAAGCAAATAAAAATTACTTATAAATAATAGCCCAAGAAAAAAGAGAGAGAGAAAAAGCAAACAAGAATAACAACAATATTTGCCGTACCTCGCGATGAACACAACTTGCACACATAATAATCTCTTTGTCTTCATGGCTGTCACACACCACGGCGGCTTCGAGTCGGAGAACATCAGACTCAGACAAGGTAGATCGATCTTCAGTATGTTTTGGATGTTTACGTTTCAGCTTGTCTTTGGCTACCAGGTGTTCAGGCAAATGCAGACTTGGCCAATGAGTGGCCAAATCGCCTGCAGTGTTGACTAGCTGAATGCAAATTTTGATCTGTGTTTCTACACGACTTTTTGCACCCTTCCCAGGCAACCCAAGCACGCGAATCTGCCAGGGAGCTTCAATTTTTGTCCTTTAATCGGTGTGTGTGTATGATATCAGATACAGAGCAAGGTATTTTATTATATATATATTAGACTTACATCATAGAATCTTCAAGTGCGGGGTCCAGTACAAGTTTGGTGGGTGGGGTATACATGGACTGCGATGCATCATCTTCTTTAGGACCAAGTTGACTATTCACAAGTTAGTCGGGTTTCCAAGAATTTTAAGACTCTTAAGAGTCTCTTAGTTTACATATTTATACTCATGTATATATGCATTTACCCGTTAAGAGCTGTTTGTGCAAGGAAGTCTTCAAAATTGAGGAAATTACGAGCCAAGATAGGAATGGCATGTAGCAAAGGATTCACGAATACCTATACATTCAATTCAATCTGTTTTTTTGAGAAAAAAAAAAGAGATCGCAAATTCTTCTTATTCTTCTTCTTATTCTTCGTCACCGTCTTCTTTTACATATAAAGTATATAGAGAGATTTTTAAAAAAAGATATTTTTTTTCTTACGTTCAGGAGAGATGAATGGCTAGTATCTTTTTGCTTCTGTTTCGGTTCTCCCTTCTTGGTCTCTGAATCTTCTGTTTCGCAAGGAGTTTCCTGAAGGTGTGGTGGATAATCCATAAACTGAGCATCATTTAAATGTTCAGGTTCTTGTTTAATTTGATTTTGAGACATCAACTGTGATGGATCTATACCTAAATATGAATTTATATATACATATATAAAATATTAAAAGGTAAGAACTATGTGAATACATATGCGTATGTAAGATTATAATTATATAACACACTACTCCTTCAAAAGCAAATCATTATTCTCTTCTTTTTGTTTGTTTTACCCATAGTGGCAGGTTCAAGCTTGTTGAACTGAAGTTGTTGTGCATTGTATTCGGCCACTTGGTTGAGAAACAGATCCATAACTTCATCGCCATGTTCGTTCATTGGGATCTCGGACGAATCAAGAGCCAAGATATTCCGCTCAGATGAATCCAATAAAGACAGGTCACCATCTGTGTTTAAAAGGTCCTGCTTGTCGGATGACTTGAGGGGAAGTGACATGGCGCAAGGGCTCCAATAAAATAAAAAGAAGGAGTATTAGGGGGAGGAAGAAGGAGGAGGGAAGGGAAGGGAAGGAGGGAGAGAAGGGAGGAAGAAAAATATATACGTAATAGAACTCAGGTTCTTTCTCCTATGTGATTGGCTAACTAGCTTTCAAGTGTGGGGATAGGATAGGCTTTATTTATTTTTTGAAGGAGGGGAGAACAAGAACAAGAAGAACAACAATGGCGGACCTTTATTGGTGTTCAATATTCTATTTGCACGCGGATCTCGTTTATCCGCTTGTCAACGTCACTCAATTTTTATGTATAAATATCTACTATACATATATACATATATATATTTAGCCTTTTTTTTTTTACCTCTGTAGTGATAAAAATTGTGAAGGGTTCAATTTACCAAAAAAATTGATGGTTTTTTGTGTTGTGTTGTAAATACAGTACATATACCTTTGTAGTATAAAAACAGGCAACATCTTGTTGTGATTGGTGCTGAAGTTAAAGGTTAATTCTACACTTTATTTTTATTTTGGTTATCCATTCAGCGATTTCTATTAATCTTTAAAAGATAAGCAACTGTGATTAATTAGCCTTTGATCTCCCACTCTTCACCAAGTTGCTTGACTATATATAAAGACCTACAGCTTGTAGAATGTAAGTAGACAATATTATTGTAAATTAAATAATTAAAATGTCGTAAAAATGGGAACTTTTAAGTGGTGTACAAGAGAAAAGAAAATATATATAAGAAAAAAACACTTGTATTCCCAACTGCAGGATTTGTTTCATACTATATACGCTTATAAATATATAAATATTTACGTTTTTATATGCATATTTTTATCCGATAAAAAAAGGTTTGTTATTTAAATATTTGTATATATATATATATCTTTTGAAGCTTAAGAAGATTTAACATCAAATGGAGTGACATGGGAGAAATGAATTTGTATGGTATATTGAATGTTAGTATATCTGAAAGCCGATGTCTTTCTTTTCCTTTCTCACTTTTACTGAGATCTATGAATATCCAAAAAGCACATCTTTTTACAAACTAATCTTTGTGCAGATATACACTACCACTATTTAGCTATGTAATACAGGTAGCTTGTTTACTTAAAGAAAGAATCTCAGATTCATAAATTTTTGGGCCATGCGTTTTTTTTAAAAAAATATATATAGTATATGTATGTATCTATGTATGTATGTGTCTTTGTGTGGAGATTTCATCTCATAGATTGGAATTACAGCTTTATAATGAACTTAACCACGCATTTTAATAATTTTATTATCAAATACTTATATGTGCGCTTCTACAACACTGTTAACTTTGCGTAGTAAATTAATCTATTGTATAGTACCTTATAAGTGGCTGTCTTCATCTTATCGTAATCTCTGAATGGTAGTGTATACTATGAAACGTCAAATATCAAGAGATAATCAGTGATACTCATGTAATCAAGATCCTACAAGTTACAGTTTTTTTTTCAAGATAAGATATAGATGGGTTTAAATGCCCAAAATGTTTGTGAGATAGGAAAAATATAACAGGGATAAAATTAAACTTGCAAAATACCAGGCTTCAAGAAGTCAATAAAATTTAAAAGATCAACAAATAAAAATGAAAAGTAAAAGAGCAAATTTGCAGTCATTATTCTTAAGCCTAAATATTTAAAGAATTCACTGTCCTCCTTTTATATAATGCTTATTACTAAACATATGCGTATAGCACAATTCACCAATAATTACAAATATCAGGTATCTTAAAGATTACATTTGTTAGGGCATTACATTCTTTCAGTAAGTTGGTAAATTTCTTTGATATTATTTTGTACTGCGTAAGGGATAAGGCGAAATACTTTGTATTGATCACAGAGAGATGATGAAACGAAAGTGGGATATTCAAAAGGTGCTTTTACTTTTGAGCTACAATACCAAAGCAAAATATGAAAAATATAAATAAATAGGTGGGTTAACACCAAGGATAACCATGGTGAAATAGAGCAATATATTGAAGTATTTTATATTTATATGTAAGTCTATTACCCGACGTATCAAGATAATGAATGTATTTTTGTAGCATTCTTTTTTCAAAAAAAAAAACGTATATATCATAAAAACCAGGTATTCATTAATTTAACATTTATATGATAAGCCTAGCTCAAATCCGTATTCATGAGCGACTGTACATACTCGGATAGATTTGTTATTGGCTCAAGGTGAACAGTTTTAATCATACGAGAAAAATAAAAACCTGGTAGACCTTCCATATCACCGTTAGTAAGAAAATATCCATAAACCCAATATCTTCCAGGCGTGTTATTTTTTAAGCAGAGCTTTTCGAGTTGACTTTGCTCCTGGTATTTATCCAGTGAATTGTATGAGAATGGTTCACCAGATGAGAAAACCTGCTGCTTAATATTGTTTCGTTGGGATTGACTACATCCCCATAATAAGAATAGCAAGCTTTCATCTTCAGTATATGACAAACAGGCAGCTGTTCCATCGCGAACCTCAAGGGTCATTTTAACCTTAAATACAGCTCTAGCATCATCACACAGACCTCCGCACTTGTCTGCCATAGCACATAGTCCACAAGTCTTGCATATCCATTGCATGTGTAGCTTTAGCAGTTTGATATGACACACGGCCTTGAACAACCGCCTTTGCTCTGGTACTGATTCACCCAGCATATACGTCGGAATATCTTGGTCAACTGATATGTTAAGATCTTGAGAAGTCTCAATTAATGTGAAATATGTGCAGGTTGTCCCAAAGCCATATATTACACTTCCTTGCCTTTTAGGTTTTAGGCCTAAATTAGTGAATAAAACAACTGATCCAGGAATGACACCCAACGGCATGATCTGTAATCCCAGGTTTATATATATGTCAAAGGTACTCAATCCAGATCTTAAGCGGACCAGAATGCTGTGCGAGGTCATTTGAGGGCATCCTACACGATGTGTCTTGTAAAGCTCCCATATTCGCTGTCTGTTCTCTGGCATTAAACTGTCTCGGCTCGAAACATACTCTTTGTATACCACCAATCCTATTAAATTTATTGTTTTCTGAATGTGCTTGCCACTGTACTCAGAATTGTACTGCGCTGATATTTTCTGAATTCCTTTAACGTCGTATATCTTTGGTACTTTAAAGTGTAAGATTGGATTCAACACAGGTACAATATGTATCTTGGATGTATTCGTAGCGATTGGTACAATTTTCATTTTTGAGCCGACTCTCCAGAGAGACTGTCTAGGGTTTTTATATGAGCTGGCCATCCATCTTCCTATATGGAATTGAGCTAATTGATAAAGGCTGTCTCTTTCTGAGCTTAATACAAGTGTAACAAAGTGCGGGGAGACAGTTTGGCAAGTAGAGTCTGGATGAATAACATCATAACATATAGCAATAATATGGCTTTCCAAAACAACAGTATTCTTTGAAGAAAAAACCGCACGAGTAGGTTGGATATTTCGAATATGTAAAATAGTCAAGACATCATCTTTTTCTTCAGCTTTAAAGTGGTCAAGGAACGAGTTTATCACCGACGCATCAGGCAAGTTTGTTAACAAGTGAGACTGCCCAGTAAAAAGGATATCAACATCTTCTATATAGCATGTTAAGTAAATATTTTCTGTTTTGCACGCGTTCCCACTGGAGTTTTTGAAAGAGGTTTCTTCGTTGATGTAATCAAATCGTCGGATAATACAAAGTGTCTCAATCAAGATAATGTCCCTTGAATGGTCCTTAGGGTAAACTACCAACAGCGGAATATATCCTGTACCATCCTTTAAGCAGAGCTGTCCGTCTGAAAACGCATCCACTACACCTATGATAGGACAATCTTCAAATGAAGCATGCTGAATATTCAGATCACTCAGGGGAGGACTGTATTTGCTTTGAGATTTTTGAGATCCAAGCTTTTTTAATTTTTCAATTGAAGGGTAAGTCTGCAAGGAAAATTTGGCGTTTCTGGATGAAGGGACGGCGTTACAGAATTGGTTGAATTCCAAAAAGCTAGTAAACCTAGATAATTTCTGGTCCGCGGCTTCATTATGATCTTGAGAGAGCAGAGTTGATGCATAATTTTGTGTTGCTTGGAGTAGTGCATTCGGAGACATAGAAATACTCATAAAAAGCTGATAATAATATAATGTCCATTTGAATTCGAGCGTCTGTAAAAGTTGCATAAAATTCATATTTTCATCAAAGCTTGATTGATCAAGGCTATTCATAGAGCATGCCTTCATATCTAAGGGAATTTCACTGGCAGTCGTATATATTGGGATACTCAATATTTCGATACGAGATCGTGGGCAAGCTATCAGAAACGAGTAGGTCTTTGGCGCATCTGAAGAGAATGGCGATTTCCAATGGTTGTTTAGTAAAAGACTATTGTCCGCTTGAATTTGAACTGAGTGTATATGATGTAGACGAATTCTTGTTTTGGGATGACAAGGCAAAGATAAACGTGCTGAATGAAATAAGCAAAGTGTATACTGATGATCTATTTCATATATTCCCAATACACTATCAATTGCCCGTGTAATTACTCCTTCGTATGTATGTGAGTCATCTGCATCACTTTTGAGCCACACGGCAGGCGGAAAAACTGAAGTATGTTCCGTTAGCGATGGGATTCGAGCAGCAGCATTTTCCAAGATCTGTCCTTGATATTGAGTTATACAGAAATACTTCGACTGGATAGGTATGTAGCGTAAAATTCCGCGCTTGGTTTGATTGAGCGCCAAGGTGGCCACCTGGACATCCGAAAATACATAATAATTTCCAATCCGAAAATCCCAGTAATATTTGATAAACTCTTTTCCAAGGAACCAAACACAAAGTGTATAGTCTTCATCCTCGAGTTCAACAAAATAACATGGAATACTACCAGCCTTTCTTTGGTAGACGCCCGATATTGCGCTAACTTTCCCTGAAATATTCAATACTGCAAGTTGATTCGATTTCCTTAATTGTAACGGTCGATAGATAATGCTATCATTAAGCAATTTTTGACATCGCGCTGTGTGTTTTTGCATGATTACATCCAATCCGTCAAGGCAGCTTGGATCCCAAATGAATCCCACAAACACACTACCGTCTGTCAATATTGTCCAGGTCCATTGGCGTAAACACACGATTTGATTGTTTGAATAAGGATTAATTTGATCTACTTGACATTTGACATTTTGATGGGTAGTTGGATCGACCAGTTGAATTATTGGACAGGAAAAATTATTATCATTTGGGACGATCTGGATCCTAGCCACAATATAAGCCTTTGAAAGTGAGGAAGACGTGCTTTGGTTTTGTGCGAGAAGCTCATGCACTAATTGTATAATCATTGATCAATCTTGGGTTCTTGTTTGTTGAGAGACTTAAATGGTTGGTATCAGTTGAAAAGCAAAATAAATTTAACACCCGGGAATCGTGCTTAAGTAAAACGTTAAGCTATAAGTTTTTCAACCTGAAATTGAGATTACTCTAAAAAACAATTAGACAACTGAGATTTTTAATTTTATTTTGATGTTCGCCAGCAAACGCGGTTAAATATTGTTAATTCAACCAGATACAGTTGGTGTGGACAGATTAAAAAGATCAAAACAAAGATCAAAGTAAGATTAGCCAATAAGATTATTTTATAGTCTTCCGCAAACTGCAATATTGGGCAAAGGGATTTATTTTTATAAAAATGTTTGATGCAAATATATGTATTGATGGATAAGGAGGAAAACATATGAATAAGGTTAGGGAAGTAGGGATATATGATACAAAGACTAGTAACACAGTAAGAATGTGGATGGTAGTAACAAGGGGTTTTCTCAATTTGACACAGTCAATTCTAAGTAACCAGAACGGTCGATATCATTTGCAACATAGCCGGAAGTTACAGAAAAAGGTCGACCTTTTATTCAAATCTGTATTATTATTGGAATATACCACTCGCATACATGGCTGGACTATCTTATTAAGGCGCTACTTTATTTTTATATTGTCCATTGAAAATAAATCGATATCATATGTAATACTTTAGCCGATCTACAACTGATCCATACCTTATTTAACTACGAAACGTTGGATATCAAGAGTAGTAACTGTAATTTTATTCGCTTTTTTGGCTCGAGATAGCCCATCTTCCGGACCAGCTCAAAGTCCCAAATTTTTCTATCAGGACAATATTGAATCTATAATAGTATCAGCAAATATTCCATCAAGATTTTCCTTTGGTGTAAAAAGTCTAAAAGTTGAAAAAAGTAACGTTATTATTAATCAACCAGAACTTCAAAATACTGCATATCATACTCATATATTTACTTTGTCTACCTTGAGACTCTTATGGTCAGTCACAAAATAAAAGTCAAAAAAAATGTATTTTTATATTACACTTACCTTTGGCACACTAAAGTATAAGTCTTTGAGGAGTGGTATGATCCAAATAAATATAAAAATGGTAAGCTGCAATCTAGTCATTGTATCATATATAAAACTGGTCTGTGCTCATTCATCATGTACTGAAAGATATCAGAGAGAAAGAAATAGCTGTATATGCGCTAGTTTTATTACCATGGCCCTTTTGAAAATCTATTGTCAAAGTCAGGATCACAGGGCAGACTCATATTCGGCTAACATTACCATTATCGCTAAAGCGGGTTACCAAATCTCTAAACAGAATAGCCTCATTTAGAAAATTTCTGTAACCGCTGGGCAAAAATAAGACAAGTAGTTGGCTTGCAGACTGATGCATCTCATGAGATATAATCCTTTCAGATCATGTCAGGCAATTACCCAAACAATCGTATAAGAGAAACCATCATCAATATAACTAATCAGCAATCATTGCCTTATTCTGACGGAGAAAATGAGCTACAAGGAGAAATGCCGGCACCTCCACTGTCGTCAAAACGCAATAACCAGGCACAAACATCTCCAAAAGTTGAGGAGATTCGCAAAATGATTCGGCACATATTGACCAAGCTTGGGAAACGAAAGCGACCTGCACCTTCAATCGCTCATCTAGGCGAGCAGTTACGATCTAACAATGTCTCGACCCAGTTTGAAAACGAAGATACAGTAGAGTTGCTTTTTCGATTGAGAGAGGTGCTTTTACTTTGTCAAGACATGGATGAAAAACTAGGTATTCAGATACTTACCCAAAGGTAATTTTTTCTTGAAGAATATAAAGGTTAATAGGATATAGAAAACAAAACTCAATGGCTCTGCTGAGTAGTGAACGAACACCAAGCAACTCTCCAGCATCCTCGAGATCAAATTCCCCAGTCCCTTCACCAAAGTCTGCCGTGCCCTCTCGATCGTTTGAGGCATCACCCACAAATGCACATAACTCTACTATAAAAAAAGAATCAAGAGTTGATTTTGAAAAGATCCTTTTTCTTCTTGACGAATTAGTCATCAATGACTGTCGCTATAAATCGGCAAACCCTAAACCAACCCAACCACCATATATGATGCAGTCAGTGCTTGTGGATATTGCAATAATTCTGGTTAATATTCGCTCAGACTCAGTGGGCTTATATAACATTGGTGCAACCATGCTTCCTGCATTTGAGACATTTAACGATGGTGCCCTGGCTGGAAAGCTTTTGTCATTTTTCATTGACATATTACTTCCAAAGTTAATGGCCTGTAAAGAAGAGTCAAAGTCACGCGGGGACAGGTTTCCATCGCGCAGAAAGCAGCAACCTTCTACTTATAATAGTGGTAAAAACTATTTTTCTTTTGAACATATGTACATGTTTATAAAAGTAACAGTCTATAGAGCTATAATATAAACATCAAATTCTTATCTAGTTACAGTCCCATCCACAAAACATCAACACACCCAAAGCGTAACACCTACGATTAACATTCAAAGTGCCGACGTGGAAGATAATACCGACAAAGAGCATACCCAACCTGTCCGATCATCTAATCTAACTATCGATACTCGTCTATCCCAATCCCAAACCCAGTCCCCTATGAACCCACGTTCTCCCGGAGGACCGCCACGATCTCCTGCAATACAAAGCCAATACAGTCACCAACAACTTATGGAAACACACCATGCCTACGCATTATTTACACCTTTACTCTTTTTCATGATCCAATACCTTAACCCATATCTTTCATCCTCTCGCGCCGGTACACAAACCAATTTATCGGCCGCGATTTCTCGCCAGTCTTCTTCTATCAACAATTTTCATTGTGCTCTACGTTTCATGATTGCTACAAAACCTGATTTGTATTTCGATATCCTTGACGTTATTTCCCATAGTACCCCGGAGGTCAAGTTTCGAGCATGTCAGGTTCTGTTCCATTATTACAATATCGGTGTCGGCCATGTCTCCGTAGCAGAGCCACTTCCAAAACTAGGCATCGTGGAAGAAATTGCTATCCTAGAAAGAAACAGAAAACGACAAGAATTTGAGAGCATTAGACAACAAGAGCAACAACAGTCAGACCCTACCTTCTTGGAGACAATGATCGGCACAAATGTCGCTGGAATAAACCGAAAATACCGCAACGGAGCCGGTGGAAATACAAGGTCCCCACAGCTAAACCACAGAGGAAGTGGCACATCAGACTCTAACGATGATGACTACAATGATGATTTTCATGTTTGGTACCCTCATATGTTCACAAAACCTTACAGCCAAACAGAATCTGGGGAACAAAGTACTCAGCAAATTCCAAATGCTACATATATTCCTGATTCTGGAGTAATAGATTATGCAAACGGGTCTTATTGTAATGAATGCTACAAAGAAATGGAAGATTATGGACTGAGGTGCTACCAATGCAAATGCAATGTTCACTACAATTGCTTCAACCAACGTATGGCAACCAATGATCTCGACATAATGCTTTATGTTAAAGAAGGCGGGGTGCAAAAGGTTGTCAGCCCTCAGTTCTGTCATATTCCACCACAACCTCGCTTCTCACATCTGCATGGCAATGAACATGGAGGATATGGTGTGTGTGCAGCGCAGGTGGATATATTTGGTCATCATTTTCATCTTGTCAACTTGTATACTATTATGCTATGTGCTTCTTGCGTGCTTCCATTGTGGGGAATTTCACAGCAGGGCTATCGATGTTCAACATGCAACCGTTTTATTCATCCAGAATGCCTAGCACAGGCCAAGAGAGATAGAAATACGAATAACCAACACTCAATACTCCATACTTGTCAACCTTATAAGTCACTCCTGGAAAGCGATACAAAGATCACACAGAAAGAACTTTCCAAACAATTGTTTTCATTTTATGGTAACCTTGTTCCTAAAGGAGAGAATGAACTAATGGGCCGAAGCTTTGAAGAAGTGGGAACCGTGTTGAATGTTTTACTACTACAAGAGAACATACTTCATTGCGGAGTCGCTGCTGGATGCTTGTTGGTATGCTACTTGTCGGATGATCCACTCACGTCAAACACAAGAGATAGCGGGGCTCTCACCTTTGCTCAGCCATGCCCTGCCTTACGACGGGGCATCGAATTATGCATAACATATCTTGAATCAGGAAGCTGCAAAGGATCTTCCTTTCTCAGTGATTTCTACAGCAACAGACATCACAGCCTTGGAGAGTGGATGTTGAGTAAAGAGGATTATTTGTCCCATCTTGCTGCCATGATGAAGTCGTTAGCCAAGTCTTCTAATGAAGGAACGATCCAGTCTGTGATCCAAACCGCTTCAGAGGTCAAACGCAGATCAGCAGGAGATGCCCGAGGATTCCTTCAAGTCGTTCCAAATCCATTCACAGAACGTTGGAATGATGATGATGACTTTGATGACGAATCTTGCCTACCTCAAGAAATTATGGAACGATCTGCTATGTTAGCTTGGCTTATGGAGAACCTGCACTTGAAAAGCAAAAAGACCGGGGAGATTATGCTACAGCACATGTGTAATCTTGGTCTCTTTGAACGAAAGGATGCAGCACCTATCCTTTTCACTTCTGACACCACTGCCACCGGATCTTTTTTGCAAAGCCCCCACTCTTTACCACTGTCATCTGAAAATGAACCTGTTCAATGTGTTTTTCCAGTACCATTTGCAATAGACTGCTCACCAACAGTCGAAACATTGATTAACAGCATAGAAGCATGTTTTGATGATATTGATATCACACTGAATGAGTGTGGCATGCTTCTTCTGGTCCGACGTTGTTGGCCTGATCCGTTCATGTCACGTTACACAACCGATAGACTTATCCACGCAATTTTAACTTGGATATTTCAAGAAGACGAAAAACTGTCAACATTACATGCTCAATATATATCCAATAAGCACCAGATTCCTGGTGTCCGGCAGAACAGGTATACACACGCAGCTCAACTGGCTCTTCTATCAAGGACAAGAGGATTGGCAGGAGAGAAACAGCGCCAAAGCATCGCCTTTGGTACGACAGCTGGAATGAGTAACGGTACTGGAAGTGCGTATGTAACCATACGCACAGCCCTAAGAGATCGATATGTCTTCCCTTGGTTAGCAGCAGTACATTCTATGGATCCAAGTATGTATGCATCGATACTATCTGATACTATTGAACGAATTGTGGACGGAAGACGAGAAGAGTGCATGATTCCCGAGTGGATGGAACAACAAAACCACAAGGTATTTTGTACTATAGTCTTGATAAAAAAAGGGAGGGGCTGACCTTTGGTATAGAAAACCACATCTCGAAGATATGATGAATACATGGGGTACATATTGAAACTAAAGCTTGGTGGTTTAACCTTCAGCAGTCAAGATTATATGCTTGAAAGATGGCTTAATAAGGCATACGACGACTTTGAAGCCACAGGAGTATTAAAGGTAAAAATTTAACTTTCTATTTATATAAGTTGTATCCGTTTTCTCACACACTTTTTAATTTTAGGATAATGAGCCTGTCGATGTATCTAATCTTGCCAGGCTCTGCTCAACGAAAAACGTAGCATCGAAATATTCTGCAGCACCATCTGTAGTATCAGACTCAACCCATCCCTACGATACAATCACGAATCTGTTTGAAACAAAAGATATTGAAAGTATTGATCAAGGCATTCGCTGGCTGACTCTTTTCATGCATTCTGGGTTTGTTACACTACTGTATAACAGTAATAAGACCATACTAACAATGCTTTTGTAGAATTGGAATATCTTCAGAAGCTTTATCAAAAATATCAAGATTATTGATCGCAGCCGGTGCATCTATCAGAACACTCGCAGAATTCCTTAAGCTAGTTTGGTTCCAAGCTGTTAATGTACTCAAGATTACTACGTCTCGTGCTGCCATTATTGACATTGTTGGATACATTAATGAAAAAACATCGGGATCACTATTTTCTCTCAATGAGACTCCAAATTTACCAACTGAACGTTTGGCCAGGTAATAAGATTTTAGTTAATAGCGGTAATTCACAGATGTCTAACTTTTCTTTCTTTACTCTAAAAAACTAGTACACAAAAATTTGTAAAATATTCTGTAGTACTGACATGCTTTGCTTACAATTGTCCATTGGCCAATATTACTGAGCTTGATATTGTTCCATACTTTGGGGACCATGTTGCCAGAGTAATGTAAGTCTGCGTAGCGTGATTGTTATTGATTCAATTATTCAATTGTATTTAACAGGCGGACAAAACGTGCTTCTCTTGACAAAGATAATACTTCCCCAATGCGTGCAGATGAGAACACTCCTATAATTCGCTGTATGATTAAGTATCTTCGATACGACCAAATTAATGTTCGTACAGATGTAATCAAGATGTTCTACGCTTTAATATACTGGGGATTTGGAATAAGTAATAAATCGGATTTTGCTACCAAATGCATGTCAGCCCTTATACCAGCGTAAGAGTTGACTTTATTATTTGGAATTAAGGAATTCTAGCTAATGAACACGCGTGTTTGTGTGTATGTGTGTTTAGGATTTGGGAAATGTTGCCTCCGAACCACGATCATATTAGTGACATAAATCTTAACTTACTGATGAAACTTCTCAGTATAGACGTACGTTACTTCCAGGCGTGCGTTTATGAGATATTTGAAGACTCGAACTGGGAAGTCAGGTAAAATAAAAACATTATAAATGTATGAATTATAACTATAGACTAATCACAAAAATCGGTACAAAAAAAAAGATATAAAGGACTGGATCATCTTTATGGACTATTCACAAAAATGGATTATGCTTTCCAGACAAAGTGGTTACAAATGTTGACACATCTTGGCCCTGTATTCAGTTATTTCGTTGGGTGTTTATGGGACAAAGAAGTAAGACATCCGATAAAAAAAACTTTAGCTTTAAGACAAACTACTTACTTTGGCATGCCTTTAGGAAAATGTTCGCTCAAAGACCTTTGCGCTCATTCGTACTTTCGGTACATTGCATCTTCGCTCAGCATTCTGGTGCTGGGAGGCATATTTTATGGCAGCATCAGACCGCCAAAAAATACCCTTGGTTAGCCTCATGATAAATCTTCATGCTATATTCCCAGAGTGGCAGGTCCTACAATGGGAGGCACTACTTGGTGCTCTTGAGATGAAGCGGTCCGATAAATCCGATACCCGATCCCTGGATATTTTGGATCATTACATGCGCTCAGACCACAGCACAAAAGATAAAGATCATGATGATTCTGCTTCTGAGATTGCTGCCGACTCAGAAAATTCAAAAGTTCTTATGCTTTCTCTTGCACTTCAGATGCTGAGTAATCATATAAGCATTACCCCTACACAAATATCCAGGTTTAAACTAATTTTGGTTGAGCAAATGGGATTTAATAACTGTCGCCGGTTCGAAAACGCTGCAGATGAGTACGTGGTTACATTTGGAGAATTTTGCTATGATCCAAAAGATCCGTCTCAAGATGCCATGATGATATCAACCTCTCGTGGTTTGAAGAAGGTTATGGATAGTTTTTCACCACTTCCGGCTGAAACAGTAGCATCGATGCCGTCTGATGTCTTGGAGCAAAATAGACTAAAATTGACCGAAAACAGTAGCCCAGGCATTCATTTCATTGATGTGGTGTTGAAAATGTTCAACTCTTCTGTTGACTTGACAAAGGTCAGCCATATAATTGTAAAAGCATGGCTTGAAATAATCCTGATAGTCGTCTACAAGGTAAATATATATATATATATTAAATGGTTTATATAATATATTTTTAAACATATCTTAGCATAACATTTTAGTACACGAATATGAGCTCAGTGTCGTGAACTGCATGAAACAAATCATCGAACTTTTAATCAAGGAAATAAGCGAAGAAAACAAGCTATTGATTCTTGAGATTTTAAAGTGTCTTCTTCGACGATCGGATCATTTGACTGCCATGATTCTTCTAAAGCAAATTATGGCTTTAGGAAAGCTTATGACAAAGCTTGGTGGAAAGGTCACTGAACCAGTGTATCTTAAGGCAAAACAATTCTTAAAAGGGGCCTTTCTCCGCTTTGCGGGCGCTGGATTGTTTGTACTTTTATTTAAGGCAAGTAGTGGTGTGTAAAAAATAGCTTTTTTTTAGATAACTGAGGATTTACGATGATTTTAGAACCGAACAGTACAGGATTCTGGTAACCGGGATGTAGACCTCTTCTATATACTTCGCACTATAATTGATCCCGAAGATGTTGTTCCTGACGAAGACATGAGAGAGGTTATATATCTTCGTGATCAGCCAGTTCGTGATGTTTTGGATAAACTGATGAAACAGCAAATGGAAAGAAGTTCGTTTTCAACGGTATTGTATAATATGTGTCGATACGTTGAAACCGTTCATTCACACCCATACTCGGAGACCATATTAAATGGTAATTAATGCACATTTCGGGTCATTTTATACTTAAAAGGATTCGCCTAATATAAATTACAGATTACGCGGGATTTCTCACAACACTTGTTAAGCACACTTCTGGGTGGAGGCGCTCAGAGTGGAACATTAACCCTGTTCTTACAATGTCTGCAATATTTCTTAAAGAACATCCTTATCATTTTTCGGTAAGTATTCAGATTAACAGCTAGACGTGTGACTTACACACATTCTATAGATTTTGCTTGCGCCCATCCAGATCTTATTCAAGCATGGAATTGCACATTGTGATTTAGAGGCTGAGAGCGTTGTTAAACTCATGGCAGCTTATTCTGCTATTTCTTCCATTCCTGGCACACAGCCACAGAATGTATTTGCAGAAACGATAATTGAAGAAGTTAAAGCAGGAATGAACAATCGGCTTAGACTCAATAGAACCACATTAATGACCTTGTTACAGGTAAATGAGTAGAAACCTCTAATTAAGAACTATAAACACTAACTTAATTTAAAATCAACTAGCTTATTTTGTGGGATAACGACAAAGAAGGAAAAACTTGGTACACCTCTATAGAAAATGAATTTTTAGGAGAAATGGCTCATGGGCGACAACGGAACCACTACTTTAAGGACAAGCTGCCATTTATCTTGGACCCTGTCGTGAACTTTATAAAATCACAGGTTGTGGTTTCTCCATTTACAGAAAATGATTTCCGAACCTACAATACAGCATCTCAAATATTAGTTCTCTTGTGCAGAGAGGATCGGAAGTATCTCAGTCGAGCACTTGCATTACAAAGGGTATTATACTTCTTTCTTAATTTTTACTAAAAATCAAACACATGGCTAAAAAAATATTAATTGCTAGCTTGATGAAACCCGGTATTGCTTAAGGTTCCTCACTTGGTTTATCCTTGCTTTATTATCTGACGGGGCAGATGAATGCCTCAAAGGGATTCTCGAGTTTGAGGATGTGTTTACCGACCTCTTAACCCAAACTTTAAACTCTGTTCAAGCTGCACTTGATAGTACAGAAGCAAATTTTGCAGATAGTACATCAAGCGAAGCACTGGCACTTTGTTTTCTTGTTCTCAAGAGCTGGCTTCTTTTAAGATCACGCTCAAACAATGTATGTGTTAATGTTGACGAAAAAGAGCATGTTCAATCAGACCCGTTGATGTTGTGGATGTCTGTTTGGCCAGCATTGCGCCGGATCCTGTATGGTATTGAATCCTCAACCTTGTTTGTGGTAAGTGTTTTCTGCGCTGTCTTAAACTTGGACAAAATTAACTACTAGAATGGTATATATATATACATAACATATACATAACATATGAACTTTATGTTAGCCCGGAAACTATGGATTGTCGATATGGTCTATGTTCCTTTCCTTGTTACAATTTCTTTTTGGGTGTCATAGTAGCATTGTTCTGATTAATGCCAACGAATGGAGCAGTTTATTGGATACCCTTGTTACTCAGGTAAGAAATTGTTTTTTTTTCGTTAAGTTGAGCACTCTATTTACGATACTTTAAATTGATCCTTTTTAATGTTTTTTTTTTCGCTTCTAGTTATCGGTTACAAACGGAATCGATGAGCTGATGAGTAGTTCCGTCGAAGAGACATCCCCTCTCTATGAATTTAAAGGCAGAGTAACAAAAGTGCGCCAGATGTTTGACGTTCCTCCTATTGAGGTTCCTGCTGATATGTTAATCGACCAATTATACCTTGTACTGCGTTCTGTTATGCAATCACAAGCCGATAACCTTGCCTTTCCTGGTGCTACCAGAGTTATGACAACAGCAATGGGGTTGCCACAATAAAAAAAACATATAGAAAGCACACTTAATTTTGTAATAGATTTCATAATTCATCATTTGCAAAGCTCTCTATCCTTTAATCTCCATAAAAATCACCCTCTCGGTATCTACTTTTACCATTATTGAGGTACGGATCCTAAAACAAAAACCTAAATTACTCGGGGTAGTCAGACTTTGAATAGAGCTTATTGTTTGTTTTTTTTTAATAAAAAAAAAGTAATTTGATCCAAAAACCCAAAACAATTCGGTGGGATATTCAAATGGGCTCACTTTTTATTTTTATTTTTTTGGAAATAAACTGATGACTTGGATAAGATGCTTTTTGTCTATGGAATAGTTGGTTAAATGTAATAGAGACATATAGAGAATTTATATAAATAACAAGTAAAGATATTTGTTTTATTCAAACGGCCGTACAATTGATTTACGTAATGGTGAACAAGACTTGCAAAGACCTCTTTACAGGTTGGTGCTTCGCTAGTCTTCAGCAAGTTAGACTAGGAATAAGTTATAATAAGGAGATATCACAAAAAAGAATACAAGAAGTTTATAAGCCTTAATTGACTAGCTTTAATTTATTGATACTTAACTTGGATCGAGGAGATTATTACTGGTTACTTTGATGACATTATATTGATGATTGTATTGGTAATAATATATATATATATATATATCTGATTGACCGAACACATTTTTGACTACTTATTTTTTCTTCAACCTGTCCACACAAAATGTATAAAAATACACCTATATGTTTATAGTAAATCCCGTTTTTATATAAAAATTAAAAAGAAAAAGAAAAACCTTTATATATATACATTTCTTTGTATTCTGTTGGTTCTTTGGATACAATATACATATATAAATAATTGTGTTTCCGAACTGGCGCAAAGTGATACGTATGATTGCAAATGGTAAAAGCAGAAAAATCCGCAGGGTCCTTTTTAAGTTGAAGCATAAAATATATATATACACATACATACTGGATACATTATATATATATATATTTAAAAAAAGAATATAACAAAAAGGGGGGGAATAGACAGATAATTATTATTTCTTTAAAAAAGCAAACAAGAATGTTGGATATTAGTCAAATGAAAAGAAACGCAACCAGGTATCATGAATCAATATGTACACAATCGCCTTTGAATATTAGCTGCCACTGTTTCATTTGCCTTGCAGATATCCGGTGAAATTATGTTAGCCATATTTTTCAGAACACAGTTGTTCAATTCCATATTTCCAATAATGGGCATTTCGGTACAGTTGCCAAACAACATGATCAGATCAGTAAAAAGATTCTTGATTTTGCTATCATTGTTGCATTGGCCATGAAGGAAACAACAAGATCCTTTTTGATACTCGCTTCAGAAGGCGACTTGATAACAGTGTATTCAATTCGCTGGAAGAGCTTAGAAGCGATCACTGATGAGCTTTCATTGTCCATTGATTTTTTCACACCTTCACGATCACAATAAGTAAACACTGTATATGGCTGACAGTAATGTGGTAGAGCCAGATGACTTGAAGCACGACAAAGAAAATAAGTGCTTGGGTGGTGGGTGTGGTATACACACCACAGTTGAGTAAAATACAAGCACCATAATCCAGAGCGAATACTATAGTTGCTAATGTACCTGGCTGGGTCACATCCCAGGAACGTAATCCCACCAAGCATTCGTACACCTTGCGCTGCTTCATTGTTAACCAAATATTGACCAACGGATATCTTTAAATTAGCGAACCGTCTATATAAACAGCAATGGCCTTCTTTCTTAAATAAGCAACACTTTTACAGTACCAATTGTTCCCTTTTCAAATTTATCTGTATACCTTTGTATAAATCCAATTGAAGCTGTCTTGCTTGGTCAACAAAATTAAGTTCGACTGGCTGGCTGTGTTGATACATTTGACTCAATATCCTTGTTTTTTTTTCAGCTGTATTGGTGGATCAAAAAATCTTGGTATGTTATGGTGAATGCAACAAAGTAAAAAGTCAAAGGGCCTATTTTTTGGCTCTTTTGTTCCAGTTGAGGCAAACTATTTGGTACAAATTACCAGCTTTAGTCTTTGTTAAACTAGAGTGCTGTCTTTTTTTGTCCAATTCAAACTATTGGCAACCAGAAAGCATTTCCCGGTGCGGTAACTGACTGGTGAACCAGTGATGACATATTGGCACAGAAGCTTGGCTCAACAACATTACCATCGAATAATCATTTTGACGGAATGATCGAATTGCATTCAAATATGTGGTCACTCACGCCTATAATGTTGTCGTGATTACTGAATACAGTGCATTCTGCAATAATTTTTCTGTAATCGCAGTGACGGAGAGAAAACAGTTTCAACTTCAACTGTTCATAATCTATATGTTTTTGTCTTTTTCGTCAACAATTCTGTCCATTGATTTACATGCGTGCATAATTGCTTGATGAAAATCGTGCTGTGGTCAATGTGGTCAATGCGGATACTGTGGCAAGAGACAATAAAGCCACGTCCTCAGAATGGCTGTCAAGACTAGCATCTATAACAAATACGATCAGTATTCGCTGACTCGTTTTTGGGCGTTTTCACACCTTACCATCATTACTGCATTCTGTCTGGCTCCTAGCGATACGATTTCTTGAGGTATCGGCAGGTTTATATGTATATCTATTATGGCTATAAGAGTGGCAGCTGTGCCAAAACCAGGCAAATGGGTGCCTTTTATTTTCTTAATAGCCAATAATTTCTCTACTGTTTTTGAGTAAGATGATGTTATCAGCAACAATTTATAAGAGTGACATAAAATCTTTTTCTTTAAAAAATAAAAATAAAATAATAGTTATGAGATTGTTCCATTATTCTTGAAAGTATTTGTAAGTTGTAATGACCACGTTAAGTATTGGAATGCATGTTTTATTCAGGTTAATTGTTTATGGAATTTGTAAACTAAATGGAAGCATAATTGTTGTGACGAGATTCAATTGTGAAGCCATATGACACTACCATATTTGGACGCTTCTGCATAATCGTCAAGAGCCACATTTCAATAAGCTTGGTCTTCTTCCTGATAAATAATCAAAAGCTTTACACATACTCTTTGGGTAGAAATCTCACTAGCTTAATCCCCAACACCTAATAGCTCTACATTAGAAAGCTCAAAAGAGATGCTTGCTGTATAATAATCGATACTGCCATTATTTATCTTGATTTTTTTTAAAAAAAAGAAAGATACTCTTTTCATATCTGCCATTTTTTCTGGCTTGTAAAAGATGGCAGTTATGCTACCACTTTTTCTTCTTTTAGCCGTAGCATAATGTAATTAAAATTAATATGAATAAAAATGAAAAAAAAACTTAAATTTGAAATAAAGTAATATAAATATGTCTAATAAAAATTGGACCTTTTTTTTGAAAATATTTCATACCAATAAAGATGTGAATATTAAAGTGTTGGAGTGTTTGAGGAATAAGGAACTCAATTAGTTTTATAATTATGTTTTTTTTATTGATGAGACAAGAGTTAATACGCACATAAGAGATACCTTTGGAACATGTGCGTGGAATTTCCGTTAATCCTAAGTACTGGAATTATTGAATATAAAGCAGGTGAGTTTAAGCGACTGTCAGAATTAGATCAACCATATTTGACTTCATTATTCGATAGGTGTTTGACCCTTGATCTAGTATTCGTTATTTTTACTGAGCGTAAAAGAAAACATCAAGTCCGATACGCAAGTAAATTTTTTTTTTTTATTTTTTTTTGGTATTTATTGGTAAAACTCTCCTTCTCCCCCCTCAATATTGTGTAGATAGCCACAGAGATGTTTCTATTTGTATTTGTATGTGTATTTGTATGTGTATTTGTATTTGTGTTTGTGTGCCTAAATATATATAAATATATTGTAAAGGAGAAAGGGAAACAATGGTACAAGAAAGCTATTTTTGTCTCTCTTGTCCATCGAAAGATCTTGTCCGTAGTGCCGCTTCCTGGTGTCACACTACACACTAACACTAACACTAATACTAACACTCACAGTCTAGTGCAGTTTGTATTAAAACCACAATACAAGATTAAATCCAAAATATATATAAGAATTCCTATTTTTATTAGCTTATTTTATTTTATTTAAATGATGACTAAATTGACTGTACAGATGTTTTCATACCTGCTCATACGTCCGTGTAGCTAATGTTATGCCCGTTCGTTCGTTTATTTACCTATTTGTATCGGAGAGACTGTCAAGAAGTATTCAAGTTGAACAATTGTTTGTGCGGTCGATTTGACTTGATTCTTGTATCACATATTAAAAATAGGGGATGAATGAAGATAAAGTAAGAAAAAAATAAAAAATAAAAGGGGTGTGATGTAGAATCTTCATTTTATTGATGTTTGGGACACCAAAAAAAGAAAAAAGAATAAGCTCCATATTGTTTTGACTTTCCACAGAAGATTCTCTTTTCTAAACAGTCAAGGCCTTTCTTTAAACACAAACACAGAGATGTATATAAAGTAAACTAAAATAATCAACAGCAGATTATTCTTATTATAAACAAAAACAGATGCTTTTCATAATAATCACAATCTCAACCTCAATCAACATATATTGATTTGTTTCATGCCGTAAAAAAGAAAATACCAAGTTCGGATAAGTTACAATCTTGCTCAATTTTGATGTTTTATTTTTGGCTCAACGAACCTCTTCCAAATCAAGCAAAATCAATCACCAAAGAAAAGAAGAAGAAGAAAAATATTAAGGGAATCACTATGGATATAATTAACCTTTTTTTACTTTTATTTTTAAAACAATCAAATTTTGTTGCCTAGCAACATATTGTTATTATTACTACTACACACAGTTAGAAACACTAATAATAATAATAATAATAAACCAAGGCATATATAACGTCAAACATTAATGACTACATATATATTATCTCACACACACACATATACATATATACTACATCCAATTATAAGAAGAAGAATAAGAAGAAGAAGAAAAAAACTGGGGCGACAGATTGACGTAGAGTTTGGTAGTGCAAAGCTACTCAAATGATTCAATGACTTGTCTATTTTTGGCAACTGTGTCTCAAAGTGATATATATGTATATATACTATTATATAATAATAAGAAAAAAAAATAGCAGTTGTGGTAGTAATTTTAATAGGGAATATATATATACATTGATAGTGATAGTGATAGTGATGAAATATGAATTGTTTGGACCTTACTTGGACGCACACTCCACTCATGGGACCAACTTAACTTGGAAGTACTTTCTATTATTACTAAAAAAAGAGCCCATTGTAAATTAGGCATTAAGAATATAAAATATATAAAAAGATATAAAAATAAAGGATCTATTCTCATCTTTACTTGTTTCTTTCTCTCTTATTAACAACAATTATATTTACAAATATTTATATATATATATATCTTCTTTAAATAATATTAATAATAATATACTTCAATATCAATGACTAGTCTACCAAAATTCCATTCATTTGGCAAACGAAGCTCTGTTCAGCCCAAAAAGGCTCCTAAAGAGAAGCCAAGAGTCGTAATCCGTACCTTATCATCCTCTAGCTTTTCTATGGTGTCTCCAGCCACAAAAATGCGTAAACGACTGTCGACCTTTTTGAATGGAAGTAGTTCGACCAGTAACAACAGTTCTCCCGAACAAGGATCCTTTAGACACAGTCTCTTTTCTATCAGACAGAATGGACCAGGAGATTGTTCAGACAATACAAGCACAACATCGTCAGAATCAGACCACACTCCAAGCTCCCCGTTATCCCAAAAACAGCAACTACTACTACAACAGCAACAAGATAATAATAATAACAATCATGAGCATCATCATCAACCGTCATCAGTGCCAGTATCAGAATTTGGAGTAGTTTCGATAGACAGCCACCTTGAACACCATGCAAATGACCCTGCAATCACAAAACAACCACAGGATGTCTGGTGTACTCACCAAGATATCTGGGTTGTTTCACCCCCTAATCCCATCAAAAACCAAAACCAAAACCAACTCCAATACCAATATTATAATCATCATCATCAGCAGCAGCAGCAGAAACGGCAGCAACCTCAACTTCAACCTGTCACGCCTCACACAAACCCAAAGCCAGAATTGGTCCGACTGCAGCTTGCTCAGCAGGTCAGCCGTGTACTAGGTTCGGTTATGGCCGATGTAGATGAGGAAATCGATCAAGAGTGGGAGATAAGCAGGGCTGCATTGACCTTGAGTCTATCTCATTGTGTTTAAATTAATTATATATTCCTTTCATTCTATTTATTCAAATTTTTCCTTTTCTTTTTTGTATATATCACCAAAACCCTCTCTATCTCTTACTTTAATCTATCAATCTATCTACCCGTTTCTACCATCCTTTTACTACCACATTTTCCTTTCGCTCTCTCCGCACCCACGCACAAGCACACGCATACGCATACGCATACGCATACGCATACGCATACACACACGCACACGCACACAAACACGCACACAAACACACACATATATATAATGTAATTCATCAATTTTCCTCTCTTTTTCTTTTTTCATTTATTTAATTATTACTTTTATTTTTATATTATATATATCTATTACTTTTGTCCGTTTTTTCTATTACATACATTGCATTCAACAATTTCGCATCAAAGAAATCAACAAGAAAGTTGATGTATAATGTATATACATAAAAAAATACATGCGTATCCATGGAAACCAAAAAAAAATCCAAATCAAGTAATAAAGAAATGATTGGATGTTTAAATGTCCGACATTTTCTGTCGATTTTTGTTTCAATTTCATTTGTCTTTCTACTTTATTTTATTTTTATGGTTTTGTTACTTAATTTTAATTACAAAAGAAAACCAATAGTATTGACTAAAATTGATTGATTTCCCAAAGGAAATAATCAATTTACCAAGATAATCCCATATTCTTGTATATAAATAATATAATATAATAAATCATTAGAATATATATATATAAGTTTAATATTTTCGATTTTATTATTCTTGTTCTTATTGTAATGCTGGGTAGTTTTGCGGATATTATAGAGTCTTTGTGTGTACGACGAGGTCATAGCACTTGTTTTCTTTTTTGGCTGTTGCTACTAATGTTACCGTTGCTGCAACCGTTGCTGGTGCTGCTGGTGCTGCTGTTGTTAGACTAATGAGAATTTTAAATGCATTTTATACATATGTATTCCCTGAATGAGTGTGTGTATTTTTCTTTTCTTTTCCAGCCAGCCGGTTCAAATGAGATTAGAACTTTTGAAGCGTGCAAAATAGACATTTAAATATGTAGATATATATCTATATATATATCTATACATCAAAATGTAGTCCGATTCAGAGCCAAATACAAAGAGAAAGAGAGAGAAAAGAAAGTAGAGAAATCCTCTCATCTTTATGGGTAGGCAAAAGCCCAATTTTATTTTTATTTTTATTTTTATAAGAAAAAATAAAATGATTATTACTAGTATTATTGCTTGGCGTTATTTATTTATTTTTTGTATTGTGTACAAAAGAGTAAGAAAAGAAAATTTCTTTATTGTTGTTTATGTAAGGAAAGAGAGATATATATATATATAAAAATATACATTTTGTGTCAAAAGAGAAAGCCAAATGTTGCAAGAGAGTCGGCACGTGCGACAAGGTAGGACATGTATTCTGTCCAACCTCATTGACTTTTTTATTCAATTTTTTTTTATTATATTATTATTTTTTGGCCTTTCCTCTCCGCTAAGTTATTTCACTCTAAAAAAGATATAAAATGCAAAATAAGCAACGAAAGCCAAGCCAAAAGCAATATATATAAAAAAAAGTTTAAAAAAGGCCAAGGCAGTAAAAGAACAAGAAGAAGAATGTTTGTATCCATAGGTGTTTTTAAGGTATAGCATTTTAAACTAGGTTACTTTGTGAGATATATAAATATTATGCTTTTGTAAGGCCTAGCCACCGCCTGGCTTAGTTGGCCTTGGATTACTTGTAGTAGAGTAGCCACATATTCAAAGGTTGAACAATGACTTGATCATTCTTCAACACAAAAAAAAAAGAATCTCTTAAGATAAAGAATGAAAAAGAAGAAATAGTAAGAAATAATATGATTTATTAAATAGATACTTATCAAATAGAATGAAATATGAAAGAAAGGGTTACCTGCTTATAAAATATAAAAAGACAGATACAGATAGATATACATATATAGTAGTCTGACCTGGTTCATCATTGCCAAGTCTTCTTGTTACCTTATATTTTCCAAGCAGCGCACTTTAATAACCAAATAAACTCTTTATTCTATTTAGGCGTCCTCAACCCCTCCCTCTCTCTCTCTCTCTCTCTCTCTCTCTCTTTCTATTTCTCCTCCCTCTTCTTCTTCTTTATTTCATTCTTTCTTTCTTCATTTCTTTCTCTATTTCTTTCTTTATTTCTCATCTTGTATTTTCTATTTAATTTTGCCACCTTCATTTATTCTATCATTACTTCCCTCCTCCTTCTCCTTTTAAGTCCATCTTTTACACTGCACCATGCCTGTGCCAGTGTCTGACTGGCTGAAGCGAGCCCGTCGTCTTCGGCACAACCCTGTCAAATCTCTCAAACTAAAAAGAAAGTCAAAGAGTGCATTCCCTATGCCCTCTGCCGAACAACGAAAGATCTATGTCAACATGCCAATCGCACCAGACGAGGTAGACGAGTATGGCCAGCCCTTAAAAAGCTACATGCGAAACAAGATCCGGACAGCAAAGTACACATGGTACACCTTCCTACCAAAGAATTTGTTTGAACAGTTTAGAGGAATCGCAAATCTATACTTTTTATTTCTTGTCATCCTCCAAATGTTCCCAACATTTAGCACATCAGCATCGCCGATTCTTGTCATCCTCCCACTAGCCGCCATTCTCCTTCTCACTGGTGTCAAGGACTTGATGGAAGACCGAAAAAGACAGTCGACTGACGACGGTGTCAACCACGCCATGGCCTACACTCTTAGCAATTGGAAGAATATCAATGTACCTGAATACAAAGTCTCGCTCGGCCGACGCTGGCTTAATTCATTTGTCAAATTCTTTACGCGCTGGAAAAAACCAAAGCAAATGATCACTGACGACTATGATGATAATGATGATCAAAACGGCAAGCGTCTATCACGCGCACTCAGCCGTGTTCAGACAAACGTGTCCCGCACAGACTCTTTTCTCGAACCGTCCACGCCCACAAGCAAGACTTCCTCTCTCGGACGCACCCTGCGTTCAGGCACCGCACCATTCAGCCAGGTGTTTAAAAAGAAGAAGAAGAACAAGATACCTTATCGGCCCGGTCAGGTCCCCCACTCGGTCCTCCGGCGCTCCGTTCAGAACAGTAACGCAAGCGAAAAAAAGAAGAAGAAGAAGAAGCAGGCTCTGATGCCAAAACGGCCAATGGATAAACGCTGGCAGGGAGTCCAGTGGAAGAATGTCCAGGTTGGAGATTTTGTCTATCTACGCGATGGAGAGGCTATCCCCGCAGATATTGTTGTCCTGTCCTCGTCTGAGCCTGATGGCCTGTGCTACGTCGAGACACAGAATCTGGATGGTGAAACGAACCTGAAAATTAAACGCTCCCTGCAGGCCACGATTGAAATGAATACCCCAGAAGATTGCGAACGTGCCCAGTTTTATGTCGAGAGCGAACCCCCACACGCCAACCTTTATTCTTACAATGGTGTCCTGCGCTGGAAGGTCGAGCGAACCGACGAAGGCATGGAGGAACAAAAGTATCCCGGTGTACCGGTCACCCCGCGCGACAGTCTAGAAGAAGAAGAAGAAGATCTTGAGGATGAAATTGTGTACCATGAAAAGTCTGAGGCTATTACAGGTAGCAGCCTTCTTCTGCGTGGCTGTGTTTTACGTAATACAGGGTGGGTAATTGGCTTGGTTCTCTTTACGGGTAATGAGACAAAAATCATGCTTAATTCAGGAAAGACCCCCAGTAAACGTAGTAAGATGGAAAAGGCCACAAATCCCCATGTAAGTAAAAATAAAAGCTTATATTTAATTTGTATGCATTTATATTTATATTTATATTTATATTATTTATTTATTTGTTTGTTTGATCCTTAATCTTTAATCTTTAATTTGTCATTTGTGGTGTGCATATATGTAGGTCATTGCAAACTTTGTTCTCTTGTTCATTCTCTGTATCATATGTTCCATTGCTGTCAGTATTGTCTACAATGAAACCTCTTCATCGAATTTCTTTGAGCAACCTGATGCTGAGAGTTCTACTATGGAAGGCTTCCTCATGTTCTGGTAAAGTATACTATATATACCTATATTAAGCAAATGGAATGGGCAGAAACAAACAAAAATAATTAATCTCGAGGCTTTTAATTTCATTAGGACAACACTGGTTATTTATCAAAATATCATTCCAATTTCTCTGTATATATCCGTTCAAATTGTCAAGACCGCTGCAGTAAGTTTCTTTTTTTTAAAAAAAAAATGAAGGATGAATTTTAAGCTTCTCAGCCCTATCTCTCTTTATTTATTTATTTATTTATTTATTTGAATTCTACTTTAAATACTATAAATATAAAACTTTATAATGTGGCTCACCCTAATATCTCTGTGGCTCACCCAACCTCTCTGTGGCTCATTCTTTATAGGCCTATTTTATCCACACTGATATTGACATGTACAACGTCCGCCTTGATCAACCTTGTGTACCCAAAACATGGAATATTTCTGATGATCTTGGACAAATCGAATATATCTTTTCCGACAAAACCGGCACACTGACACAAAACGTGATGGAATTCCGAAGGTGCACAATCAATGGCGTCGTCTACGGCCTGGGCGAGACAGAGGCTGCAATTGGTGCCAAACTGCGCGACGATCCAAACGCCGTCAATGCTCGAGGAGATTCAGAATACGAACTCGAAGCCGCCCGTCAAAAGATGAATGCAGAACAATCTAAACTGTTTGAACACAAGTACGTCAACCCAAACTCACCCTTTGTGGACCCTTTGGTCTACGAAGATCTGGCCAAGAACGACAGTCAGTCACAGAGTGTCGTCCACTTCTTTTCTGCCCTTGCCTTCTGTCACACCGTCATCCCCGAAATAGCTGACCTAGACAAACCAAATGTGATTGATTACAAGGCTCAGTCACCTGATGAAGCTGCTCTGGTAGCTACTGCACGCGATGTTGGATTCACATTTGTTGCTCGTGAACAGGATACTGTCAAGATTGACGCCATGGGTGAAATCAGATCTATGCAGCTCCTCAATGTGCTCGAGTTCAACTCGACCCGAAAACGTATGAGTGTGATTATGAGATCTCCTCAGGACGGCCGCATCGTGTTGCTGTGCAAGGGCGCTGATTCGGTTGTTTATGAAAGACTTTCTCAGAACCTCAGTGAGGACGACGAAGATGACCAGAACCAGAAACGGATCAGAGAAGAGACCCTGCAGCATTTGGCAGTATTTGCCAACGACGGTTTACGTACCCTTTGTATCGCAAGCCGTGTACTCGAAGAATCAGAATATCAGGAGTGGGCCGCTCGTTACAAGACTGCCTCTAATAGCATTGTGGACCGCGAAGAAGCAATCGAAAATGTATGCGAAGAGATCGAACAGTCTCTGACACTAATCGGTGGAACTGCCATCGAGGACAAGCTTCAGGAAGGTGTTCCGGAGACGATTGCTGTGCTCGCCAAGGCAGGAATTAAGATTTGGGTACTGACAGGCGACAAGATCGAGACAGCCATCAACATTGGATTTGCCTGTAATTTGCTGACCAAGGACATGTTACTTCTAAGTGTCAACGGACGCGATGCAGACGACACTTTGGAACAGTTACGCCAAGCTCAGGCCCAGGTCAATGAAAAGTCAACGTATCAAAAGTGCGCGCTTGTGATTGATGGAGAGTCGCTCAAGTATGCTCTCGAACCACCCTGTAAAAAAGAACTGTTGACTCTGGGTACCCAGTGTATGGCTGTGCTTTGTTGTCGTGTTAGTCCAATGCAAAAAGCCAAGGTGGTCAATCTAGTTAAAAAGGGATTAAAGGTGATGACCCTGGCCATTGGTGACGGTGCAAACGACGTGTCAATGATCCAGGAAGCCAACGTGGGTGTTGGTATCAGTGGTGAAGAAGGTCGCCAGGCTGTAATGGCATCAGATTATGCGATCGGTCAATTTAGATACTTGAGTAAATTACTACTGGTCCATGGCCGATGGTCTTATTTGAGAACCTCTGAAATGATCTTGACTTTCTTTTACAAGAATATTATGTGGACACTTGTTTTGTTCTGGTATCAGCTCTTTTGCGGGTAATGTCAAGTTATATATATACACACAAAGAGTAGTATTGAGTAAACTAAACTTATGTTCTTAAAAAATGTAGCTTCTCTGGTACAATGATGTTTGATTACTCTTATATTACTCTTTACAACCTTGTCTTTACGTCTTTGCCATGTATCTTTGCTGGCGTGCTTGACCAGGATCTCAAGGCTGCTTACTCATACAAACACCCTCAACTCTATCTAATGGGTATCCGAAATGACAAATTTCCAGTTTCGCGATTCTATCTCACGGTTGTGGATGCGATCTATCAATCTGCGATCTGTTTTGGTATACCTTATCTCGTGTTCGTGGATGCTAAAATGCACTCTAGTGGGTATGACACTGAAGGTGTCTATGAACTCGGTACATTTATTGCCGGTATTGCTGTGATCATTGCGAATGCGCTTGTAGGGTTTACAATCTACAGTTGGACATATGTAATGGTGCTTGTTCTAGTACTTTCGTGTGCAACATATTTCATCTGGACTGGTATCTATGCACATGTTATGACATTTACCTTCTATGGCGAAGATATATTGTTCCGTGGTGGTACATTCTGGCTGTGTTTGCTAGTTACTTTTATTATCTGCATGCTGCCACGCTACGTGACAAAGTATTACTTGCACATGTATTATCCGTTTGACAACGACATTATCCGTGAGATTGTATTGTGTAATGGTCATAGTGTGTTTGACTGGCATCATGGACGCAAGGCCCGACCCCAGCTTGAAGAAGAAATGCCAATTAACCTTGCACGCTCACCGACCGGTCATTCAACATCAGCCGAATATGCTGCGGACCGGATGATGCAAGATGAACTGTATGGCGATGAGAACTCGTATGCGCTCACTGAGCCTAGCCCGGTATTCAAATATGCCAAACTCAACCGAACAATGACAGCTGCTTCTGGAAAGAGTGAGATTATGTACATGAAGTCGGGCCAAAGTACTTCCTTCACCGGTTTTGCATACTCATCCGACGATGCGCACGTGTTTGATGAGTACCGCAAGTCAGTCTATCGCCGCAACAGTAGTGCCAGCCTTTCACCATCTCAAATCAATTCACCGCTGCCTTGGGAAGAAAACCATACAGGCAAGCGCGGTGACTGGATGCCACTGGACAAGTTCAAACTCAAGAGATACGAAACAGACCCTCACTTCTCCAAACAGCAGAACAATAAGAGTGTTGCCTGGAAGGTGATGAATGCCATGAAACGAAAGCCATCTCCAAAGCCATCCTCCCGATTAGCCCAGCAAGATCCCTTTTCCATGTTTGATCAGGCTGACGAAGTGAGTGAGACAGATGGCCAGGGCAGTACCGCATCGTCGTCGAGTACGACGTTGCACGTCCAGCAACTCGAAGTGTCTACCAATAGACTGCCTACTTCAAGCACCACTCTTCTTCAGCCCAGTACTCCTCTATCTGCCGGATACCACAGCCAGAGTTCTTCTTCATCAGATCTTCCAACACGGCCGCTATTGAACTCGACTTCCCCGCTACCATCTAGTGACTTTGATCCCCTTTATTCTCCTCGTCCTTCATCCAACTAAACAAGAGAGGAAACAAAAGGCCAAAACAACACACATCTTACCTATATTTTTTTTTCTTTTACCTTTACCTTTACCCTTACCCTTACCCTCAACTCTACATTCACCTTTACATTTTTTCGCTCTCTCTCTCTCTCTCTCTCTATTCCTCTTTTTCATTTAGCATAAACATCTTTACCTTTCTTTAGCTGATCCATCTAAATTTCATAGATTGTACAAAAAACGCCCTCTTTCTTCTTTTTCTTCTCTTCTTTCTTGCTTTTATCCTATAAATCTATATCTTTTATCTGTCTGTGTCATAATAATTTTATATTGTTTTTATCTCTTCTTCTTTTATATATATATATAAGCAATTACTTGTTGTTGTTTTTTCACTTTCTGCTTTTGACATTTACAATCCACGTGAAATACGGTGCGCTAACTACTGTCAGACAAGATAAGATAAAAGTCGAAATACAATATAGTTGTTTCTATAGTTCTGGTACACGTTTCAAATAGCAATTAATTATATTAAGCTGTGAACGAGATTGGTAAATAAAAATCTCAGTTGTTTATTGTTATTTGAGCTTGACATATTACTCTTGCTCCAATTTATTCTATAACAAATCATGATTTATCTATTTTTATAATGAGCATTTACTTCAAGGGACTACTGGCTTTATAATACATGTATTAATATTAACATTAATATTAATAATAAAATCAACAAAAGTATTATGATGATGATGATGATGATGATGATTATATTAATGCACTCCTCATTTTTACAGCTATACAAGTATTATATTTTTTGAAAGATAAGATAATATCGATTATATTAAGAATTGCGTCTAATCGTCCTTTGGTTACAAATAATCTGATATTTTGTTTATTAAATAGCAAAACATAAAATACCCCTAATTTAAATTGGACAAATGCCATATTCAGGATACAGTAACTAAACGCGCCTCTGTCGCGACAGAAACTGCCAGTTGAACGAGTGGTCATTTTCCATTTAAAGACATTCAGTAGTTCGATAATATTTTTTTTATTTAATTTCAATTTCAATTCAATTATGCAAAGTTTTACCTACTATTTTATCTGTGTGCTTGCTTACTTCTGTGTATGTGTTCAAATTATGTGCACAGTTTCATATTTTGGTCGCCTCTAGTTCTTTAACCTATAAGCCAAATATTGTACAATGGATTGGAAATAAACAATAGAACCTTCCTATTATTCCTTTTTATTTTAGCCAAACCTTACTAAAGTAAGTAAATAAAATAGAGATGTGTGTAAGAATATGGGAGATACCTAAATACTGTTTTGTTTTATATAAAGGTATGAACAGGAACTTGGGGACTCCCTTTCAACAGTATAAAGAAATAAGGAATTACTTTCTTAGCATAAAATAGTGCTTTTATTGATAAATTCCTCTCCTTGTAATTAAGAAACAGATCATAATAATCATATTAAGAAAAGGGCCTTTATTGTCTTGGTACCATTGTTTTTATTATCTTCTTGCCAAAGGCTTAGCTTTATTGAGTTATTCAAAACCAAATAGTTACTAGCAATAACGTCTTTTTTCTTTAAGAAAAAATAGCCTCTTAAATTTTGGATCTATTGAAAAAATATTTTATACTTTAATTTCTTTTAACAAACCACGCTGTTAATACTCTCTATATATATTAATTTCAACTGCCTGTGATTCTACATGGCATATTCTGTCATGTACAAGGTTTCATTGATCCTTTTTATGTCATCAATGTCATTTTGCATCTTTTATGTATATTTCATTTTCATCTACAGCGCATGAGGTACTTTTACTAGTACCCAAACTATTTGAGATCGAATCCAAGCTAAAGCAAAAATTAAAATTAAAATTAAAAGAAAGTGTACCCGGACCGCACTTAGCCTCAAAAAGAAAGAAGGGTTGAGGGAATGGGAAGGAAAGGCTTTGTTGAATCTCATTCTGTATTAATTCTATTATCAAAGACTATACTATATTCTTATATATATATATATAGTATATTTGCATATGCGTGTTGTGTTCTGTGGAGAGAGTGAGAGATATATTTTGTTTGAGTTTAAACTTTATTTCCTTCCTTTAGTATAGCATTTCTATATTAGATCAACACAATAATTTGATTTCCGTTTTGCTAAGAAAAAAAAAAAGAAAAAGTATCTCAGGGCGCCCTAAAAAGAAAGCAAAAATGACTCCATAGCAATATATTTGGCTAATAGAAAAAGTGTAGGCCTTTTTTTTATCAATTTATTATTATATTAACCAGCTTGTAAGAGTTTTTCTCATTTCCTTTTTTAAGTAAAACTAATACAATCACCCTCCAATTGTTTCGGTATGTAAAAATCCTCGGGAAGACTGAAAGGTTTGTATTACCTTATTTGGATGTGATAGCAATTTGTTTAATAACGAATATTTTAAATGTCCGCCCATGACGTATAGATTCACACTCAAGCAACACTTATACACACACACAGAGAGAGAGAGAGAGAGAGACGTAAGTGAGTACAAGTGTGAGTGTGAAAGTTAATGAGTGAGTGGGTGAGTGAGTGTAGGTACCAAAATTTCTTTAAAAACTCTGGCTGAGCAGTCAATAAAATCAATTGTAGTTTGGTTGCATAATCATCTATATATAAATTATTCTATACAGTCATATACAAATATATACACCTACATATATTATACATTATTTCTATTATCGAATTGACATCTATTTAAAATATACACAGAGTAACATAAGATGAGCGATTCAAGTTTATCTTTTAATCAACGCATCCAGCCTTTTGTTCTGCTGGCTAAATCAGTCAAGGGCGTTGCTACTGGGCAACTGATCATGGATTGCCTTGCTGCACCCGGGGTTTACGTCTTTGAAGAATTATACCAATCACCAAACGTAATCAAGGTCAGCTAAATCCTTAAAGAATCATCCGAGAATCATAATTAGAAGAAGAAAGAAAAATAATCTCTCTCTCTCTCTCTCTCTCTTTTTTTTTAAATAATAATAATAATAATAATAATAAAAGTGTTACTCATTTTGTGTATAGGCTGCTTCTCTACCCGAGGTTGCACCTTATCATTCTCTTTTACGTTTGTTTCTTTATGGCACTTATCGCGACTATGTAGGTAAGTAATTCTGAAGATTAAACAAACACAGCTGTAAAGACAATCTCAAACCCTATTACCTTTTCTTGTGTCTTCTCTTTTAATGTAAATTATAGACAATAAAGCCAATCTACCTGAACTATCTCCTGCGCAGTTGATTAAGCTCAAGCACCTTTCTATTGTCTCCTTGTCCGAAAAGAACAAGGTAAATAGACCAACTTGCAAAACAACTGGTGTATATTTACTATTAATTATTATTGTTATTATGATGATAAATAATATTAATATTGATAATAATAAAATTATTATTAGACACTTCCATATGAATTGTTGAAACTGTACCTCGACATTCCAACCGTAAGAGCTTTGGAAGATTTGATTATCGATGCATTCTACCAAAATATTCTTCAAGGAAAGCTGGATCAACGTCAACAGCAGCTTCAAGTAGAGCGCGCAATGGGAAGAGACCAGGAAGAGAGCCAGATAGAAGAGACGATGGCCATTCTTGAGGCCTGGTCTACCAGAACAGGAAATTTGCTGACCGAGATTGACCGTACTGTCCAGAAAGTCCAGGATGAGATGGTGAAGGATCAGCACGAACGTGAACAGTACGACAAGCAGATCGCGGCTGTTCAACGCCTGGTACGGAACCAGAAAAATTTGACTATAGATGACAAAGACAAAGAGAAGACTGGAGCTGTTGGAAATGGAAGACGTGATACTGGGAGCGAATATGATGATTACAACTATGGGGGCCAAGACTTTTCGGACAGAGTGGGTGGCAGAGCAAAGAAAAGGTAGGCAAAGATCGATTTCTAAAAAAGGAAGAAAGGGTTTGGGGATATTTTAAAAAATGTGAGCGATGAAAAAAAAGAGAGAAAAAAAAGGTGTTGTGGAATATATACATATATGAATATATATTCAATTCAGTAGGGCCTCAAAACGGTTTATGGTGGGAAGAACCTAAGTACACACACACACACATACATACATACACACAAATACAAACACATACAAACAAACAAACAAACACACACACTTACACAAAAGGGAGGGGGGAGGGAGAAAGAGACTCGATTGATTTAAAGATCTTACAGACGTTGTGTTTTTTGTATTGTTCATTAGAAGTGAAGAACACCAATACTATTTCTGATCATCTACTGACTTGTCACAAAACTGCAAAAAAAAGATATCTTTACGTCTCGAATAATATATTGTGGTACTATTGGTGCTGTTGGTGGTTCTGGGAAAGATCAAGAGCATTGATTTACAAAAAAAAGGATTGAGTGGTCTTAGTAAAGGAAAGAAACGAAGCAAGAAAAGTATTTACTCGAGCCGATTGAACGTAATAATACTTGTGTCTATAACCACAATCAACGATCTTAAATTAGAATGCTATTATTTCAAAATGTGAAAAAACATGAATTTGTCAAATGTAAATAAGAGCGTTAAAATATTCAAAGAAACTGGATAACCCTTTCCTGAAAACAAAACAAAAAAGGAATCCCAGAAGATTTAAACTAATAATTGATTCAAAAGGGTTGGGATACGTCTTGTACAGTTTTTGTACAATTTTCTTTAACAAATAAAATAAATTATCGTAAACGTTAAAGGTGATCAAGACCCTCATCTAGATATGTAGTTCATTTATTGCAGTGCGCGAACCAACCTTACTAAATGATCGGTTGGAAAATATTGTTTGCCTCGATGACTCAAGGTTCATAGTAAAAAGACAACATTACGTACCTGAGGCATTATAAAGCTTATATAAATATTCAAATGTATAAGGATATACACTTTTAGGAAAAAGAAATGTGGAAATAATAGTGCGACGATTTGCACCTTACCTCTAAGCAGGTAGTTTCGAGCGTATGGTTCTATATGTATGTAATATATATATATATAATTATCTTTAATATTAAAGTCCTTTAATGGATTATAAAACCTGTCAAATTAATAAGACAAAGAGGTTATACCCGCAAGAAGTTGGTGTCATATAAAAAGCTGTAATGTTTTAAAAGAAGCTAGTTGGTAGTACAAGCCAGATAAAAATGGGCAAAAAGCCTAATTCCAATACCGATTGATACACAAGATTTCCTTTTCAAGACATACATATTACACGTCGGAGACGCGAATTTTTGGTACGTATATCTTTCTTTTCGCGTCTGAACACCTCTTGACTTTGAAGAAGCACAATTGTTTCGCCAAACCCTTTCTAAAGCAAACAAAGACATTGGATACACTTGTAATAGTTTTTGTGAGCATAATTAGAATTTTGTTTTCCAATTGAACTAATTTTCGCAAACTAATTGGGTGCTTTAAATTAATGAATAAAGTATAGCTTATTTCTGACTGTAACCAGATTTACCACAGAGGTATTCAAGTGTTTGACTGTTTAATAACCTTGATTGAAAGCAAGAAAAAAAAGAAGACTAGATAGGGTGAAAATAATATTTATTAAAAGAGAGGGAAGTATGATTGTTTATAGTTGTTGTAATTACAATCCCCCTGTTGTGGAGTTTGTATTCCATTCAACTGTGGTGGGTATATCCCAACCATCACAGCTAGTATTAAAAATAACATTCACCGAGAGCACACATAATAATGCATTGGATTGTTACGAGCTATATGATTAACTAACATGTTTATCATTTTTTTTTGGTGACTGAAACTTGAATACTAGATTTTCTGAGACTCACTGGTATCTACATGCTAAATACAGTTTTTTATTTTATATTTTAATAAAACTATTATTATTATCTATTGTTAGAATATTTAACCACTATGATATAATCCTACGAATTTAACAAAGTAATAAACCTTTATCCATTCATTTAATTTTTTCTATAAAAAAAACGAATCGACAGTGAATTGTATTATTATTTTTGTTCTCAACCTGCTATTTATAAGTCATAAAGCAGACATATTATACATATACACTAAAAAGAAAAGGCATTTTTTTAATGATAAAAGTCTTGATTTCGGATTCTAGTTAGCAAATGTTATATAAAAAGTTAAACAAGTATTAGAATGCTGGATATGGTTTATGATATAACTTGGATCATGGCATGATCTTAAAAGGTAGCTTCGTCAGACTTGAGTCATGGCCTAGAAATATTGTAACAGTAGAAAGGATGATATTTCCGACAATCGAGACTAGTATTATTAGATCTAAAGGTGCTAGTATTTTATCACCTACATTAAAGTACTGCACAACATAGCACACTCAAAGGACTGATAAACATAAGCTCTTAACATATTGTATGAAACGCTTAAAAAAAAAGACTTTTATAGTTTATGGATGATCGTATCAAGCCATTAATCAATGACTGAATATTTATAATTTAATAGATATATATATGTGTATTAGAGCATTAATATTTTGTATAGATCGATAAACATATACCATTGATAAAATAATATAAGAAAGACCTTCATTTGCTTCCATAGCTCACTTCTTTGGCGCACCAAGTAACTATAGATAGTCAGAGATATCGGGATAATCGACCAAGAAAAAGAAAAAGAAAGAGGAAGTCTGGAGGTGTGACTAAATTGAGCTTTGAGTGTCTGGACTTGCTTCCTATCTTTAAAGGCAGTATACAAGACCTTGATTGATACCAAACCCTTTCGTTTTTTTTTATATTCCTCACTTTGGGACAAATCTAGAAATTGAGCAGAAATTTATTTCTCCGGCTATTGATCTTGGTTCTTTGAATTGAACGAACAGTCTTTTGTTCCTCTCATTCTGATAGATAACTTTAGAGACCGCAGGTATTATACCCAATAATGAAAATCTAAGCATTATGGTTAATGAGTATGTGTGTGTATACAGAAAGAAGAAGAAGAAGAAGAAAAGGGAGGATTTACAATATATATATATATATATATAATTTATCTAATGAATAAGATCCAAATAAGTCCACAAAGCTATGTTTAGACAATGTATTTAATTACCATCGTTTTGTGGTAGTTTGTTCTATATATGACTATATGATTATACAAGAAATGAATCAATAGATAAATAAAAATTGTACAAGAAGTTGGTGAAGGGGTACAAAAAATAGAATAATATATGTGAGTGAACAAACAAGAGAGAAAATGGCCATAGTCTAATTTGGTCAAAGGTCAATCTTTATGCCACGAGGGATGTCTGGGCAAATTTGGTAGAATAGTGAGCCAAACAAATGAACTAATTTTTTTGTTTATATTTATATTAACAATATTGACAAATATTTCATTTAATTCATATATTGAATGTTATACGATTTATATATTAAATGTAGATCATCATCAAAAATACAATTATTTATATTTATATTTATATTTATATATTGCACTTTTTCTCTTATTATTATTTTTATTATTATTTTATTTTATTTCATTTCTCTTATAATTTGTACAAAATTTAATATGTATTTACATAATACATATTCACCAAGAAGAAGTTATAAAAAATAATAATAAGAAAGAGAAAGTGAGTGAGTGAGTGAGTGAGTGAGTGAGTGAGTAAGAAAGAAAGGAGGGGATTACACGGTATCTATTTGTCTTTGTAAGTAGTAATGAGATGATCCAGCATCAGTTTTGTGCAAGACAAGATGACTTGGTCAAAAATAAGAAAAGAAAATTAAAAGAAAAGAAAAAAAGAAGGGGGAGGAGAGGAGAGGAGAGGGGAATAACTAGCCGGTCTTTCTCTTCATCTACTTTGTTCTAGTTGAAAGGTTTGCGTCTGGTGATGTGTGTATGAAATCATTGAAGAAAAGAAGAGAAGAAGAAGAAAAAGACGTTGACAGTTGTGATGTATCTGTTGCTATGTTGCTATGTTGCTATGTTGCTTTGTGTGATTGTGTATATATGGTAGAGAAGGATGATGAAGAAGAAGAAGAAGAAGAAAAGGTTGTTGGTCCATGCGCCAAAGGCTGTATATCTCTTTCTTATTCTTCAAAAGAAAAGAAAAATGGAACTATTGCTTGACACCAATCCAGCTGGGCTTTGCGGCAATGGGTTTCTGAGCAAGGATAGGTCGCTCACTACGGTCGTTAGAAGATCGTTTAAAGGTACGGCCGAGACGATGGACGCGGAGATGACGGCGCATGTTGCTTTGAACACTGAATTTCCGGGAACATCCATCTTCCGGGCACTCGAATGGCTTTTCGCCAGTGTGGGAATAGGTGTGAATCCGCAGAGAAGATGGCCGAGAGAAACCCTTGTTGCAGTAAGGACAATGATACTTGTTTGTCGCACTAGATACTTCTTCAGATATATTGTTATTGTTATTGTTATTTTTATTGTTATTCTGCGGCTGGGATTGAGGCTCATCAGAATAGTCCGAATAGCAGCTAATGTATTCTTCGCTTGTAGGAGACTGGGGTGCGGATAAGGTTGGACTGAGGGGAGGGTTGCTGGTGATCGTGGAGGCAGAAGATGAAGAGCAAAGGGTAGGTGGTAGTTCTTGGCGAATGGGGAGAGGGAGATCAAAGGTATTTGTGGACACTGCGCGGCGATGGCTGGTCATGGTAGTGGGTGTGGTAGATGTGGATGTGCTGTTTGTGGTGAAGGGGGCTAGGTAAGGACCATTGTTTGCGCCACGGGTATAAGGATGGCTGTAGTCCGAAAAAGATCTCGAGTGCATATTTCTGGCTGGTCGATGGAGAAGCATCGAGGGTGGTAGCCGAGGGGCGTGCATTGGGCCAAATGAGAAATTGGGTAAAGTGTCCTCACTCAACCGTGGTTCGACCGGCGCAGGTGAGTGGCCTGATAGTGATAGGCTCTGCATGTGTCCAGGCAGACCGCCAATAGGTGGTTCGTGAGGGGACATTGGAATAGTGGGCATCATTGGCCAGGTCGGCTGTTTCCTCTTCTGGTATGTTTGCGACAATCCAGGAAGCGCAGCTGTTTGGTCCGATACATGGCGACGATGGCCAAATTGATGACGTTGGCGTTGCTGCTGTTGATGTTGATGTTGATGTTGATGTTGTTGATGTTGTGTGTGTTGTGTGTGTTGCTCTTCTTTAGACAATGTAGGTTGATCTGTAAAAGGGGTTGGTATATTAATAAACAAATAAAATTATATATATATATATATGAGTGTATGTATTACCTCTTGCCAAGGCAACGTCTAACAAAAGTTTAATTGAGGGAAGCTTGGGCATGTCAGTTTGCATTCTTTGTAGAGAACGATTTTTAGTATTGAAGAGTGAATGGTGAGAGATAAAGTATGGACAAATCAAGGCAGTAGGATGTGAATGCTGAGAACAATAAGAAGAAAGAAGAAGCAAAAGAAGAAGCAAAAGAAGAAGAAGAAGAAGAAGAAGAAGAAGAAGAAGAAAAAAGATATAAACGGGGGGGAAAGAGGGGAGAGAAAGGGAGGACAGCCAATTTAATGGTGATCAGGACACGTTCAAGTTGAGAGAGCGATTGCTGATCGCTTCTTTACGTGTCACGGACGCTTCTTTATTTGAGTCGGGTATTTTTAAATCAACAGGCGCCACAACACCTATCCTGAAATGACAATCTTCTCGTGGGATGCGGGTCATCAATAAGTGTATGTGTGTGTGTATTATTATTATTTTTATAGATGGACAGGGGAATCGGATGATCCTTTGTGGCACCGCTTATACGGAAACCAGATGGCAATCGACCAAAGCGCGTCAAAAAGGTAAAAAAGAAAAAGAAAGAAAAACTCAGAGCCTTTATTCTTATTACTTTATTTTATAAGCCTAAAAATGTATATGTATTTTATGAAAACTTTGGTAGTGAGGATTTTGAATGAGGGTTCTTGTAGCACAAACGACTAGATCAAATGTAAAGAACATATCATAAGAAGAAGAAGGCTTTGTATAGCTATGGCTCAAACTATTGATATCATTTAAAGGAAATAAGGAATAAAAAGTCATCCCTGTGTGAATTGGACTTCCCTGTAGGATTATCAAGTAATAATAATAATTATAATATATATATATAAAAGATGACGTCCATTGGCCCAAGATGGCTTTTTTTTGTTTTTTGCTTCCTGTGATGCTCAAAATTAAAGTAAAAAGGAAACGAATTCATATATAGAAATATTTATTGTATTACTTTAAACTGAAAAATAAAAATAGATTACTCTTTTGTTGTAAAGAACAATTGTGAAAAAAGATGCGTTTTGTAACATGCACCAAGCCAAACCAAACCAAACCAAACCAAACCAATACAATACAATACAATGCAATGCAAAACAAAGATTGGTATTGGAGTATGGCTTTTATATATTTTATGAAATAATAATAAGATCATAAATAATCATAGTAAATTTAACAGCTGTTACAATTTGAGCACTACCTATTTTACTTTATTTTATTTTATGTTGCTTGAAAGTTTTTATATTAAGAAAAAAAAGAAGAAAAAAGACTAGTAAAACAAACGATTCCTATTCTGTTCTTTACAAAGTAGGTTGCTGTTGAAAATGAGAGTTTGAACAGTAAGAATAAAAATAAAAAAGGTAGTCTTGAACTTGAGAGTGAGAAACATTAGTCGTTTATTTGTCAGGTATCTATATAGTCTCTATTTCTTCTTTCACATGGTTAAGAACGAACATTGTGCTGTGGTTGCAAGCCATGTACACAAAACCGATTTCATGTTAAATGCATCCCGAATAGCATGATTCTATCGCGTACTGCGAGGTTTCGAACCTGAGTACAGAATAGAATATTGTAGTTTTTCTGTGTCAACCTCGTTTGTCAGAACTCCTGTCCGACAATACGGAGACATATTTTTTGGAAACCCAAGTACTCATCAATGCTTCACAAGGTTCATTTGATTATCATACCCTACTGGCACTGTCTTGGCTTTCTCGAGATCACCTCCCCTATCACATCTTCCTTAGACTACCCTGCTTACTATCTATAGATTTCTGCAAGTAAATGCATCTTGCTATGCAAGAATAATAATAATAATGATAATATGGCTGGGCTATCTTGTTGTCCAAATAATTAAGAAGCAGAGGGATCCACCTGCTTATTCTTATTCTTCTTTTTCTTCTTTTAGAGGTTAAATTATGCGGTTGGTGGGCCACCTTGATAGACACAAATGGGTTTCTTCCATTTTTACATGGTTCTTTTTGAAGAATCAATAACAACAACAAAAAAGGCACCCAGATACCTTGGCACTCTACAATTTCGCCGTAGAAATAATTAAAAATAAACGTATAGCATAGTATCGAGCACAATTTATCAAAACGTTCTATGCAGGGTTTCTTGAGATCAAGGTAAGAAGATCTGCCATTTATTTGCTTGATGACAGGATCCTCGGTTGAACGGTTTGTCTCCTTTAATACTGACCCTACATGTTATCAGAATTAATTATTATTACCATTCTTATTTCTTTACGGCTATCTTTGTGATTGTGTCTCGGTGATTTATTTTCCAAATCAAAAAACAAAAACAAAAACAAAAAAAAAACACAACACAACACACTAAAAAGGAACATTTAATGATTCATATATAATCTATTTAATTAAATTTGTTCTCTCTGTCTTTCTAACCCTCTTTATTGCAATGACCATCTTGAAGATAATTAGCTAAAAATGCTAATAAGAGAAGAGGGTCAATGCTCGGTTGAAACAGCTGTTAAATCTATCGTCCTTTTATATTTATATATATATTCAAATACTAAAAAAAAAATCTCGTATTTTCTTTTATTGGCTAATCATAGCTACAAAAACGCAGATTATGTCGCAATGTATTTTTGAAAGTTTTTTTTTTAGGAGATTCTATTTTTGTTTTGGTACAAAGTTATTTTTAAATAACGTGGATTTTGATTTCCATATATAGTATATCATTGTTCGAAAAAAAAAACTAAAAATCTCCGCTAAGAAAAAGAAAATTTTGACTTGTAAATTTTGAATATATACATATTTTTATATTTATTTAATTTCTGCAATCCATTTGAATTATATGGTCGCTTTGGGGGTGTATTGAGTATTAAGTATATTGTATATAATATGTATAGAATCTCAGCTTGTTCGTTCTCAACGTACTCTTGAACTTGATTATTAATTGCAAATCATAATACTATCATTATGTAATTACAAATTAAGTCTTGGATTATACCTAAAATACAACGAAGAAGCTTTATTGTGAAAGAGTGGGAAAAATGATACCATTTTTGCTAGTAGACTATTTACAAAAAGGCAAGGTAAAGGAAACTTGATTACCGACATTGTTTTCCCATCTTTGAGAACGTGTTGAGTTTGAGAGACACAATGTGTTGTATTCTATAGACATAAAATATGTAGGCAAACTTGGATCTATCGCCGATACAAAAGAGAGAGAGAGAAAGAAAAAAAAACTCATAGAGAAAGCCATTTTTGACCTCTTTTTTTATAGAAGAGTAACTGTTTATATTATTAGACTCTTGGTGAACATGATGCGTGCAGAAATGCTATATTATAATATATTATATGATGGCAAAATAGATCCTGTACAATGGAAATTTAACAGATTTTTTTGTGAATTGGGTATGAGTTATTGTGTAGCTCAATTATCAGATCAGAATGCTTTATACCATTTGTTCTGCTAAATAGTTATATTACATATAAATAAATAAGTAATGCTTGGGAAACTTTCATGGTTTTACATAGATATTCCAATATTAGTATTAGTATTAGTATTAATAATAAGAACAGTAATAATTAATGCGGTTATGGTATTTTGTAGAATCGATAGACAGAGATAGGATCAAACTTACTTGGCCATACTTGTTTGTTTTTCAGAATAGGTAAATAAATGATCAAAAACAATAAGTCCAGGATGAGGATGGGCTTATACATTGTACATCATGCTACTTATTCGACCTTTTCTCTGAGCCAAGATAGCTTATATTTATTTGAATGGTTTCTGCGTATGTACATATATGTATATCTATTAACCTCTGGGGAAATATATGAGCCTACCAGAGGCTTAAAGATGTAACATTATCTACATCACACAACGTGCTAAAAAAAAAGGTTTTTTTTTCTTAGTTTATCATAAAGACCCTGTTTTTAGAAATGCTACATTTGTCAATTCAGACCTTCTTTTACACCCAAAAGCAAACCTAATCAAGAACTTGTTGCACCAAAATTTACAGCCTTTTGGTTTTCTTTACTTCTTATACACAACATTATCAGTGTATATAAATATAATATATATAGATGTAGATATATAGATAGATAGATGTGTATCTATATCCGATTACAGCTATTTATACCAATCAAGTACCACGTAAATAACAATCAATAAATAAAATAAGTATATCAAAGGTCCCGCGCATTTCTATTAAATATATATATATATATATCGATTTCTGGATAGAAATGCCTATACAGAATATTAAATATCCGGTCAGTATTGAGTACCTGGAGAATTACTATTATTATTTCAAGTCAAAACCACACTAATGGTGTATTAAAAAGGGAACCCCGACCTCGCATGGCAATCGCATAGCAAGGATATACCACGAGTACCTTTTGTGAATCATCTGTGAAGATCTTCAGCTCATGTGGATCTGTTACACTTCCGGTAATCTTTCCGCCATTTAGCCAATTGGTGAACCTACATGAATTTACATGAAATATTGTATGAACACAATTGTTCTTGAGACTATGTATATCATATTCTTTGTTTTCATATAATTCACATAGAAATCGCAACTTTTGTTCTAACCTCACAAAATAATCAGTATTAATAATAATGATTTGTAAATTTATACTTACTAGGCAAAGAACGACAAAAATTTATTCTAGCCATTCTAAATATTGTCTTTTTCTCTTGTGTTTTCTATGTTGCTTAGTCAACTAGCTACTATTAGCTAGTATATTGTCATTTGTGTGTGTCTATTTGTATATAGGTGCAAACAGAAATACCAACTAAAGAAAAGAGTAGAACGAATTATTGATAGGCCAAAAGGCTTGGTTATTCTTGCATAGATAATTTCTCAACAGTGAATATATGCACATTATTGTACTGAGCCATTAGATTTGGTCGTTTGTATTTAACATTATGAATTCTAGTACGTGTATATAACACTGCTAATTTAGATATTTGATATATTTATTGTATCTTAATATTGATAATAGTCCTTTGTTTTCATTTCTTAGTAAGTAAAGACGCTGATTTGACTTTACTAATGTATATATATTTCAAAAAATATAAAATCAAGTGGCATCCTTCCAATTCCCTCTCATTTCTTCTGTATTTTTTTTAAAAGCAACTCAAAGAAAGTCATGCATTTTACTGTATTTAGTTTCCTTTTTTAAAAATAATAATAATAATAATAAGATTTATACTTTAGTGTACCGTATATTTTATATACTTCTTTACAACGCACTTCTTCAACATAGAAATCTATTGAGATCGTCCCACTTCTTTACTGCGATTAAAACCCCACGCATCCTAATTGAGTCTGATGACGTCGACACGTAAACAAAGCCGCTAGGGAGGGGGAGGGGGGAGGGGGGTCAATTATTCACTATTTTTTTTTTAATTTTTTTTTTATTATCCGCCTATTGACTATAGCTGTGTCTGTCTGTGTGTGTGTGTGTGTGTCTTTTTTTTCTTATTATTTGGTTGCTTACCTGTCCACCCCCCTTCTCCCCACTCTTTAAAACTAAAAAAATAAAAATAAAGCATCGCTATGGCTTCATTGTCGCGTAACCTTGCGTCTGCCATCGTCAACCGCTCGTACACAAATGTGCCTGCATCAGCCACCGCTTTGAAGCACATCTTCCATGTTTCGTCCCGTTCCGAAGAAGACCAGCACCATGCTACACAGAGCAAGCCTACCTTTGGCTCTTCTGTCAAGCAGAGATCTACTGGTGGTCTTGTCAACAAGACTGCTTTGAACGGTAATTTTTTCTTGCATTTGTGTTTTCTTCAAATACAGCAATATAATACAATATAATTATGCCTATTTAATTACTATTAACAATAGTATATACTACCATTAAAATTATTAGCTGTATTTTCTATATTATGTTTATTTTACAAGAATATTAAAGAAAATGTACATCTATACACACCTTTATATATCTATATACAAACGTGCACGCAAACTGGAAACAAACACAAATAAACGAACGTACCTACGAATATATGGAAAAAAATTACAACAAAAACGACGACGACGACAACTACAACGATGATGAAAATGACAATGACAATGACATCCTGATCATCAACAATAAAAAAAAATTCAAACATTCAAAAACCTTTTAGTTGGACCCATCAACGATTTCCAGTTGCGTCGTAACCACACCACCACTGTTCCTGACTTCTCAAAGTACAAGAAGACCAACACCAGCGGTGAGGCCAGCCGCAACTTTTCTTATATGCTCATCGGTACCACCGGTCTTTTGTCTGCTGCTGGTGCTCAGGCTACCGTTAGTGATTTCCTTGCCAACATGTCTGCATCTGCTGATGTCTTGGCTCTTGCCAAGGCTGAAGTCGAACTTGCCTCTATTCCCGAGGGCAAGAACGTCACAATCAAGTGGAGAGGAAAGCCTGTCTTTATTCGTCATCGTACCCAAGAGGAGATTGCCGAAGCCAACACTGTCAATGTCAAGGACTTGCGTGATCCCGAACAGGATTCTGACCGTGTCAAGAACCCTGAATGGCTCGTCATGCTGGGTGTCTGCACCCATTTGTAAGTTAACTTTTTCTTTTTTCTTTTCTTCTTTGGCTGCAAACAAACATAACAAAAAAAGAGGTATTCATTTCTTTTTTTTTAATTTTTTTTAATTTTTTTTGTAGGGGTTGTGTACCCATTGGTGAAGCTGGTGACTTTGGTGGATGGTACTGCCCTTGCCACGGTTCTCACTACGATATCTCTGGTCGTATCCGTCAGGGTCCTGCCCCTCTCAACCTTGAAATTCCTGGTAAGATTTAGTTTTATTTTATGAGATCTTTTTTTTTTTGAGAAACTAATTGTGTAATTATTATTATTATTTGTGGGGGTTTATAGAATACAACTTCCAGGATGACAAGCTTATCATCGGTTAGATCTATGTGCAATCTTATTCATATTAAAGTATTCCAAAAGAAAGAGAAATCTGCCAATAAAGGGCACGCATTTGTTAAAGAGATACCACAGCAGCGATTCAAATGGAAAAAAAAATATTTATTGTGTGTATGTGTGTATGTGCGTAGTGTGTATATAGTGTGTATGTGTAGTGTGTGTATACAGAGTAGTTTTCTTTTTTTGGTAATCTATCCTCGCAAAATTTACATCAAACACCTAGCGAATGGCATTGATTAAATACGTCCATGCATGCATGTCAAAAAAAAAATACAATGATCAAAAAGAGGATTATTGGCATGACATCATTTATTGGACATAAAAAAAAAGACCCATTTCTTTCACACACTCTAGAGCCTTTCTTTTTTTATTTATTTTAATTCTTCTTCTTTCTTTATTAAATATATACTCTTTCTTTGCTTTACATACTTTCTTACTTCTTCACCCACTCAACAATAAATCAATAAAAAAAAAGCCCAAAAAAGCATAATGATCGTTGGACCTCTTGACAAGAACATGCTCTCCTACAGTGGAGGAGTACTAGGACTAATTGTTCTCATTCTTGACCTTATTGTCATCTTTGAAGTCATCAACTCTAGCCGCGCTATATCCGGAAAGCTTGGCTGGTCTCTTTTGGTCTTTTTCTTCCCCATCGGTGGTCTTGTTCTTTACTTGTAAGTCTGATTCTCTGTATATTGACCATATTGACTAAACTCTATGAACGCATGCCAACAGTATTTTCAGTAACCGTGCTGCCCACACTCAACGCTATGACCCGATAGCTTAACATAAATACATATATAAATACATCTATACATCTATACATACATTAAATAAGTGAACAAACCAAACAATCAAGTTTATCTGTACAGTGAGATTATAACAAAAAATATTAAATAAATAAATAATAAAAAAAAGTACACACATTGATTGTATAAGAAAGTGTTTTTTGTGTGTGTGTGTGTGTATTATATATATAAGATATATAGTCTATGTTACTTCATTATGGTGCTGGAAACAAGTACATCATGAATCCAGTTTGTAGCCAGCTTAAATACTTTAGAAGAACCCTTTGTCTTGATAAACTGGACACCCATTCCGCGCATTGTATTCCCACTCTTTTGTATCGGGTCAACAAACACCCGCACAGTAAACAAGATGGACTCTTGCGCTGACTGATCAATGGTCTGTGCGTTACGCAAGGGGGCAAAGGTAGGGCTTGTGTTGGTGAAGATCGGTTCTTGTCTAGGACTCTTTTGTAGACTGTCATCCCATAAGCCGAACATTGATTGATCAGAAGAGGCAAAAGGTGGAGAGTTGCGGTTGTGCTGCCCAGAAGAACTATTATTGTTATTATTATTATTATTACTATGATTACTATTATTATTATGATGATGATTAAAAGGAGATAAAGAAGGCGACAAAGACCCGGACTGGATCGAGAGTGGCCAGGACAGGAGCCGATCGTGCCACCGTCGGTTACTCTTGAGCTCGGGGGATTTTGGTGGGAGGAGGGGATTGGATTTGGTTTTTTGGACTGAGGGATGAAGAGAGAACACACAATCGAGTGAAGAAGAAGTGGTGTGATGGTATGTAACACCTAGTATTTGACACACAGATGCGATCAACAGTGCAACCGCATGTTCGTCGTGTTCAGCAGCATACAGAGATTCGTCGAATGCGAACGCGTGGGTGGCAGTAGTGGCGGTGATAGGTGGTGCTGTTGAACACGACTTGACCGAGTAGTGGTATATGTGGTCTTTGTTGACAGACGGATTTAGCTGAGGTAAGTTGAGCGCAGATGTGCTTCGGCGCAACAGTCGATCAGTTGTGCTCTCGACATGAAAAAGACGCGAGAGACGAGATGTGGGGTGAGGCTGTGAGTATCGGAGATCGATGTGCGAGAGACGCTTTTGGAGGTCCTTGAATAAAAGACCACAGACTTGTTCTTGGTAAGGAATGTTGTCCTGAAGGACAGGAGAGTGGGCTGAATTGGATGTGAAGTATATGGAAGGGTGCAAGGGATGGTATACAACAGTTCGATTGGCCTTTTGCATCTTTTGGCTACCATTTCCATCATGACCATTACGACCATTACTGTTGCCGCTGCCACTGCCGCTGCCGTTGCCGTTGCCGCTATCCAAATCTTGTCCCACCCGTCGATCATCACCATCCCTTTCCCCGGTTACCAGCATCAGGTCAGCCATGGTCACATCAGGGCTGTCTTCGAAAACGTCTTTGAGTTTTCCGTGATCGTTCATCCATGGATCATTTCGAAGCGCATGTCGGACTCCCCGACGTTTCTTCCGATCAAACGCAAGGCATTTCTGGATAGTCTGCTTTAGTGCATCGCTGAGATGAGCTGGCATAGGATAATGACGACTCAAGACAATCTTTTTAAGCTCACTAGCAGCTAAAAAAAAATATAACAATATTCGAGTTAATAGATAGAAATAAAGGTAGCTCAAAAGAAGAAATCATTCTTGTGTACGTGTGTTCTTGTGTGTTCTTGTGTATGGGCTATAAATATTCTAATTATTCCCCCTCCCCAAAGAAAGAAAAGATAAACTTACTGCGAGCGTGAGAGAATAACTCAAAGCCAGCTGTCATTCTAAACAAAGTGATTCCAAGGCACCAGCAGTCTACTTCGGGACCCACATATTTTTGGCCACTGATGATTTCTGGACTGTAATAAAGCATTGATCCTACAAAGATGCAATACCCTTGTTAATAAACTATTAAGCTTGTATATAAATACCTATATATATCTTTGTGTTCTTGTGTGCTTGTGTAATGTAGTATTAAACTTACCACATATTGTTCTTAATCGATGAAGCCCATATCGATTTCCAAGTCCAAAGTCTGCTAACCGTACTTGACCTTGAGGTGTCAACATTACATTGGGTGCCTTGCAAAAATCAAATCCAAACAAATAATAATTAAAGAATTGTTATTATTAGACAAGATTAAATACAAGCCGTTCTTTAATAGTAATTATTATTAATATTATATAGATAGATACCTTTAGGTCCCGATGAACAACCCATCTTCTGTGGCAATAATCAACTGCAGAAACCATCTGACGAAAGATGGCTCGGGCTTCGTTCTCTCCCAATAGCCCGTCAGATCCGATCAGGTGTTCGTCTAGGTTCATTCCTGGTACATACTCCATCACCAGAAACAAAGAATCTGCTGTTTCGATTGTCTCGTGAAGGTGTACGATGTTGGGATGATCCAACAATTCCATCAATACTACCTCGCGTACCAAGCGAGACATTATACGATAATCATGAATTCGTTTATCGATTACCTTTTTATATATATATATATATTTTACACGTATAAAAAAAAATAGCAGTAAATGATTGTTAGTTATAAAAAAAATATAAATATACATTGATTTTCTATACCTTTATTGCAAATCTCTCGCCTGTCAGGTAATGCTGAGCCAAAATAACTCTGCTAAACTTTCCATCTCCAAGAGGACCAAGGAATGTGTATTGTCCGATTCCTTGAAGTAAGGTATCTATGTTTGGTGGTCTGGTGGCTTGCTTTGGTTTACTCGGCGTAGAGCGCGGGGAATTTGGTTGTGGAGGGTTGTTTGGTGGTAAAGGGTCCTGATCCTTGCGAGTTTTGTGATATGTACGACTATTGCTGCTGTTATTATTATTATTATTACTGCTGGTGCTGGTACTGGTGTTATTATTATTTTTAGTGCTGGCAAAAGTGGGATCGGTATAATTCTGGATATCACAGACAGGTGGTTCTGCTTTTGGACGTGAGGGGCGACGACGTTGGAACGAACAACTGAGGCGAAGAGACATAAAGGAAAGGAGAGATAGAGAGAGATAGAGAGAGAAAGGGAAAGAATTAGAAGGGAAAGAAGGTTAAAATAAATACAAATATATATTATGGGAAAAGATAAGAAGTAAAATAATCTTACACGAGTATCAATCTGAGCAGGTGAATATTTACACAAAATAAACTAAATATATAAATATAAATATAAATATTAAGACTAGATACAAGCCTAAGAAGATGTACACAGACTACACAAGCAAAGGACACACAAGCAGAGACACCTGCAAGCAAGCCCACATACATACACAGTAAAATAAAATAAAAAGTCAAATATATACTATAGCTATATTCTATAATATAGTGGCTGTTGGAAAATAACGGTAGTAGTGATAGTAAAACAAGAGTTTTTAATCGTGTACAAAGCTATTTTTGGGTAGGCTATTCTAAATATCCAAAAAAGACACACTAATCAATTAACCCACTAACTAATCTTTCAACATGTACGTATCATATATCAGTAAAATGATCTTCATACTGAAATTTTATGTTTAATTCTTTTAAGCTCTCCAATGATACCAAAGATAAAATACATACAAACTAACATATATAGATATTGTTCTTGATGTTGCTGTTGTTGTTGTTGTTTTTAGTAACTTTTTCTTTTCTTTTGTTGTATATAAAATGTCACTCCAACAGTTAACCAAACACCAAAATATTACCAAAAGTAAAGCTACAAAACACGTGGGACCAATGGGGATGAACATGGTTACATGGACACTTTCTTCTTTCTTCCACTATATGATATGCACTCAAGGCGATCACTCTTAAAACGGTACAGACGGCGTTTAAATAAAAATTCCTTTTTTGGATAGGGTTGTTCATGTCCAGCAAGTGAAAAAAAAAATTAATAGATTTATGTAAAATAATGCAGTGAGATGCAATGGGTAAAATAAAATAAATAGACAAATAGAAGAGGAAGAAGAATAAGAAAAATAATATATAAATTTAAGAAAAAGAAGGATAAATATCGACCAAGAAAGTAAAGAAGTAAAGAAACATAAAATGAAAGTAATTTTTAGAGTGTGTGAATGAATAGAGTGAGTAAAGGGAAGGGGTAGGGAAAGTTTTGTCCTTTCTTTTATGTATAACATATAATAAATAAATCAAAATTAAATTAATATTATTAATAATAATAATATTATTATTATTTTATGAAAAGAAAAGACCATTCTTTGCCAGTCTGGCAGCAAGATGACCAGGTACCTCTTTGGCCAATTCCTCTTCCCGTCGTTTGTCCATCTTCTTGGCCCCAACTGCACCGGCTCCCTTAAGATAGTCGACCACACGCTTGTGGTTTCCTGCTTTGGCGAGGTCAAGAGAGGTACCCAATTTCCGTGGCACATAGGCATTCACATTAGATCCGCAACGTTCCACAAGAAGAGTAACCACCTCTAGTCTTCCACTACGAGCTGCCCAGTGTAAAGCAATTTCGTCCTTTTGAGACGGTTGGTTGGGTGGGATGTGGCAAGATTTGATCAAGTATGTCACAATACCAGTGTGTCCTGAAGCAGCAGCATAATGCAATGCGGTATTACCTACAATAAGCAAAAAAAAAAAAAACAAAAAAAAACACGGAAAAGTTAAAAACTTTGTTGCATTTCTTGTTGTTGTTTTTTTTTAAAAAAAAAAGTACACATAGAAGCAAGGGAATCCGAAAAATAATAATAATAATATAATTATATTACCTTCATTGTCAGTCAAGAGAGCCAGATCGTTGTGGGTTACACTCGAGATGTATTCCACCACAGTAAGATGGCATTTTTCAGCCGCGACATGTAATGCAGTCTTGCCCTTTTGTCCATACCCGCGAGCAGTCATCAAATCACCGCCTGCCTGGACAAGAGCCTGCAGACCTGGGAGCCAGCCCACGGACGCAGCCAAATAGCACGGAGATATCTTGTCTTCTTCGGTGATTGCCAAAGACATGGCATTGGGGTTTGCACCATGCTGCAGCAATAGCTCAAGCGATGTAATAGCCTTGACTGCAATGGCAGCATGAATCAGTCCATAGCCATATTGGATTCCACGCGAAGAGAGCGTTTGGTTTGCTGTGTTGGGAGACCCACCACGTCGAAGAAAATTGCTGATTAAAAAAATAAAATAAAATTAAAACAACGCATTAGAAAAATTAAGCTCTGAAATTTCTCCATACTAATATATATATATATATATAGCCACACAAATATGTGTATGTATGGTATATAATGTATTTTACCTGATGATTTTCTCAACTGCAGAATCAGTAGATTTGCTTTTGGCAATTGTTTCCCAGAAGCTGTCTGATCCTCCAAAGGTCAATGGATCGACGCGGTGCTGTTTGGCGATTGGCTGGAAAGCATTGCGTGGTACAGAAGGGCTGGAGTGTACAGAAGACCCAGAAGACCCAGAAGAGTTCACAGATGGGACAGTCGATGCCTTTCGTTGGAGATTTGTGTTATCAGATGTGGCTGGGATAGAAGAAGATTGTGTGTCGGTGAGAGGTGCTGCTGGGTGGGGGTTACTGGAGTTTGACTGGCCGCTCAGAACACTCTGGGTAGCATTGGAGTGGCGCCGGGCGGTCTGAAATGAAGGGGTATCATTGAATGCTGAGGTGTATTGAACATGGGATGAAATGGAGGATGCAGAGGAGGTCGGGACAGGTCTCTTGATGGCCTCTGCCGGAGAGACATCATAGATTGTTGTGCCATCAATTGAGAATGAAGGAGGAGGACTGGTGGGTGTGAGAGGACAAGAAGGAGGAGACTGGAACGAAGATTTTTGCGGACCTTCGACTGATGAACCTGATTCAATGGACAGGCTTCTTGGCCTTGAAGACTGTTGTTGTTGTTGAGCCATTTCCGCTGCCTTTTCGAATCTTTTCTTAAAGAACTGCATCTCACGTACAGCCTTCTCGTAGCGTCTCTGGTGTTCGCTGGTTGCGATCTTTAGTTCTGCGTTTTCGAATTCGAGATGGTCGGTGCGTTGTTTGAGCATATTGACCAGACGTGCATGATCTATGGCCATATGTTTGATTTCTGACTTCATTGCCTGTCGAAGGGTTTCGTTGTTGATGTGTTGAATAAGGTCAAGAATGCTGTCCTGATGATTGAATCTCCAGTCATCCTGTTGGGCAGATTCAAGTTGCATTCGACCATAATTAGAGGTGATATCTTCCATGAGTGAGTGTTTATATCTGATTTTTATTGTTTTTAATTTTATACGAATATAAAAATAGAGAGAGAATAAGTAAGAGAGTGGGGAGTAAGGTAGTATTCTTCTTCTTTTCTTTTCTTTTTGGTTATTGGTTTGAATATATAATTTAATATATTATATATTAAAAATATAAAGTACTTTTGTACTTGTTTCTTTTAAGAATGAAAATAAAGAAGTAGAAAGAAATGAAATGAAATGAAAAAATATAAAATATAAATAGAGGATAAAGAAGAGCTTCGATACATGTTCCTGACTGGCTATTTAAGCTTCTGGTTTTCCCAAGTATCTGTTGAGTTTGGTTGAGTGTGACGTGATTTATGGTTTGTGTGAGAGAGAGAGAGTATAAAAAATAAAAATGGTTTATTGTTTCCCGATTTGGGATGGAGTTACAGAAGTACAGGTATAACATTCATTGTGCTTCCCGGATATTCTTTTGGATAGACAAGAAGGCATATGTGCACTTTGCTTGGCTTGACTTAGCTTAGCTTAACTTAGCTTATATTGGCTTACATGGCATTTATACTAGACAACAGACATACAGACATACAGGCAGTAATTGTTTGATTACCCCAAGTCTAAATTCTTTTAAAGAAAAAAAAAAGGATAATGAATTTTGTAATATAGCTTAATTTCTTGATAATTAAGCATTGGAAATATTGAAACACAATTTTATCTTGATAGCAATTCTTTTTACATAATTTATATATAAATATTTAATGAATTCTGATCTCTTGTGCGTATATTATTGTTATTGAAGGACGTAAATTTGGTGTACATTAAAATTCAAGGGAAATAAATAAATACTATAAAGGGGATTTGCTTGTGGAGATTTGGGGAATTTCCATGTGAGATAGTTTATGTTGATTATAGGCATTGGTTTATAGTGTGTGTATGTCAGCAATAATACAAAAGAGAAAGTATATTCCTAGTCTGCTATTGTTCTTCAGTGGGCGTCTGGTTCTTAATGTACTGTACAATCGATCTTACACATCTTTCAACTATATTTAAATATAAATATAAGAGTGATAATTTATATTATATTATATTTATTTTTAGTGTACGATGGGAAATACAAGAGGGAGGGTGAAGAGTGAGAGAGAAAGATTATATGATATATTCTCCCCGCTTGTTACACTATCAGAATTTTGCACCTCCACAGCATGTCTTAATTAAGATAATCATGAGCACAACAAGATCATATAGCCAGATTATAATTATACAGACTATATAATAGGTTTAATTCCATGTGATATTACCACAGTGTTGACAAGTTAGCTTTTGATTCTTCCCTCGTTTTGTTCTCACAATACCCATTTGAAGATTTGAAGATTTAAATCAAATCAAATCAAATTCAATTCAATTCAATTCAATCGAATTGAGCTGGTTTGGTTTGGTTTCTGTGCGTTAATAAGTTGTTTATAAATACATATCTATCTATCTATCTATCTATATTTTACAGCATAAAAATCAACAAAGAAAGACAAATAGATATCCTTTGAGTCATAGATATGTATGGCATATGAATCAACTGTACTTCTTTACCAAAATAAATAAATAAATAAATAAATACTTCTTCCTTTGTATTGGCGCTTGAATGCACTATTATTTCTATAAAATAAAAAGGCTATTGGTACATGAATACTTGTACCTATTAGTTATCTTTGAGCAAACAATAGCCACCCTTGGCTTTACACACGTAAAAGAAAAAAAAGCACCCACCAAGTGGGACATGTATGCGGGAAAGTGTGGAAAACAAATGGTACTACCAACCTAATAATACCAAGACTTTAATAGCCAAATAATCAAAATATTAAAGTAAAAATATAATATATAGATACTATCAGTCTAGTTCGGATGAGTACCTCCCTCCCCTTCCGCCTTTCTATCATCCAAAATAGAAAGTCGTCAAACTAACCGAAAACAAAAACAAAAACAAAAAAATAAATAATAGTATTAATAATATTATTGCTCCTAAATTATTATCAACACCTCTTTGACTACTCTTGATATACACTTGTTATCTTTGTACATCTTCTTTTCTATACATACAACATATTCAAGCCAAACAACGTCAAATAATAACCAAACCCAAAAGAAGAAAATAAAAGAGGTGTTCTTTGCAAAGAAATACACACACACACACACACACACACATATATATATATATATATATATTACATATATTTAATATATGAAAATAAAATAAAAGATAAAATGGTAACACACAACGACCTTGTCTTTACAATCCTTCCTTTCTTTTTATTTATTTATTTGCACTGTCACTGGCACTGGCATTGGCATTGGCATTTTTTTTTTCTTTATCATTTTTACAAAAAAAAATTATTCTATTTGAGATATGTCACTAAGAGAAATAAGCGATAGAAGAACACATCTTACAAATGGCATTCATGTTCTACGGGTGATTTTCCATTCAGGTCTCGAAAGGTACAAAGAGCGTGCAAGGTCTGTCGAACAAAAAAGATCCGTTGCGATGGTGGTAAGATGATTCATTCTCATTCTCAATTCATTCCACAATCACAAAGCAATCATGTCAATGATCATTCCAATAATAATAGTAATAATAATCATCCTTTTACTCTTTTCATTTAAATGAAACTAAATGAAATAAATTATTGGTTATTGTTTGTTAAATATTAGCATCACCTTGTAAAAGATGCGAGGAAAACAATATACAGTGTGATTATGACCACCCCAGAAAAAGGTCAAGCAATCCCACACAGCAAGATGACATGCTTCTTCTATCCGAATTAGATACCAGTAATCAATCAATCTACACAAATCCTATCAATAGTCCTCTGCAGTACCAAAGAACCCCAGTTGGATTCTCGAGTCTATTGTACGAATCAATACACATCTCATCCGACACCCGTTTACCACCTCTCTTTTGCGATTTCTTTCACCTGTCAGTCCAACCGTCGACAATATGGAAGTCACTGGTCCACATCTTTCAAAAAAAATCTCAAAAATCTCAAAAAACCCAAAATTCTGACAGAAGCCATCAAGAAGAATTGAGGGCAATCATTACAGAAAGCTTGGGATTGTTTTCAGTCCATAACATATTGTACAGCTCCTTTATCGACATGGCCCATCTCCAGAACGTAATGTCTTCAGTAGTCGCCAACCCGCTCGATAAATATAAGAGTGCGACCGAATGGCTGCTCATAGATATCATCGTGGCCCTCACTCTTCAGGCTGCCCACCGTACTTTACTTTCGGTTTGTTCCGATGTGGCACCTGACATCCATCACTGTTCCCAGTCATTTTATTCCCAGGCCAATCGTCAATTTTGGCGTTTGACCTATCCAACAATACCCGAACGTGAACCCAATATGGTCCTTTCCCAAAACCTTGTTCGGGCAGCCATTCTTATATCTCATTACCAATGTACATCGATTTCAGAAGACCAGGCTCTGGTAACTCTAAGGACCGGCGTAGGATTTGCCCAGATATGTAAACTGTCAAGCTACAGTGAGATGACCATGATGCCTATGATGCCTAAAGCCGCCATTTTGGACACCGAAGAACAGCAGCGGCTGTGTATCCTTTACAAGACTTTGATCGGATGGGACACATGGTTTAGATTCTATCTTTATCAGCCCAACCCAGGCTACCAAGACAATACTGTTGATCATTGTCTCAAGTTATTCGACTCGAATTTTTATTACACACAAGGAAATCAACAACGAGTTATCCACATCATTGAGATATACACATCTTTTATAAAAAGTCTTTTGAGGTCTAGAACAAGTCCAATTGGTGTACAAACCATCAAGGTACAATAACAACAACTCTAATGTAGACAGTTGCACACAAAGATAGAGACCCTGTTTATCTTTCAACTCCAATTTAAACAAGTTTATATCCTAATCGTTTTGTTTTGTTTTGTTTTGTTTGTTTTTGTTTTTGTTTGTTTGTTTGTTTTTTTCTTAAAAGGATCAATTTGACTGGTTAGAAAGAGCATCTTTGATTAACTTGAGTAACACCCGCAGTCCTCAAAACAAGTATCAGTATCCCACGGAACTTACTAGCTGCTCAGCCTCTGTCATATCTCTCTATCATCAAATACTCATCCTTCAAGTAACATCATCTTTTTGGTCCTTACCATATAGCCAATCATCATTAGATAATAATCAGATACTAGTCAAGATATGCACGTCTGATGCTGCCATTGCTGTTGATGTTGATACTGATGTTGATACTGACGCTGATGCTGACGCTAATACTGAGGACGAAGCTGAAATTGAGACCGAGGCTGCCGTATCCGACAATGAATTGTCTTTTTACGAATGTGGAGCAAGCATGTGCATTGAAGCATCAATAAAAGTAATCCAAATTGCAAATGAATCAATTTCCCGAAACACCACCGCCGCCGCAATCATGTCCGATGTTCATCATCCCACCCTACTTCATGCACTCTGTTGGGCTGTATCTGGCATGATATCATCGATCCAAAACGGAAGCCATCATTCACCAAGACTTTCACCAATCCTAAACACAAGCACTTTGACAAGAACAAGAAAAGACGACCAGAGTTGTACAAAGTTTTCGACATCATTGTCCAAATTAAAAGCCTTGCTAGAACACCTCGAGTCTGTCGCTCCAAGCCAAAACCAATGGAAGAACCTTGTGGAATTGTTGAATACCGCAGCTGCGGATATACCTAATACTCCTCCTACTAACCTCACAGGATCTCTCACACCAGATAGCCAAGATTTTAAAGATAACACGCTACCGAGTATTAGTATTAGTATCAGTAGTAGAAATAGTAGTAGTAGTAGTAGTAGTAGTGGCAGTGGCAGTGGAAGTACGGCGTGTTCCTTTCCTATTACCGAGCCTACAGATAAAACAAAGACCAAAAATTCCCGAGTCAAAAAGAAGAGACCATTCACTTATCTGACGAATAATAATACAATTGGATCGGACCAGAATATACAAAAAGAAATCAGACAACGAGTACGAGTGAGATCGAAATCTGGACCGATCAAGATTGACTACGCCCAGAGTCCATTTTTACCACCGTCAGCCAAAGAATCACTAGTGACTGAAAGAGATTCACAGCACAGTCATATTATGGGAAATGAAGACCAGTGGGTGCCTGCGCCATTCACAACATCTTTGCAGACCTATCCAGCCCTGAAATCCCCAAAAGCAAACACCCGACCACGTGTGAAAAGGACACGCTCGTGTTCGGATAGTTACAGCAGTCTGGATATGGACGGCCTAAATAAACTCTCGTTGGCATTGGATATGTGCTCTACGGTTGGAACCCGCTGTAAGCTCAGTACGCTACCTGGAGAAAGAATTGCAACAAACACAAAAACCTTTCAGAAACATGTGTGGAGTGGTCTAGAGCCCAATATTCCGACCTGTCCTCCGCCAATTCTCAATTACCTTAACTACCAAAATAGTGGTTATCACAAAGAACAGCCGTCTGAAATGATCAATGTAAACAAGGGTCTGGACAAAGATTTTTTTAATGAATCGACAGGCATGATAGAAACACTTCACCAACCAAATGTTCCGGCCTCGCTTTCGATTTCCACTACACCCAACCAATCTGTCCACAATGGTTCCGTGTTTGGCTACTTGTCAGACATGAGTCCAATTTTATCAACAGGCAATCTTCCCTGTGAAAGACAGCCGACGACATTATTCGAAGAGACACAACCATCAAAAGAAGAAAAGACCTTTTTGTGGGCTTATAATAATAGCAATAATAGTGATAATATACGTTCAGTTCAACAGAATTCATACCAGGGTACCGAAGATAGATCGGTAAAGGTAGACGAATTGAGAAGAGATGGATCTTGTGACCTCTTTTACACTTCTGTCACTCCTCAAATCACACCCTGTTCCTTATTCTCGTCACCATTGCCATGGACGAATCCTCCGGCCTACAGTTTCCAAAGAGCGGGATTTGGACAAAGTCGTAGTAATCCAATGAAATCTACTGCTGTTGGTCTGTTTGAGCACTCTACCGAGTATGTGTCCAGTTCTTCAACATCACCACAGGAAACTACCTGGGAAACCACATCTAAGGAATTTCTTTTGTACCCCTGGGATTCAAGACACTAAAGCGGGATCTCTAATCTTGGTTGTTTCGGGCATACTATTCTTTTATTTTATATATATTTTTATGTGTATATTGTTTCTTTGATCTTCACTCATTGTCTACAATTTCCTTTATCTGCTTAAACCAAATAAAAAAAAGCTTTATAAAGAAAGTAATATTGTCGCAATTGATTTACAAGAGCATGTTCCCATATAAGATTAAGAAGCTTAGGAAGAAGAAAAAGAAGAAAAAGAAGACGCCAAAGAAGCAATTAAACTTATAACTTTAAAGATCACACAAAAAATTAAAGTGAGAACAATAAACAGCAATACCCTTGCACAAAATACAAAGTAAGACCCAAAGCTTTGTAAGGAGAATGCTTTTTGTCTGATACAATTAAAGTGCGTGTGTGTGTGTGTGTGTATTTGCTTTCTAGAATCTAGCGCGAGATAACTATCCAGATTTACACGAATCTTATATTTTCTTGTGTGCATGTAAATCTTATATATAGAAAAAATGTTGCAATTGATTGATGTGTATGGGAAATGAATGTTGAAATCTTTTTTTTTTCTTTTTGACCTTTTGTCCCCCAAACTCATCCCCAACAAACCCTTTTATGAATCTTTTTTTTTTGTACTTTCATGCCGCCTGTTAACTTTTATAACAAGTATAATTGTACAAAAAGGACAAGACACAATGCACAACAGCAATAGAAAGCTTCGTATTTCTGGTTGTTCCAACTTAATTACAAACTAAATAAAATAAAAAATTACAGACTCAAACTAAAAGTACAGGGTCCTGCGATAAGTGCAAGGTTTAAGCGCAGACATGAATTGAAGGCAGGCAGTATTGCATTCATTTCTTTATCTATTTATCTATTTCTTTATTCACACACCCAATACCATTTGGTATCCTAATCATTATAAAATATTCTTTTGTGCAACTTATTTAGCAAAAAAAAAAACACAGAAATATAGATGACTTATGTAATGCTATATATAATGTATATCCATGCCAACCATTATTACTGCTTTCAGAGTTAACAACCCAAAATGTATATCTACTATATATCTTTCATTTACATCTCGGCTGATAGTTTTCCTACCTTTTCAAAACATCTTGTGATCATTATTTCTTTATTTCTCTTTAGCGCTGTAGGTAGTCGAGACTTTGATAGTATGAATATTAAAGTAATATTGATATAAATGTAAATAAATATAAAAGAACATAAGATTCAGCAAAGACACTATAGCAAAAAGAAAGTTATATTCTTAAGAAATGGAACCTATTCTACGAAAATCACAGAACAATTTTTGAATAAAAACAATTCTAAGCATCCGTTTTAACTAAATTCTCTCAGTTTTTATATATAAAAGGCTCAACAATCATCACTCAGCTTAGTGATATTTTTTAAGGCTTTCTAGTTGGCTCTTTGCTAATTATTACTATTTTTTTTTTGATGTAGTGATAGTGATAAGAAAAAATACAGCTACAATATAATCACTGTATCAAGCGCCAAGTGTATATTTGAAACAAAAGCATCTTTTTTTAAAGGATATTGGGTCTATTATCTTGAAACATTATAATTTTTCCATACTTTTATGCTTTAAATCTTTGCGAGAAAAAATGAATGCGGCTATTATCTTGATAACACTGTGCTAAATCATTTCATAGCCTGCAATAACACAATGGAATTGATTTTTTTTGGGCACATGTCTTGTATTGCCGGAGTTTTAATAGCATCTTCTGGTGGTGCAAATATCGATATTGGCATTTTTAAAGCTATTGATATCTCTATGAATATTGATCTGTTTTCAGTCAAACAAGCACAGACCGGCATCAATTTACATTTGACACAACTTTACTTAATAGAAAAAAAATAAAAATTTCCAATTTTTTTTCAGATGTTGCTCTGAGGAAAAGTGGGTATCGAATATGGACTTTTTGGTGTAAATAGCCAAATTTTTATTAGTGAATGGTTTTTTAGAATGAAAAAATTAGATAATTTGATCAATATTTGACCAATAAAAATAAAATAACGTTTAAATGGTGGATCTAACTGTAGTCTAACTTGTCTCTTACACGTTTAAATAGTGTTTGCTTTATTGATTTGGAATTACCAGTAATTTTCTTTATTAATTGTGCTTTTGGAGTGAAATGTTTTGACAAATTACCCAATTTTTGAGCAATAACTGTCAAACAAAGCTTGAGTTATGGATCTTAATGTGTTCTACCAGGTTACTTATGTGTACAAGAGCACCTTGATTAGCCGATATTGATATATAGCTGATTTCTGTACTTGATTTATCCATTTTTGATCAAGATGGTATTTTTTTTATTATTATAGTGCATAATTATGCACGGTCCATGTCACACCATTAAAAACTCAGTCCCAGTTTTTTTTTGCATAAAAGATACTACACAATGGTAGATACATGTCATACATATCTTGCCTATTTCTTTTTTTTTCTCTTCTTCTTCCTGAGGTCTGACAAAGACTTTTTGTAGGATTGAAAAGAGGTAGATATGACGGAAATGTTATGATAATTTGTGCCTTTTGGGTCTAGAACAAGTACTTTAAAGATAAACTAAAAGTTTGTGGCTTTGAGTGTCGAGACTTAGCTATATACATACACAAGGTAATTCGTCATTGACATCGAAGAAGGTGTTGGACGTATAAGTATATGAATATTATCTGTGGCCGAGAGTTGAAAACCAGTTCTCAGAATGGTGATATATGATATATTAAGCTTAGAGAAATATAGTCTATAGGTTTCTAGTGCTGAAGTTTTACTATTTGTTCTATGGGGGTACTCAGCCAGGTTGATCGCTCAAATTCTTGTGTGAATCTTAGCCAATGATGTCAATTTGTAGTTGAGGACACCAAAAGGCAAAAGATCAAATTTCGATCAAATTTCGATCAAATTTTGACCAAAATTTTAATGACATTCATATGCCAAGATTATACGTCATTTAATAAAAGATTATGCAAAAAAATTGCTATATAATCTAGGAAACATACAATTGACATCTTTCTTCACACCTGCACCTTTATTTTGCTTCACACCTTATTACGAAAAAAAAACATGTCTAACTCTAACAGCGAAATATCTTTATCCACTGAAGATAACCATGCTATCAAAAACGAATATAAGACATGGTACAAACATGATGGTGGTAAAGATGGTCTGACTTCTATGGAGAGACTTCAGCAATTCATGTTGATGAACGGTGGAGAAAACCTCAATATGTATCTTGGCGGTGACAAGGAAGGACGAACGTTCAAGCCGTCAAAGGTTACAATACTGAATAAATGCAACCAGTATTTTCAGGAGCAAGGGGTTTATCGAACTACAGCCCAAAGAAAGTTGAGGCTCAACAATCTTTTGACAAAACAATATGGAGAAGCCTATCGTGTTTGGAATAATAGTATTAAAAATAATTCTAACGACGAAGGCTCTACCAGTGAAAAAGAAGGCTTAGAGTGTAAGTTGATACTATCTATATAATACCAATTCTAGATCTCTTTGTTTTAATGTAATTTGTATAACAATAGCTGAATTGAATCAAATCTGCCCTGCTTTCTTTCAGATGGAAAAGGTTATGGGCAATAGAAAGACTGGTTCTCCAGCGATTTGTGATACCACAAAGCCAATGGAATGGATACATGACGAGGACGGCGAGCAAAGCAATGGCGATGATGACAACACGGACGAAGAATCAGCTGAAAACAGTCATAGCAGCAACAATGAGGAATATGACAGCCAAAATGATAACATGTCTGTACTCTGCTCCCCTCCTCCTAAGTCAAGCTCTTCTAGAAAACGCAGAAGAGTAGACGTCGAATATAAAGAGCTGGCAGAAGAGGTGACGAGACAACTTAATGAGTCTTCTGTGTCCCTAGAGGCAAAAATAGAACGGCTTTATAGGGAAAAGCTAGAAGTTCTTAAGGACGATCTTCACATTAAGCGAGAACGCGAATTTATACACAGAAAATTCGAAAACATGATGAAAGCAGTTGCAGAATTGGCCAAAGTGCAAAACTGGTCAGATGAAAAAGTGCAAGAGCAAACTGACGACGTTTACAATAAAACGTATGGTAGTTAAAGACTATCAATTTAATAATGACAGCAACTATCATAGAATACCTGTTATACATCATTTCTACTTTTGAGATAATTTATTTCTTTATTTTTTACTTTTTTTTAAGAAGGTTCCCATCTCCGTTTTTTATGAGTATCTCTTCTTTGATACGGATACGTTTGAGCTTAGCATTCTCATCTGACAATGACATTGCTGGATAGTCATCTACAGTGCCAGTCACACCTTCTCTGCTGATCCTTTCGATCTCTTCTTTTTCTCTTTTCTCCCATGAAATCTTCATCGTCATTGTCATCATGTCATCTGTCTGGTCGATCAAAAAGTTATAGAGAATGACACAAACTCTGATCCAAGAATTGACCATGTTCATGTCTTTTCGACTTCTTATCTTAATTGGGAGTCGCTTCAAAGAGCAGAATCTTGCTTTGAGGATCCCAAATGCATGCTCAATTTTTATCCTCATCATTGCTATGTATGAATTGAACGCTTTGTCCGCATCACACAATTCCTTGTTTTTTGGCTTCTTTATGACAGGGATAACGTACGTCTTGGGAATGTAACTAGCATCGGCTAAAACATACTGGTCACCAGAGAAGAAGTTATTGGGGTCGCTACCCATGGTCGATTCTTCAAACACCCTGGCATCGTTCATGCTTCCGAAGTATCCGCAAGAGAGATAACGAATCTTCTTTTGATGGTCGCATACCCCAAGAGTGCTTACACAGTATGTGCGCTTACGACCAAAGAATTCTGGCTTTTTCCACGACGGTGTATGCTGCAAGTTAAACAGACACCCATCCAATAACCCAACAAGATCAGGAAATCCGAATGGTTTCTCATTGCTTGGGATTATCGTTGCTGTCTTCTCGAGTTCTGACGGCCAAAAAACGTACATGTTTTCCATTGATAGCATTACCTTGAAGAAACGAACTGTGAAGTTTAAGACACTGCCCTCTAATAAGTTTAAAATAATTAGTTCAATGGATTAATTATATGTTTATATAGATTAACGGAAGTCAGTTTACTAAAAGACGCTTACCTCCAACACCAGATCTTCGTGCAAGCCTGCTATAGGATACAGCATTCCCGTCTGAGCCTAGTCTCTCCAAGACCAAAGCTAATTGAAGCTTTACATCAGTCTGCTTATGTCCTTTCGGTGACTTATATAAAGAATGGTCTTTGATTATCTCGTACAGCTTATTAAACGAGCTTTTGGACATTCTGATTTCTTCTTTGAACCCATCTGCATCTAGGTCTTCGAGGAAAGCAAGTTTTTCTTCCTTTGATTTAAGCTTTGGCAATGTATTGCCACCCTTGTGTAAGTATCTGTTGGCTTGAAGGTTCTGCTCAAGATCCTCCACAACAGCTATCTTCTCCAACTCTGCATCAACTTCCTCTTCAAGGACTTCTGAAATATTTTTCAACAGCTCATCTGCGCTTGTTGATAAAGATTGTACCAGACTTTTTTTTTCCTTCGCTACAAATTTTCTGATTTTACGCGATTTCTTTAAGGCAGCAACTGTTTGTTGCTTTGCACTGTATTTTGGCATGTTATACGGAGTGAAAGAAGTGTTACATGACTTTGTTGACAGTAAATTCTATGATTTATTAAGGAGAAAGATAAAAACAGTATCGTATTGCATATAAAAAAGTAAGGATTCAGCCAATCAGAGAGCCGTACGTTTTTCGATCAAAATTTGATCGAAATTTGATCGAAATTTGATCTTTCAAAAAGACGATCAAATTTTGATCGTCGCTATTACAATTTTAGTCCAATAATATCGCGTTCTGAATTTAAAATTTGAGCGATCAACCTGGCTGAGTACCCCCTATGTTTATGTCTACTTTGAGCCCCAATAAGAGGTGTGAAAAAAAAAGAAAATCCAAGGAATCCTTTAAAAGGGCCTTTTTTTCTTTTCTTTTCGATACCCAGTCTACTCTGAAGTGATACTGAGTGAATAATAGACACTCTTTAGAATCTCTATATATAGACAGCAGTATTATTTTTGGTGGATCCCATAATAGGGACTTTGGACACATCATATAAAATATTTTTGAAACATTTAACCATATATGTAACTTTATACGGTCTCATGTTTCACATCCAAGGCTTCCATATACAATGAAAATGTGTGATATTGTATTTATTGGCCATGTTAATTTCCTAAACTCACGAACTTAAAATCATGTAATTAGTGCGAACCAAAGTTTGTTACTTTTTACCCTCAAACTGTAATAGCTGTTTAATTTTTTAGACATTAAAGCTAATAGATACTAATTAATATTTGTATACGTAGAATGCTTGCGCAAATAAAGGGGAAAAAACCTAATGCTGGGGTTATATGGACTTCTTTATATGCTTACTTGAAAACATAATTTGTTCTTTATTTCAAGTTTTATGTCATCGTTAGTTTAACAACATAAAAGATCGAAAGATGATTGGTCAACACATTTTATATCATGTTTTTATATCATATAAAATAACGCGATTTTGAAACACACTATTCTTTTTTAAGAGCACAATCTCCGTCTAAATAAATTTTATATGATGTGTCCAAGGTCCCTATTTTGTTAACCAATGAAACAAAGTAAAACTACATCTTTGACCTGAACTTCAAAAAGCACACTGAGTGGAAAAAAATCACTCTTTCTGCACATGTGTCTACCGACCTGGCCACATTGTTAATTAGGGCGGTTTTTCCAGTGCTGAAGATCTTATTCATGGTCAATGCAGTAAAAAAAAAAAAAAAAAAACTCGCACAGGATTTCCACCAAAGGATTGCGGTTGCGCCGTGAATATAGCACCGAGTTGCGTTTGGCACCATTTACTATAGGCTTTCTAAATCGGCCCATTATCACCATATACAACCTTTTGCTGATGGAATGGCATGTCGACGAGCTTGTTCATCCCATAACTGCCGAGCCGAAGTACCAACAAATGTGGTATTCGTGCTATCCGTGCTATCCGTGCTATCCGTGCTATCCGTGCTATCCGTGCTATCCGTGCCATGTTCCCATATGAAACAGAAATGTATGACAAGGTTTGAATTATGGTCATGTTCCTGAAATCATCTCCTGAACTGAAACCATCTGTTGAGGCGCATGGGTGTGCTTTACCATTTTAAAATTCCGCCTTTGTCTAGTAAATCCCCCCACAACTGGCGATTTCTTTATCATTGTTTATCAGCAACAGTTTTTTGCCATGACCATAGAACAAAAAAGCCATGACGATGACGGTGGTAAGTAAGGATATTTGTTATACTCCTTTATTTTTGTTTTTTCTTCCTTTCTTTTGTTTAACTGGTTGTGTTTTGTAGTGTCTGACGAGATTCTCACATTTCGATTGCCCAACAATCGAGTTCCAGGGAAAGACCAATTCAGCAAGCAAATGTTAAAAACTCAAGGCGTGATTGACCTTGTGGTTGGCGAATTATTGGACGTTCCAGACGGAACATACATGTCAGCAGAAACAGAATGGCAGAACGCATCGCGAAGCGATATACTTTATAAGCCTCGGTTGGCAATCCAAAACTCGCTTCCTCCAATCCTCATCGAAATTCAACTCACCGTCAATGAACCCTTTATGCAACGCCTTGTCAGCTATTCACAAAGCGCTTTGAGCATCTACAAAACATATCCTATCGTTTTAATTGTTTGCACCGATCGCGTCTCTCCTATCCAACTTATGGCAAAGTTCAAACCTATTTCTGGAAAACCTTGGATGTCTTCGCTCCTGGCCACTGATTTCTGGGCACAAAGCTGCTTCATTGTGTCGAAACTAACTTTATCGGGTATTGCGCCTTCTGATCAACTCACACCCCTGCAGGCTTTGTCCTCGTTCCTGACCGAAGCCTCTCCAACGTTATATGGTCATCCCTTTGCTGAAAATCGAACTATTCGACAGTTATATCACATTGCCATGGCCATCTCGGAAAATCAAGTTGAATGCGATAAGGATGTCTCAAATGTGGTGGACATCATTTGTTACAACAACGAGAAAATACTAATGAAGGCTGATGCTGCGTTATTTGGTGTATCTGGGTCATCCAAGGCAAAAAATCTGATCGAGCGTGCATTGGTTTTCAATGCGGCTGCCAAAAGAAAGTATTACCAAACTGTGGACTCGGATTCAGACTCGTCGCTGGAACCGCTGCCAAAGTTGAAGGGAAAGACAAGGGAAACAATTCAAGATAAAAAACAAGATGACCTTGAATTCGTGATCAAATACCGGAAAAATCTGATTGGAAAGATGAACTGGAAGACATGCCTGTCAGTTGGCCATGAAAAAAACTTATGCGAAGATTACTCCACTGGTGAATCGCTGCGACAATTCTTTTACAACGCCACTAAAAAATGATTTCCTTTATTCTTTATTCCCTGATTCCCCATATTCCCACTTTCCTTGATTTCTCTCATCGGTGTAGCGTATTCGACTAACTGGAAAACAAAGTCAAAAAAAAATAAAAATAACTAGCTGGGCCCGTGATCTTAAAAGATCACACAAACGATTTGATTATACGGTGTTGCGTGGTGTTTTTCTGTAGTTCTCTGTGAATACCGTATTTTGGCAGTGCGACGTCTGGTTTGGTTGTATTGTGACATTCCCCTCTCTCATACTGTATCCATGGCATATTGCGTTGGCTTGGCCTTTGGCCTCACTCATGGCAGCAATATGGGCCCATCATACAGTAGGTCTTGCTGCTGTTTTTGGGCCGGGGGTTGCGCAGGTTGGCATAGCGGCTGGCGTTGCAGCTGTCGTATATAAGGTTAAGAGATAAAACAATAAGAATAAGTAATAAGAAAATATACATATATCAGATAATAAGATGGATAAGTAAGACAATAGACTAAGAAGCAACACACAGTAAATAATAGTACCTATTAAAAATAGGTCAGAGTATATTTTATAGAATTAATACTTGAATAAACCTAGCTACTTTATTTCAAGCATATCAGAACAGCTTGATCTAGAAAATATCATGAATGATTATATTATAATATTATTGGATGAAAGAGATCCAATGATAGAGTTGGGGCATGGATAATTTTAGGATGCTTCTTCTCAACAACCGTTCCCTCTATAACCTATATTATATGAGCTCACGGTAATAAGGATAGATATCAATAGTAATAGATGTTAGCTCTTAATGAATAAATCTTTATAGAAAATTGGAAAATAAAAACAACATCTAAGATTTAATTATAAGTTCAAGACCAAAATATTATTAAATCATTCGAAAATAACAGTGGATTAGACACTCCACTGAAACCATATCTAGTTAACCACAGTATATATATATATATATATATAATAAAACAACCCCAACCTCTATTGCTCAGCAACTTTCTCTTATTCTTATAAATACTTGGAAACATCTTATCATTCGAGGTCTTTTTTTTTGGGTTTTTTTTCTGATCTTATTTTTTCTTTTGATCTAATAAAAACCACTACATTAATCTCATCAATTCTTTCGTTCTCAAATAAATCGTGCTTTCTCTCCAAATATCACAGCAGCGCCCCTGATTAATGGGAAAGTTGGCATAGATTCGTTCACATTTCTACCTTGTCATACATTTCTGTTTCATATGGGAACATGGCACGGATAGCACGGATAGCACGGATAGCACGGATACTACGGATACTACGGATACTACGGATACTACGGATACTACGGATACTACGGATACTACGGATACTACAGATAGCACGGATACTACGGATACTACGAATAGCACGGATACTACGGATACTACGGATACTACGGATACTACGAATAGCACGGATACTACGGATACTACGAATAGCACGGATACTACGGATACTACAGATACTACGGATACTACGGATACTACGGATACTACGGATACTACGGATACTACGGATACTACGGATACTACGGATACTACGGATAGCACGGATACTACGGATACTACGAATAGCACGGATACTACGGATACTACGAATAGCACGGATACTACGGATACTACAGATACTACGGATACTACGGATACTACGGATACTACGGATACTACGGATACTACGGATACTACGGATACTACGGATAGCACGGATACTACGGATACTACGAATAGCACGGATACTACGGATACTACGAATAGCACGGATACTACGGATACTACAGATACTACGGATACTACGGATACTACGGATAGTACGGATACTACGGATAGCACGAATACCACATTTGTTGGTACTTCGGCTCGGCAGTTATGGGATGAACAAGCTCGTCGACATGCCATTCCATCAGCAAAAGGTTGTATATGGTGATAATGGGCCGATTTAGAAAGCCTATAGTAAATGGTGCCAAACGCAACTCGGTGCTATATTCACGGCGCAACCGCAATCCTTTGGTGGAAATCCTGTGCGAGTTTTTTTTTTTTTTTTTTTTTACTGCATTGACCATGAATAAGATCTTCAGAGTGCTTGCCTGTTACGACACTTGTCCAAGCATTTGTGAGAATGCCCAACAAACCCTTTAAAGTCGCTCAGCGTCAGACTATTAGATGCCTCACTGATTCTTGTCATAAGTGTCTCAGTTTCCAGTAGCTTGTTTCGTTTGACTTTACTCTTAACCACTGACCAAAACTGTTCAATTGGATTAAGTTCAAGAGAATAGGACGGCAAATAAATACAGCGGTAACCGCGAGATTCTACATATTTAGCTATATCAACCGATATATGGATTGGAGCATTATCCATCACGAGGTAATGGCCTTTCATATGTGGATACTGGTCCATTTCATCCATCGTGGCTTTTAGAAAACTAACATAGTGTCCCGTAACTGTCCCTTTGCTCACACGCACAACGTTTTCTCCTTGCTTTCTCTTTTTATTGGATGGAGGCCGAGGAAGCCTGAGGCTACATTTAATCAGACCTTGGGCAGAAATTGCACCTAAAATGGTTGTTGTTTTTGCTCGTGTTTTGGGAACTGTGACCACTGCAGGGGAGCCTTTCTTTGACCATGCCATACTACGTTTCAAATTAATATGAAATGCAGATTCATCAAGGATGACACAGTTGGTCGTAAAATCCATGTCTGTTTTTTCCCATTTATGAATCCAATCCAGGCGTTCTTGAATCTTTTCCTCGCTGTTCCGATCTATAGGTTGAAAACGAGCTTTTTTGAGAGACAAGATGCAGTGCTTTTTTACAAAATCAAACAAGGTACTTTTGGATACTTTTAATTCTGTGAATACTTGTCGTAAGTGCTTCATCAGGTCGTCCAAGACGACTGAAGGGTTCGCATCAATACACTCAAGAATAACTTTTTTGCGCTCCTCATTGAGAATGCGTGAACGACCAGTCTTTCTCCCTTTCTCAAAGATATTATCAGGATCCCTCTCGTACTGTTCAGCCCATTTTTGCGCTGTACGAACGTGAATCCAAAGCTGTTTTACAGCAGCAGCCGCGCTCAGACATTTCTCAAACAACAGCTCAAAGAACCTCACTTTATCCTGATCAGAATAGCGTGTATAATTTCGCTTCATAGATGTTTCCCCCATAACAAGATCACTGCCAGGCTTTACCTCCTTTTCCACTTGCATTGCCTCTACCGTTTTCTCGTTCTCCAGAGGTAGTTGAGCTAAGTATTGTGTATGAGAACTCAATGTTTTAAGACGAAACTGCTCCTCATCAACAATATAATCCATCGGTTCAGCCCTGCCATACTCGTCGACGACAGAACCTTTCCCATTTTCATACAAGAATTGAATGTTCATTATGATGCGGTTTTGGTGTAATTGCGGAAGAGAAATAAAAGGAAGAGGAGCACTTGGTGTGCACTTTTATATCCAATGATGCCAAGGCTAAATATTCTTGGCAACAGGACATCCTATTTGTCAGCGAATACGAATTTACATTTCGTACAACATGAATTTTGTTCTTGCCATCTGATGAAATCATTTTCCACCAGGGCGAATTTATTTGTTGTGCAACATGAATTCTGTTCTCGTCATTGGCTGTATTTACTTTCTGACAAGAGCGAATTTACTTTCTGGAAAGAGTGTATAACAATGATGTAAATCAATTGGTATCATACTATATCCAGATTGCAGCTGTACCCATCGTTAAGCCCATTTGTTGTAGCCTTTGTAAGCACCATTTATAAAGAAAAAATTTAAAGTCATTAGCTGTGTATGTAATTCTACATCTTACTAAATTCTGGGTGATTTTGGACTTATATGGCGGTGAAAGCCATAAGACTTTACTTGTTATATACGATATACCAAATTATTTGTTTGATATATATTTTTTATTTAATTAATTAATATGTGCAAAGAAAGAATTATACAATAGACTTTTTTTTTGTTTTTTGAAAAGAATAAAAAATTATTATAGTAAAGCAGTAAAAGAAGTACATTCCGAGTTTCACGGATATAAGAAATCTATAGAGATATATAAAGTATGCTGTGTATATGCTTATGAGTATAAGAGTTGAAAAATAAAATAAAGCAAGATGAGCAGAATGTTTGATGACCAATAGACATCTATCGTTTGGCCTTTCTTCGCCAGTAAACCAAGACAAGCATGACAAGAGAATTGAACCCAAAGTAGGCAGCAATGATTCCAATGTTACGCCACTTGTTAGATGCCTCCCAGCCGTAGACACTGGAATAGTACTCCTCGCCAGACTTATATGTGCAGTAACCACATAGTTCAGGTCCCACTGTATCAGGGTTGTCAATATAGCCAAGTCCTCCATTAGAAAAGAAGTTTGCCATATATTGACCACAGGTTTGTCCAGGAGGAGCCGAGAATTTAAGGAGATCTTCGTCTTTACATACAACAGTGAGAGACTCCAGCTCGTTTACAGCCAGACCTTCGATATAATAATGAAAAGGATCAATCCAATACATCCATCTCTTCCAGAAAGTTGGCATGGCCGAATAGGGCTGCATCAAGCCACAGAAAACAATAAGCAAGGACAACATAAGAGGGTTGAGAGCAGCAGCCACGGTCGGGAGCTCGGATGCGGCAGCAATAACAAATCCAAAAGTTACAGCCCAAAAGACGAGTAAGACCAGCATAAGGTAGAAGTAACCGGTAGCCTCGGATGACATGGTCATACCCGCAGTCCAGTAAAAGCAAAACAGGAAGAATGCAGCAAACACAAACACATAAGGAACCTCTACCAACACAGTAGAGATACCCCAGGTGAACCAGCTGTAGTAGCGAGATGCGTATTCACGTCGGAAGAAAATACGCTCTGTCATAAACTTTGGCTGAGAGAGAATGATAAGAGTCATGGCCATAATAAAGGTACTGAACAGAGCAAAAAGCTTATTCTGCATATCTGAAGAGGAGTTCTTAAGTTTCCAGTAGGTAAAACCGTGTATCAAAGCAGTCAAAAGAATGTTCAAGAAGCGACCAAAGTTGTAATCAGGCGCACGCCAATAAGCCAAAGCCATTCGGTTGTGAACAAGCTTAAACTGAGTCCAGGTTGATGTAGCATAAGCTCGAGAAACGCGGGTAGGGTTCATATCGGCCGATCTGTTGATCTCAGCAAGTTCTTCATCGAGTGCTTTGGCTTCTTTGGATCCAGCCCAGACTTCGGACCAGTCGCGAGTGGCCTTTCCGGCAGTTCCGGCACCAACAACCTCAAGAATGTACTCGGCAGGGTTGGCTGCAGGAGGACAGGTGGGGCCACCGTTGGACTGGAAGTAATCAATCATGGTGTGAGCATCGGGACCAATCTCACCATAGTAAGCGGTCTTTCCACCACGAACAAGTAGCAAGAGATGATCGAAATGACCAAACAGAATGGCCGAAGGTTGGTGGATGGTACAGAGAACAGGCCAACCGGCATCAGCAAGTTTGCGAATGAAACGAATGATGTTGTAAGAGCTTTGAGCATCAAGACCAGAAGTAGGCTCGTCCAAGAACAGGAGCTGGGGCTTGCCGACCAGTTCCATACCAATAGTAAGACGCTTGCGTTCTTCAACGGAAATACCAGAACCATATTCAAGCATGCCAATCTGAGCATCGGCAATGTCTTCCATCTCGAGAAGTTGAATGATCTTTTCGACATACTCGTTCTTTTCAGATTTTGGTACAGATTCATCTTGACGAAGGTAGGCAGAGAAACGAAGGGCCTCACGAACAGTAACAGCAGGTTGATGAATATCCATCTGCTCACAATAACCGGTAATACGCTCAAAGTCACTCATAAGAGCTTCACCGTTGAGAAGAATGGTACCCTCTATGCTTCCAATGGTCTTGCGGCGAGCCAGAACATCCAATAGTGTGGTCTTGCCTGCACCAGAAGAACCCATGAGAGCCGTAAGATGACCGGGTTTAACGATGCCATTGATGCCATTGAGAAGCTGGAGATTGCCGCCCTTGATAGGAACAGTGTACTTGATATCTTGCCATGAGAAAGTAGTGCCAGTAGAGATACTGTCCATCTCGTCTGTGATCTTGGCAAGGCGTTTGCGGCGTTCATTTTCTTCCTCATCAGTGCGGGCTTTAGGGGCTTTTCCGGGAATGTAGAGCTTGGTAGTGTTTCCACCACCTCCGGTGCTAATATACTCCATGCAAAGAGCGCACAATACGGTAAACAACAAAAAGTAGGCAACGACAACAAGGAAGTCTGGCGCCCAGGCCTCCCAGGGACGGTAAGACAGCTTTTCAAGAAGGTAGGATTCGCCCTTGACAAAGTTCTCGCCAGGAACACCACCGGTCATAGTGCACACCTTGTAGTCCCAGTTGTCATAACCTGGGCCATAAGGAACAGCATTTCCGGGACCTTCACACGAGTATTCTTGGCCGTTCATTTCATTAACCAAAAGAGCCTTGTAACCGTAAGCCAGAGGATTGATCCAGTAGAACCAGTAGAGCCAAGGGTACATCTTGGGGTATGGAATAGCTATTTGTTTTATAAGTTAAAAGTAAAATGCCGTTAGATAATGTGGGAGATAAATGTGTGTGTTTATGTTTACTTACTGTAGCCAACATAGCTGAGGGCGACGACTAGCAAAGTTCCAGAAACTTGGGTGGCGAGGAAGAAACTACTGGTTATCGCACCAAAGAAACGGAAGAAGCCGTTCATGGTCATGTTGATAAAGAATAGGTTGATAAAGAAAGTAAAGAACTTTCCGGCTGTCATATTGAGACCGATCATGAAGTAGTAGCAAACACCAAAGAGTGCGACTAGAAACAAAAAAAGAAGGATTTAAATTAAACGTTTGTTTTTTTTTGTTTGGTAAATATATTGAAAAAGATCAAGTATTAATTCTTACCTTGAGCGAGTGCATATGGAACATCCATAATTACCTGGGCGATATAAAAGGCAGAAGGACGATAGAGAGCATATTGCTTATGCTTCTCCAGAACAGGACGGCCCATCAAGAAGCGAACGAGTTCGGTTTGAGAAACAAAAGAATTGAAGACAACAGAAAAGAAGAGAGCACTGCCGCGTGAAAATGCACCGGCACCGGTCAATGGAAGATTAAAGAAATTAGAGGCAGTGACAAGAGATTGGATGAGAATAGTGCCATAGCGAGAGTACAGAGCTTCTTTATCCTTGATAAGAAGGTGGTATTGACGGATTAAGAGGGCAATGACTTGTTGGTAGAAAGATGCAATGAAGGGACTCTTGCTGGGGGCCCGCTTCTGGTGCTCTTCGTTCATAGCCTGCTTAAAGGTTTCAGCCGGACTATCAGACTTGAATGTGTTCTCGTATTCTTCTAGCTCAGCCATCATGGTTTTGTATATATCAGAGGCCATGTAGCGAGTTTGGAATTCGTGTGCAAACTGTGGGACAGAGTTTTCGTATCCGGGCTGGAATTCTCTTTCTAATGGGTTACAGATACCGGTCAGGAAATCAGGGGCTGATTTACGAGGAGGGCAAAAGAAGCCCATCTTTTCAAAGTATGGCTTGGCTTGTTCTACGGGGCCAAAGTAAAGGCAGTAGCCATCGTCTAGGAGAATAACCTTGTCAAAAAGGTTGAAGATACTATTGGATGCCTGATAAAGCGTTGCCACGGTAGTCTTGTGAAGAACATCTGTCATGATACGAAGAGAGCGGACAAAATCCAGGGCAGAGGCAGCATCAAGACCACGAGTAGAGCAATCCCAGCAATTGATAGAGCTGGATGTTGTCATTTGCTCGGCAATAGAAAGACGTTTCCGCTCGCCACCAGAAAGACCACGTACAGAGGCATTACCAACCATGGTGTTCATCTGCTTAGTTAGACCAAGCATGTTACCAAGCATGTAGAGAACACGGTTTACAAAATCATGTCTTGACTCGTCGGGAAGTCTGGCCCCTGGGGTTTTTGTACGTAGTGCGAATTGAAGGGTTTGCTTTGCGGTGAGAGTAGGGAAATGTTGATCTTCTTCTTCGTTGTAGCAGACTTGGCCGCGGTATTTATCTGCAAATGTATTTGAATCGATTCCACCATAAGAGACATCACCATTGACTTCTGTGTATGATCCGCGCATGTTTGAGATGATCTTGAGAAGAGTTGTGCAACCAGCGCCAGGGCGACCAAGTACAAGCAACATCTCGCCATCTTTACAGAATCCAGAGATATTGTGGAGAATAGTCTTTTCAGGAACTTTTCTTTTCAGCAGAACCTTCCACACATTAAAAGCCTCGAGTGGAAAACTAGCGACAGTTGGAATGGTATTTGCTTCGGCAGCAACACCCTAAATAATAGTAACATTAATAATAAAAAGTCAATATATAACATAGTGATAAATAAATGTTTAGTTTTGATGAAATAAAAGGACTGTTCTATATTTACCTTGACAGACAGGTTTTTCCAAACGACACCAATATGTTTCTTGGTATGACCGGCTTTGTCTGCCTCAGAAGAGACACCGTGCAAGAACTCATCAAGTCTGAATTCGTCTGATGAGGCCAGACCTTCTTCAAGCTTTCCAGTATTGGTCGATTCACGACTGATATGGGTTAATTCACGCTTGAGATCTTCATACTCGTTAATTGCATCTATTAATCGTCGTTGGTAAATTAGAATCTTGATCTGATGAAATTGAACAATTAAAAAAAAGTCATTGTACCTTGAATATTAACAGTATTGACATCTGTTTCGCCATATGTTCCCTGGTTACCAGGGGCATCTTCAATTACAGTATCTGCTGATCCGGTATGAGAATGAGGGTATAAGTTGTAGTTTTTCTTGTGTTGTGGTTCTGGATCAAGATGTGTTTTTTCCGACATCTCTTATGTATTTATCTATTAATGAAAAATCCAGAGAAGCCTTAAAGAGAAAAGACACAAATAAAAGAGGTAAAGAATATAAGATGGTATAAGGAGATTAAAAAAAAGGGGGAAGAACAAAGAATAGGCCTTTATATATGTGTGGAATCAAAAAAAGATTTTTTTTTTTACTTAAGGCGGATCAATCAATTCCGCACCGCACCGCACCGGAATGGAAGTATTGTTATTTTTGGTTACCGAAATAAGATGTATTATAGCTGTAGTTAATGGACTAGCTCAAGATCAATATTTTCCAGAAAACTGTCAAATAATTGCTATCGTTATTAATGATGCATTACAGTTACTATTGATTAGTAATTGCGGTGATTTGTATATATTCGGCATTTTTGAAATCCGTAAACCGCGAAGATTCTTGTAAGACTCGAATACCGACTTTATTCACCGCAGTATACAGAAGTTTATTTAATGATGAGTCTCCTAAAGTGTTTTGATTTGTAATTGAAACGATCTGGATCTTTGGAGTGTATCATAAAGCTCACGGACAAAATAGCAAAGGTATGTCTATTAGCTATAGAATCAAGAGATGATTAATCAAATTGATATTACCCATGTGCTTTAAAATATATATATATAAAAATCTAAAACAAATTGGTTACAATACCAGAAAGTACTTTTTTTTTTTTTTTTTTTTAGAAAAAAAAATTATACATACGTATTTACTCTCAGATTTAGATAGTTACCAAAAAAAAAAAGCCATCAAATTATAGTAGAGTTGTGCGTGGAAATTCAAGATCTTAGGTCTGGGGGTTCTGATTAAGGAATTGGTTACAAAAGTATTTTGTACCCATAAACCTTGTATTAATTCTTATATATATATATTCTTTTCGGTGGTAAAAGGGTAAAATTAGATATCTGATTATAGAGATAGAGGTCAACTCTTTTCAAAAATAAAAATAATATAAAAAAAAGATGCTTTCGGGACCTTAATAAGTTAGCCAGTGATTTTGCCCAGTTTACTGGAGAATCCTTGATTTTGTATTCACTGCATTGATTTATTTAGCGCCGTCATATTTTAGATAAAAAAAATGCATAGCGTATTTTAGCGGTGTAACTAGAATTACGTGTACTGTTCCATAAATGGATTTACAACGAGTACGGAGAGTTGATTTGAGTAGTCAGAAAATCTTTTTAAGAAATGTATACGTACCCATAAACACTTAGTACATTATCCGTTTGTTGTGAGAAGATTACGATGACTACGGGTCTTGATCTATAGATAATTAGTTACTGTGCTCCAAAGCAAAGCAAAACAAAACAAACCATTCATTCATTCATTCGATTATATATTTATTTATATGAATCGAGTATTTTTTTTTATTAGTCCACATTTTACTTGTCAGATCTAGTAAATTATTATTTATTCTTTAATTTTGGCCCGTATACTAGAGTTCTATCGATCTATCAATAGAAACATATTACTCGATACTCGAAAACACACAGGGGTAATAAAGACAGAATATTCAGTGAATTGTGATTGAGAGTATTTGCCTTTTGGCTGTTGTTTTCCTTTCTGATCTGCATTGTGGCGTACATCTTTTGCGAAAATGATGTCGCAAGAAAAAAAATTAGTGTCGCACTTTTTTTTTAAAAAAAAAAAACAGTGTCGTATGTTTTTTGAAAATAGTGTCGCACTTTTTAAAAGTATCGTGTTTTTCTCACTTCATCTGGTATCAACCAATCTGAAATTAACCCAAAAATAAAAAGAAAAGATGCTTTTTATAGTAATAAAGAATTGTCGGTAAACGTCTATCAATTCAACTTGTGTAATTGTCCATATTGTTGATAGATACAGATAAATGCTATACTATTCCATGCTATGCTATGCTATTCTATGTTATGCTATACTATACTATGCTATTCTATGTTATGTTATGTCATTCTATGCTTTACAAATACTTGATTTATAAGCAGTAGGTATACAGAATGTTGTATTAATCAACAAAGGCTACTTGTACGCTACTGTTTTGAGTATCTTGTGCACCTCGCAAATCTTGCACATCTTGCTCATGTGCTAATAAGTTGACTTTTAAGTATCTTTTTAATAAATACACCAGTAAAGAAAGTTCTATAATTTATCTAATAGCTTACACAAATAGCGTATATCCAAAAAAATTGCCTATTAGAGTTTTATGGGATTTGATTATTAATAGAGAAAACTGATTTATGTTAAAAAGATACTATTCTAAATAAATAAAAGCGAATTATTAATCCACTTCTTTTATTAAGAAAAAAATGTCAAACGAGTTGGATATACAGTAGCACTTATACTAAAGTAAAGTTGAATTGATCCAAACCATATCTATCCAAGATTATGATTTGATGAGCTTCTTCTTTGTGTATAGCTTATAGCACTGTTATTTTTAATTATTATGATATCCAGTACATATACTCTTTGTTATCTTATCATATGTATTTGACTTGAATCAAGATGTTAGATAGTATACAGTGGATATTTAGCTTTTCATAAATAGGCACAGAAATGTTATAATAGAATGTCTCTTTGTTATTGTTATTATTAATAATATTGAACATTTAAAGCCACTGTATTTGATGGTCGAGACCTTGCTTTTTTTTAATACCCAAATACCAGGATTTTTTTTTATTAATAAAAAAAAGATTGCCAAAGATCAAGCTCTTTTGAATCAAGGTATTGATTTTTAGATATTTGATATTAAAAAGCTATATGATGAACAGATCTGATTACAAATGCTTGGTAAGCAGGTCTATGTGCAAGATAAAGTATGTGTGACAAAGGCTATTTAGTTTTATTCGTTTGGTTACCTGCCGATATATCGTGAATACAATTGGTTCCGAATCTTTGGAAAAATAAAGTAAAAAACAATTTTTCTGGGATATTCTTTTTGAGATTGGAAAGGTTTGTTATTAATCTTGTATTCTTAATTTCTCACTCATTTTACTGATGGGGGGCTGTAATGATTTGTATGAAGAGATATCTCATACAAGATGTATATAGTAAGGAAACAACATTATACGAAACAGCCAGAGTGTTTTGATTCTCAAATGACTAATGTATATCGATGACAAACAATATAAAGTACAAAGTACAAAATACAAAGCACAAAGCACAAAGTATAATTTTGCTGTGCACAGCCAAACAATGAATTACTAAACATATTCTTTATTCGAGAATCTAAATAGTAAATCAATATTATTAAAGTTTGTGATGTAAATGACATCATCAATAGGGGATTTTCAACAGTTCTTTAAGCTTTTAAGCTTAAGCTTTGAGTTTTAAAGCGGTAGCCAATAATACGTAAGAGTTACTAAGTGTTTTCGAGTACCCTAAATGCTTCTTTCAGTTCTATTAGGCATTGTGATAATAGAACTTAAGTTTAAAGTAGTACTGAAAGAGACAAAGATGTTTGCATCAAGTATGTATTAAATTTCCAAAAAAATAATAATCAAACTTAAGCAAGGATGTATTAAACGATTAAAATTCTCGAACAAAATCGTTCGATAATACAAGGTGGAATACTACCGGGGGGCCGCCTAACACGATTTATTACACAATGGAAAACGATTACAACGCACAAACGGCCGATACAGGTCATCGAACAGGGATATCAGGTACAATGGACGTCACCTCCAAGAGAATGGAAGTCTCGACCTCTGCAACTTTTGTCTACAGACCAACAGGAAGTGGATATTTCGGTACAGAAATTCCTACAAGCTGGAGTGATAGAACGATCCCCGACCCAAGACTCCCGATACTTATCCCAATTTTTCAGTATTCAAGAGCCAAACGAGATACGCCCTATATTGGATTGCAAGCGTATCAATCAATTCATACAATACCAGCACTTCAAGATGGAAGGGGTCCCTGCACTCCGAGATATCATCGAGAAGGGAGACTTTATGACGAAAATCGATTTGAAGGACGCATACATAGTAGTCCCCATATATCAGGACTCCCGTCGGTACCTCTAGTTTCAACATCACAGACAGATCTTCCAGTACAGACCCCTACCATTTGGAATGAGTGTCGCCCCACGGGTGTTCTCGAAGTTGATGCGATTTGCACTGGAACCGCTGCGTGCCAAGGGGATCCGTTTAGTGTACTATCTCGACGACATCTGTGTTCTTGGCAAGGACATGACGGAGATACATTCGCATACCAAGACAGTGATTGGACACCTTACCTCCCTAGGTTACCTTATCAATTGGCAGAAAGGCTCACTCACACCAGCACACAATCAAGCATTCCTCGGTTTCTCATTCAACACATCGACAATGGAGATAAAGGTACCAAAGGAAAAACTAGCGAAGTTGCGGGCACGCCTTTCACAAGCCCAGAAGGGTATAAAAACTTGCGGGTGGGTAGCAAGTCTGATTGGAAAAATTACAGCATCGATTCCGGCCATTGGGGAAGCATTGTTACAAGTACGTTTTCTACAGAGGGATCTAGCAAAGGCTTTACAGGGGAAAGCACACCGATGGGAACACCCGTGTTTGTTTTCGGCCGAAGCCAAGCAGGACCTTCAATGGTAGCTTCAGACATCGTTAACAACTCGAGGCTTACCAATTCGGAAGCCACCGCCCCCAGACACCCCAAGTGACAATATACCTCAACGTCTCAGAATCTGGCTGGGGAGTGACCTCGACTGATCTCAAAACACATGGATACTGGACGGACCAGGAAAAAGAAACTTCGATAAATACAAGGGAACTCAAGACAATCCTGTTTGCCCTGAAACTACACACTCCAAAATACAAAGACTGTACCGTCCAGATCTATTCCGATAATACGACCGCCATAGAGTATGCGTTCCGATCAGGAGGCACGGCATCACTACTGCTACAAAATCTAGCACTCGAAATACAAGAAGTATGCCGTCAACACAAGCTAGAGGTCATATACAAACACGTTCCAGCAGTCGAAAATGTAGAAGCAGACAAACTGAGCCGACGGCATCAACCGA